CTCGAACGAACGACGAACGAACGATTAGGGGAACGAACCTCTGCCATCGAACGAAAGACCGCAGTAGACCCCTACCAAAGGATTATTCTCCACCGCTCCGCGAAGGATCCGTGAGAGAACCCTTTTGGACGAACCCGAACGAACCACGGACCAATCACCAGACGACGAACGAAGCTTCTCCAGAGCTTCAAGCCGATACACTCCATACCCAACGAACAAACCCGAAGGAATCCGATCGCCGAAACCCCAGATACCCTCGAAACCCATCGAGTGGATGTTCAACAACCCCACAGACGAACTTGAACAACACTTCACACCACCACCAATCCCTAGCTTTCAGATTCCCCAGAACCCGCTCGGAAACCCACCCACTTTTGGAACTGCGAACAACTCCGAATCCAAAGGAATTACTCCAATCCATACCCCGAAACCTGACCACGGCAAAGGAAGAATGCCGAACGACTTCATGGACCCCTCCTCGAAACCCTCCGGAAGCGGATCTCCCAGATACGGACCACCCATAATTGGCGCCACCCATACTGAACGACCCCGAGAACCCAAAGAACTCTGAATCAATGTTCCCCCTGAGTTCGATGGGAACCGAGAGAAGTTCGATCACTTCATCAACAAGTGTAAACTCTACCTGGAGATCAACAAAGGAGTTTACGACACCGACAAGAAGATGATCGGCTACATTCTTGGCCTCATGACCAAAGGAGAAGCTCATGTCTGGTCAAACCAATACATCAAGGCCCGCACTCGTGCAGGCCGACTCTATTTTGATACCTACACCGTCTTTATGCAGCTTCTCGAGGAAGCTTTCACCACCCAAGATGCCCCCGGAGAAGCCCTGCAACAACTGAAGAAGATACGAATGGACAAGAAACATGCCGAGGACCACAACACCAAGTTCAAGACACTTGTCAAACGATCCACCCTCACAGATCCCGTTGCCATTGCTGACCTTTACAGAGACTCCCTCTCGAACAAGGTCCTTAGCCTGATCATCAATTCCAGGAATATTCCAAGGAACATCAGCGACTGGTACAAGTGAGCAGTGGAAGTAGATGTCAACAATCGACGACTCGCTCAGATCTTTGATTACCGACGTGGAAGCAACCTGAACACCAGCTCCTCCAAACCCTCGAACCCCGCCAAAACCTACAACTTCCAGAAAGCTGAACGAGACCCCTATGCCATGGATATCGATGCCATGACGGTTGGCGAACGCAACGACCTCATGCGCTGAGGGCTTTGCTTCCATTGCTGCCGACCAGGACATCTATCCAGGGAATGTCCCAGCCGACCTCCTCTCAACCGAGGCCAAGGGAACTCCTGGAGACAACAGAACCAGTATCTGCCTCGCAACGCAAACTATCAGCCGCAATGCCAACCCTTCGTACCCCAATCACAACCCAACAAACCGCCCCCTTGAACGGGCAAAGACCTTTATGCCCACATCCGCTCCATGACCGAACAACTCTCCCCCGAAGAACGCGAGACCTTCTATGCTGAAGCAGCCGAACAGGGTTTTTAAATCAACAGACAGTACTAGTGTCTGAACCCATCTATGCATCTCCTTATTTAGAAATACACTCCGTGAGTGTAGCTCAGATCGTCAATAAAACTATTTCGTTACCAATCGAGATCTTGAGCAATTCTGAAAGGAGCATCGCTAGAACCAATGCCCTGCTAGACTCTGGAGCTGGAGGAATTTTTATTGACACCGACTACGCGAGACGATTGGCCTTACCGACCTGGCCATTAGATGAACCCTACACAGTTTACAACGTGGATGGGACCCCGAACAAGAAAGGAACCATATATGAATATACGAAGATCCCCATCAACATCGGAGACCGGATCAGACTTCTCGAATTATTACTTGCTGGATTAGGAAAGCAGAAGATTATTCTTGGCTTCCCCTGGCTTTGAGAAGAGAACCCAATCATTGATTGGTTGACTGGACAAATCAAATGGAGAAACCCACTCCCTGACAAATGGACGAACGAAACCGGAGAAACTCACTCCCAGACAAATGAGCGAACTGAATCCTGAACGGAGAGACTCACTCCCAGACAAATGAGCGAACCGAACTCAGAAGACTTCAACGAATTTGAAGGTCTTGAAGAACCCGAAACCGAAGCCTGGATCAACACAATCAGAACTGAAGAAACCGACTGAAAACTGAACCAGAAACAAATCGACAACTCGAAGAAGACCCTTGAAGAACTTGTTCCTCCTGAATACCATGAATTCCTCGACCTCTTTTCCAAACGGAACTCCAAATGTGTCCCCGAACATCGACCCTGGGACCACAAAATTGAACTGAAAGAAGGATTTGAACCAAAATCCTTCCCGATCTACCAGATGACCCCTGAAGAAGACAAACTGACAAAACAGTTCATTGACGAACACCTCCGAACCGGAAAGATACGACCCTCGAAATCTCCCATGGCCTCACCCTTTTTCTTTGTCCCGAAAGCCGACGGTAAGAAACGACCTTGCCAAGACTACCGATACCTCAACAACTGGATGATCAAAAATGCATACCCTCTCCCTTTGATCAATCCTCTCCTCAATTGAGCACGAAAGTTCTGATTCTTCACCAAATTTGATATATGATGGGGCTTTAACAATCTCCGATTCAAGAAAGGAGATGAATGGAAAGCTGCTTTCAAAACTAAATTTGGTACTTTCAAACCCCTCGTTATGTTCTTTGGACTCTGCAACTCCCCCGCATCCTTCCAGAAAATGATGGATAACATCTTTGTCGCCGAAATAGATGGAGGATGGTTGATCGTCTATATAGATGACCTCCTTATTTGCGCCAACACCATCCAAGAACTTCGAGAGAAAACCTGCTCCGTTCTTTCCCAACTCCGAAAACACAACCTCTATATCAAACCCGAGAAGTGTGAATGGGAAGTCGAAGAAGTCGAAATGCTTGGAACAATCGTCAAGTATGGAGAAGCGAAGATGTCATCAAGAAAGATCAAAGCCATCACTGACTGGCCAATCCCCACTACCGTTCACCAAACCCGAGGATTCGTTGGACTTGCTAACTTTTACAGAAGATTCATCCGCAAGTTCTCTGAAATCGCCCGACCCCTTCACGACCTCACGAAGAAAGATGCCTTCTTTGATTGGACCCCTGAATGTCAAGAAGCTTTTGAAGCGCTCAAGAAATGCTTCACTGAAGAACCCATTCTCATCATGCCTGATCAAGCGAAACCCTTCCAGATCGAATCCGACGCCTCCAAGTTTGCCTCTGGAGCTGTCCTCACCCAACTCGATGAAAACGGACTACAACATCCCTGTGCCTTCTATTCGCAGTCGTTCTCACCCACCAAACGAAACTATCAAGTTTATGAACGAGAACTCCTTGGCATCATATGAGCGCTTAAAGAATGGAGACACTATATCCAAGGCGCTCCTTATGACACAACGGTCTTTTCAGACCACCAGAACCTCCAATATTGGAAAGCCCCCCAAGACCTCAACCAACGACAAGCTTGATGGCACCTCTACCTATCCGAATTCGATCTCAAACTGGTCCATATGCCGGGCATTAAAATGATCCAATCTGACGCACTCTCCCGATGCCCAGACCATTGCCCTGAAGAAGACAACGATAACAAGCAGATTACCATGCTTCCTGCTCAAATCTTCATCAATCTTATTGACGTTGACCTCCAGAAAAAGATCGCCAACTCCCCTAACTTCGACTACGACGCCGCCTCCGCCATCAAGCTCCTACTCGACTCTAACCTCCCACACGTCGAAGAATCCTTATGTGACTGGACCTTTGAAATGGTCAAAGACAAACCCCTTCTCTTCTACCAAGGAAAGAATTACATTCCCAAAGACATTGAAATCTGACGAGAAATCGTCAAACAACACCACGACTCCAGAACTGCCAGACACCCTGGAGAACTAGAAACATACAATCTCATCTGACAGAACTATTGGTGGCTGGGAATGCGAACCTTTGTCAAGAATTACATACAAGGTTGTGTAGAATGCCAACAATTCAAGATCGACTGACACCCATCGAAACCCTCCTTAATCCCAATTCCGCCTTCGAAATCCCTCCGTCCTTTTGCCCAAGTATCCATGGATTTTATTACTGATCTACCCAAGTCAAATGGGTATGATTCAATTATGTCCGTGGTGGACCACGGGCTTACAAAGGGGGTGATTCTCATTCCAACAAACAAAGACGGCCTTACCGCCGAGAAAACTGCCCAACACCTCCTCGACAACCTCTACAAACACTTCAGCCTCCCAGATAAATTCATTTCTGACCAAGGATCACAGTTCAAAGCAGAATCCTTCCGCGAATTCCTGAAACTCCTTGAAATTGAATCATCCCTATCCACCGCTTATCACCCTCAAACTGATGGAACAACCAAATGCTTTAACCAAGAAATTGAAACCTACCTCTCCATCTTCTGTACTGGCCAACAAGAGTCATGGGCTGATGAACTCTCCCTCATGGAATTCGTCCACAACTCCAGAAGACATTCTGATCGGCAACACTCCCCCTTCGAACTTATTCTTGGAATTCAACCACACGCTATCCCTCAAATGTTTGCCTCTACCAAATTTGGATCGGTAGAAGAAAAGGTGAAACATCTGGAACAAATTCGTAAAGAAGCCATCACTGCGCATGAATTAGCTGTGGCACGCATGGCCTCCAGGCTCCGCAGCACATTCAAACCCTTCAAGAAAGGCGAAAAGGTGTGGCTCAACGCGAAAAACCTCAAGCTTCCTTATGCAACCAAGAAGATCTCCACCAAACGAGAAGGCCCCTTCCTAATTAAAGACGTCTTAGGACCTGTAACATACAGGCTTTCATTACCAGACTCTTGGAAGATACACGACATTTTCCACGCTGCACTCCTCACCCCCTTCCGAGAAACCGACACGCATGGTCCTGCCTTCACCAAGCCTGCACCAGACCTCGTGGATGATGAAGAACACCAAGAAGTCGAAAGGATCGTCAAGCATCGAATGTGAGGCAAAGAACAAGAATACTTCGTCAAGTGGAAAGGCTTTCCCCATTGGGACAATGATTGGCAAACTGCAGCTGAACTCGAAACTGCACCAGCCGTTCTTGGTCCCTACCTCAAACGAAACCCAATCAAGCCTCAAAACATGCCTTCTACACGCCGAAAATGACCTTTGACCACATCATCCGTAAAGCCAAGTCCGCCACCTCGTTCACAAAGAAGACGAAGATCAACGACCAGCCACGTCACATGAGCTGCAGCGCCTCCCTCTCTTCACTCGAATCACTAAACACCATCCCTTGATCGTCACTGGGTATTTTTAGAGTGTTTGAAGAACACGAAGGACCAGCACCGATACCACCACCCAAAGAACCTCGCGACTTTGTTCGCATCTCGCAGCAAAAGTGTTTTGGTACAAAAAGACTTCGTCCCCCCTTCTTCGACCCAACAACAAAATACGACACCTCCATTCAAGAGAAACCATTACCACTATGCCCACCCGATCTCAACAAGCCTCTTCCCCCTCTTCCAACTCCTCCCCCTCTCCCAGCTTATTCGGGACTGCACCATCTGGCCCCTCTCATCATGCTCATTCCGTCACCACCGCCAACACAACTCTCCACACTGCTCGCCTCTCGCATAGCGCAATCCCAGCTCCCCCACCAACAGATAGCCTCCTTCCTGGTTCTGCTCCTTCCTCTTCCTCCGTTACCAACATCTCCGCCCCCACGACCTCCGAACAGCTTTGCCACCTTCTTGTCGAACGCCCTCAGATCGCCGACCGCCTACTCGTTGCTCTTGACGCAAATTCTGTGGAACAACCTGCGTTGTGCACATACTTTATTATGATGCACCAAATCGCCCTCAACATCCAAACCACTGACGTGTTCCTTCGATGACAACAGAGACAAGCCAATGCCACATTCGCCGACCTACAAAACCTTGGCTTTGACGCAGCCCTACGACCCTTCCTTACCCCAGAACAACCACCCACACCCAACCACTCCAATCTTGGGCATCTACAAGGCGTCTCCCCAGTCGAATTCCCTGAAGGCTCAGGAATCTTCATGTACCCTCAGCCGCCTCTACGATCTGTACAGCGACGAACCGAATACCCCTCCTCTCTTATCTGACAACAGCAAGAAAGAACCCGACAAGAACGAGAACAAGGATCGCAACAACAACAAATGCATCCCGCGCCTCCGCCATACCAGCGAAGGCCAATGCCGTATCCATCATCATCACCTGTGGCGTTGGCTTCCACTGGAAGAGTCCATGAGGTCAGTCACTCCAGATGTCTTCGCTGCGATCATTGTGGACAACCTGGTCACGTCCTCGTCAATTGCTACCATTACACCTGTCCTCACTGTCAATTCTCCGCTCCTCACCACTCCCCCGCAAGTTGTCCACATGCCCCCATCCCGTTCTTGTCTGTTGATTGAAGAACTTATTAGTTGGACTCGTGATATGAGATTGTGAAACCTGGAGTTTTCACCATAGAAAGGGGGTAATGTTACGATTCATCTTATTGCGCTTAGTTTGCACCTATTTCTTTTCCTCGTTGTTACCTCATTCCAGACTGTGCTTGCTGCGCCGTAGTACCACGCTTCTCCCATGCCTCTTTTATGCCTCTACGTTTCCTCGAGGACATTACTATATAAATACCTAGCTACATACTTTGTCTGTAGCTAATCTTAGTTATTCAAAGCCTGTTCTATGCAGCACCATACTGGACAAAAATACAGATTTATGTTTTTTCCTCATAAGTCCCTCTCCAATCTGTCAGATTCAGGCGGAATCCGTCCAATACGGTCCCAATCCGCAGGAAACACACTGATTAGACCCGCTTCGTTCGCCACCCAAAAAAAAAACCAAAACCCCTCCCGATCTGCAACACATCTCCCTGATTCCAACCAATTCCGACCAATTCCGACCAAAACCATAATTTTTTTTAGATCGCAAGGTCCCAAACGGTCGGATTCGGGACGAATCTGACCACACACGAGGGGGAAAAAATCACTAGATGTTTCTTAGAAAAAAAATTGAGGAGGAATCCGTACGAATTGTCCCGAATTGTCCCACGCGGCCAGATTCCTCCCGTATCGGAACGATGGGTCATAAAAAAAAGGGAGGGTCGATCTGGCCGAATCGAGCAGAGACGGTGCGAAGATGGCGGATCCGGGAGGATAGCGTCGGTCTCGGGACGAAACGGGAAGATTTGGTCAGATTTGGTCAGGCTCCAGCCTAAATTAGGGTTTCTCATAAAAAAAACTTCAATCGTGTATTTTTGTCCAGAACGGACCGTCATACTGTTCTCTTCTTACCGCTCTTTTGAGTTGGATGGCGAGCGAAGGCTTAACAAAAACCCTGGACAATGTGCAAAAACTGGAGTATGCTGGAGTTGCTTAAATGAACAACAAGTTGAGTCAGATAGAGCCAACCTGTTAAGAATGTGGTTCTTTATTGATTTACGAGGATCATTCCGTACATGACCGTAAGGGAACATCCAATCCTCGGGCTATCAGCGGCGTGACCTAAGTAATACCCTAAGTGTCCGTGATCATACCAATTATCGTGACATCCCGTAGAGCCAACCTGTTCGTTGATTATGGGGCTATTGGGAGGAAGTAATCCCGTTCACGTACTAAGTCGCCCGCGCAAGCCGTGATGCATACTATGGCTGACCAATTGAGGCCGTTAAACCAATATTGGAGTTCAGCGAAGAGTGTGTGCGATGCCATTGAGAGGGTTAGAAGGTGGTAGTAGTGACCTCCAGCATACGGAGCAACTGGCGTTTTGAACGCGCTGAAAGAAATTCCTGTGGCTTCGCTATCCAGCACGGCTACGATGTCGTGGGTCTCGGGAGCACCGATCAAGGATCGGAGGGATACGACAGTCGCGAAGAGTGTCCTCATGAAGGACATGAAGGAGAAGGAAATCTTGAGCAATGATGCTGATGAGACACGTTTATCTGTAGGGGAACATGAAGTAAATCAAATACACAGGGCAATTATAGCAGAACGCACGATCGTCTGTATCATCTCGGAAACACTTGGCCTTCTGCTTCGCGCGAATAAGAACCTGCATGTAGCGCTTGCGCTCCTGCCTGCGTTCCAACTATGACCCTATCATGACCACAAACACATATAGCAAGTATAGGACAACCGAAAATACCAGCATTCATGCGGAGATCTTGCCGTCCCAAAGTGTGAAGAGCATCAGAACGCTAGGAAGGTGACTCCGGCGACGTTCTCGTTAAGTCCCAGTAGCTAAGGATGAATATGAAAAACTCGGAGACACTGACCCCAAGTGTGGGCAAAAGGCAAAAGAGCAAGATGATGACTTGGTCACTCGGAGGCCTAGACAGAAGTACTGCAGGAGATAGTACCAGATGCTGTACAGGTTTGTAATGGGTCTCGGAGAAGTAGAGGACACAATCCAAGCAATAATTTGCCCAAATTCGTGGGCTACTACGGAAGAGGGGAGGCACCGTTAGGGGGAAAAGTGGACGGAAGAGGAAGAGACGGGCCAGTGGCGTCATCTTATGAAGCCAAACGGACGAACGGCCCGTGAGTCTGCATCAACTAGAGTTAGAGCCTCTTCGAAGTTCGAGCATAACTACGTCCTTCAACTTGCTGAACGACACCAATCCTATCCATCAAGAATGTCATCAAGTAAGGCAAAGGCGAAGGGAGTCAGTGCAAGTTCATTCTTCGATCTCAAGGCGGAGCTATCCAGACAGGAACTCGAATTCGCAAGGGCGAAGGTGGAAGGCAAGAGCTTAGCCGTGGTTGGGGGTATCAAGCGTCCCGACAAGGTACATCACCTGTCTGCGTCGATAAGGACTCACTTTTAAGCACAAATTTGCAGAAGCCAACCGTCTGGGCACGCCAGAATAAAGGTGTCAAGGCTCGAGCGAATCGGGACGTTGAGCTTGAGGAGATCAGCAAACCAACCCTTGACTCGGCAAGAGCTGCCCTGGAGAGGAAGGCGCAGATTTACGAGAAGCTGAGGAGAGGCAAGACGGGAGGACTCAACGATGCACAATATGATGCTCTGCTCGTCGATGTATGTCCTTCGGGTTCACCCCTCCATTCCTGCTATATTTATATTCGGCGTGCCAGTTCGATTCAAATCCGTCCACGTCGAAGTATTATCAGGGACACAGTTCGGATGAGGACGAGAGTTCGACGGTACCAAAAGCTCCGACAAGTTATGAGGTAGGTACGCGTCCTTCGATATTTGAAGGACGAATACTCATTTGGTGGGTAGAATGATCCCATCGTCGAATACGAGGATGAATTTGGACGTATACGGTCAGCACGTCGTTCTGAAGTTCCTCGGAACCTCGTCTTGGATCAAGATGAACAAGAAGACGATGAGTGGGTGCTATTTTCCTCGTAATGGCGCTAATGTTAACGTATTTCCCCGTTCTCAGAGACCTCATTCGTAAATTATTATCCCCACATGGTTCTTATATCACGAGCGCTCACTTCTTTACCTCTAGGAAATCCTGTCAATCACTTCCCCACGTACCAACCTTCTGAAGATCGCGTAGCAGAGATCGAGAAGGCATATGCGGAGGAGAACAACCCCCTGAATGTGCACTACGACGCCTCTCGGGAGGTCCGTGCAAAAGGAGCCGCTTTCTATCAATTCTCTGGCGACGAAGAGACAAGAAGGCAACAGATGGAGGAGATGAAAGCATCAAGAGAAGAGACGGAGCGAATGAGACGAAACCTCGGTTCTGAGGACGTCAAACCAGGCGAAGTTGAAGGCATGCAGGACGACAGTGGCAATACAGGTGAAGGTGTGGCGCGGAGCAGAGCGATGGAAAAGAGAAAGCGGGAGATTGAAGAACGCAGGAAGCTCTTGGACGCGAAGAGGCGGAAGCTAAAGAAGAGCGATACACCAGAAGCAAGCAACCCGCCAACCTCCACCCCGACTACCATGGCCACCACGACCACCGCATCGGGTGAAGAACGAGGAAAAACCACGTCCAGTGTTTCCGACGACCCCTCTGCCACTCTGGATAACGCCTCGAAAGCTCAGCATCCAAATGCAGATCCCTTCGCCGCGTTAGAGTCACAAACTTCAAAGGAAAGCAAAGGAAAGCAAAAAGCACAGCCAGCCTCTTCCGAAGCAGATTCATTTCTTGCTCAGCTGGAAGGAGAGTTCCTCGCCTCAAGAACCAAGAAGTAATTTGGTTTCGGCCACGCATATATACTACTGGCCTCGTCCACCCTTACAGAGTGTTGAAGCGAAATCGGGCTCTAGCACATCCATACCCAATATCTCCGTCGGCCTTTAGACCCTTTGTCCTCGCCATTTCATCTATGAAAGCTCTCCACGCGAAGAACTTCGAGGCGATTGGTAACCCCGGCTTGAATATGGCACTCGTGTAATGCTTCGTCACCAATCGTGATCTGTGTGTTCTTACCCCAGACATTTGACAGAGGGACAACTGAAACTTCGAAATGCCTCATTACAGTGCGGTGCAATTTCATCTGGAATACAGTTGTCCTAAGTTGCGCAGGATAGTGACGCCTGACCCTCCTTGCTCCTCCTCTACACGAACCTACGAGACAAGATGGCTTTGCTTTATAAGTATGATTGACCAGTTCGTCATCTTCTATCGTGAATTCCGTTTCGATGTCCTCGAAGAACACAGCGTAAACTGGACCGTGCTCAGCTTGGCTGTAGTTACACTGGTGACCTTCCAGCTGCCTCCCGTGTCCTCTGGATGGGACATGACGAAAGAGGAATGCATGAATGCCTGTTTATCCTAGACAATGGTGCCACCTCAGACTCAGAGATAGTCGCCTCGGGGATAGAAGCTGGGGTAGATTCGACTTTTTACCCTAGAGAGGTTGCGCCATTTTTGGGGCACACCCAACTCATTCATAAACTCCCTGTTTCTGAATAGGAACCTCTTTAGCAAGGAAAGAAAAAAAGGGACCACGCGCACTCACTACCGCATCTCAGCCGCCGAATGCCAGGGTACCAGTGCTGCTGGTTGGGTCAAGTTTACGAGGTGGAGCAGCGGTGTAAGCAACACAAGATCGCTGTATGCGGCCAAAGAAATCATCAGGACCTAAGGGCCTCAAGCTCAAGACCGATGGATCGAAGGGTTGCACACTCTTCAGCTCCTCGGCAACCGATGAATTCGTTCTTTTGAGCTGGAGAACAGGGCGCAATTTTGAGTTTAACAGATGGCCGATGAGAGTGAAAATGACTATGAACTTATAAATAACTGTTTTAGAGATAGTGAGGCTCTCTTAGAGGTTGGAAACAGGAGCAAGTCGATACTTACATCGTCAACGACACACCGACGTAGCATCATCCTCCAGAGACAGGACAGATAATTGCTACCTCCTCCCCTCCTTTCAGACAAACAGTATCCGGATCTTCAACCATTTCGCAGTCGACGCTCCATTGGCTGGTTTCTAGGATCTTCTTGAGATCCGTGTTAGGATAATGCGATACCAGTAACTGGCCCAGAACCGCGAGCTTCAACCCCCCATTCGGGATGGGTATCTCTTCAGAAGTTCTTCCAATTGTTGTAGAGGCTGCTGCGAAGTAAAGCACGGTGATTTTTGGGCCAGCCGGAGTCGACATGGATGTTCAAACGAAACATTCAGACGGTGGAGGTTCTGCGAAATCTAATCTAATTACATCTGACGTCACTCAAGATAATCTACTCGGCGTCGATAGCTCACAACGGAATATTCACCGACAAATTCCATTGCGCAAGAGAGTTGTATTGTCGATATGTTTCAACTCTACTGTCCACCAAATTGGCTTTGAAGTCTTTATCCAGACCACTTGCTCCTCCGGGACCAGGTGGTTCGAAGTCGACACCATGCCGTCAAAAGACGATGGATGATCAGCTAAAAACTGCGAGTAAGTTCACCGACAAAGACACATCCAATGAGGACATACTCAGGTTCCATCGAAGCCCAGAAGTCGAGAGGATCGTAGATTCTATGCCGACAGGTAGAAGTCCACAAGTTTTCCCGAGAATATTGTGGTCGATTTGAATGTCATGTTCACCCTGATTTTTTTGGGATGGTGTTGAGCTCGGAAACAGGTGATAGGGAGACGAAAATAACGTACAGAATCCAGGACCCAGCCGACATTGTCGTCCGTTACGGCGAACACACGGTCGCGTCTCTTGCGAAGCTTGTGTAAATAGGAAAGTGTGTGGATCGTCTGGTCTAAACGGCCCGATAAACCTCCCAGAAGAACGACATGGTACTGCTACATACTCAATTGTCAGCTGCTCTGTGGAAAATGGAAAATAGTAAGACGGTGTACGGACCGAAACCTCTTCCCGGTACTCCTTCTCCTCTAGCGCGACGACACATTTCATTAAATCCGTCGAGTCCTGATCATCGTCCTCTACCACTGGTACACCCTAGAGTTACGTTTTCGGTCTTGTAAGGGTGCCAAGGCGTAGAGAGCTTACAAGGGATTCGTAGAACCTCCGCACCTCTGGCCTTATCGAGTCCAAGTCGCCTTTGATCAGGTCTGGAATGTATCTGGGCTCCAAGATACTCCATACCCTTGAAGGAACAACAGGTTCAACAACTTACCTTAGGCGCTCTTTAGGGTCCAGAAAGCTATCGTGGAGACGGTTGGCCCCTCCGTCGGCGCAACAATGCCATTCTGTCGAAGCCCAGAGTCGATCTAAGAGTGGCCGCAAAAATGGTTGGTTCAGAATTATTAAGGCGTGTTTAGCGGCGTTAAAGCCCGATTGTCCTTGTAGAAAGCTCACGTCCCAGGTGTTCTTCGTCGACATTGTATGCCAACGTGGTGAAAGAGGGAGATGATGACGAACGACTTCAACACCTGAAGAGAGCAAGGAGGTCATCAATCTTATCTTATCTCCAACATCCGCCATACCAAAAAAAACTACATCATAACGATATAAATGCCAGTGTCTCTAGAAAGCGACAGCAGATTGGACAAATGATACAAGTACATGAAGCAAAAGCAGCTGACGAAAGTGTTCTAGAAGTCTGCCAAGATGATCACGATCCTTGGTTCCTCCTGGACCAATTCGAGAAGCTAAGCGCACCCACAATGCCCACAACAAGGAGAGCCGTTCCTGCTCCGATGATTCCAGGGATGTAGAGGTACCACGTACTGTCGACGTCATCCAACTCCGTTTTGTCGAGGATGCCGGGCTGCTCTTCCTTTTTCCGTCGACGACGTACGATCGGCCCTTCGGGCTCTGAATCCGCGTAAAGCGACTCCTTTGAGTGCTCGCTCTCCGGCGCCGATGCTGCGACTGGCATTGACGGCATCTCAAGCTCAAGCTCTCCTTCAATAGGAAGAGCGGGGATATCGAGGCTGGGGTGCAAGGCCTTAGCCCGTTCGAAGAACTTGGCTGCAGCTTTGCGGTCTCGCCTCCAAGCTTCTGCTCCTCCTTCTCCAATCTGAGCGTGAAGAGGTATGCGGATGGACGAGAGGCTAGAGTATGACGAAGCAAGAAGTGTAGATGCTGCGCCTTCGAGATGCAACAGGCCTGCTTCAAGATAAAGTTGGGCTAGACCTCTCGAACCACCGATCGTCTTGAAGCAGTACTCCATTGTCCCGCGCGAAGGGTCTTCCAACGTGTCAACCAACTTCGACGTCCCCTCAAGAGGTAGGTAGTGCGAGACGAGGCGCATAGTAGCCGAGGGCACATGAGCTTGCCGCCACGCTCGCCTACACAGAGCACCAAAACACTCGGGTTAGAGCAGGGTCTTCACACACAAAGCAACGTTCGTGAGATCTGACGTACAGGAAGAATTCAAACGCCTCCTCCTTGTCCTTCCGGATATCGCACAGCTCTAGCCCAATGAGCGCCAGGCTCGTGGGGTCCATGTTATACTTGTCCTCCAGCTCATCAGCCACGTCGAAGACCACGACGGTGTTCGCGATGCTTGAGGCGAGCGACTCCGGCACGGGCCCCACGATGAGCGACGGCCAAATAATCGACTGCTCCTTCTCCAGATGCACCGTTAGGAGCCTGCCGGATCGAGGCGACTGGGCCGCCGAGTCCAGAGACGAAAACGAGGATGTCATGCTGGGATGCGCATGGCCCGGCGAGACGGAGCGCGAGGTGGCAGGGTCGGGATTGGGATTGAGCTTCCGCCGTGGAAGGGGATACTGGACGTCATCCGCAAAAGAAGACAGGTTGGGTGACGAGTGGGCCGGGGAGGGTGAGTAAACGTCTTCGGCGTCGGACACCTGCCCGCTCGTGCTCTCGAGCGACGCCGCGAAGCTGCTGGAGATGTCCGGGTCGGAGGAGACGAGGGCGTACGACGAATGTGTTCCCGTCGATGCCGTCGAGACAGAGGAGATCGTTCGCTCGCGAGAAGACCTTGATATCCGGGGCTCCAGCTGCCACACCGAGTTCCTCGTGTCCACCGCTCCGTAAATCCGTCCCTACAAAATAAAAACGCTTGGTCATTCCAGCGTCCACATATCAGAACTTGGTGCAGTAGAACTCATGCCTTGACGATGGGCGGGAGGTCTTTAACGGTGATGATGAGATGATGTCGGTCTATGACCACCTACGCAAGCAGGTCTTTCATAAACAGGTCCGCACAAAAAGCTCCTTGGAAGGGACTCACCGACAGATCCTCATCCTGGATGCTCGACGGCACCATGAGCAACACCGTCGCCTGACATACATGGGTGGGCCTATCAGCACAACTGCCGCAGCTGGCTGTACGATTTATTCAATCTACCTGATCATGAGACTACAAATGCATGGTTTCAACACGAGGCGCATTGCTAGCAGACGATCTGTGTGGGCTCACCTGGTGCCACGAGTATGGATAATACGGGCGTTCGTTGTACTTTTCCATGTCAGAGATGGAGAGACAAATGAGAGGGAAGGTCGGCAGGAAATGAGATGTGGGAGAGGACAAGGAACAGGTTGTGACTCGGCGTTGCGCGATCCTTCCGGGGCACAAGGGGCGTCTAAAGTAGCAATCTGCCGGCCACGTGTTCGCGTAACGTTCCCTTCAAGGCGGAGCAATTGGTGTCTATATCTCGTAAGTAAATAACCCGTGGATATTGTACATGAGCAACATATCAGCACGACGACAAACAGGATTCAGAGTATACTATGAGTGTTACTAACTATGCAAGGTGTGCGAAGAGAAGGAGGAAGAGAAGGAAAGGGAAAGGGAAAGGGAAAGAAAAATAAAGCACAAGAATGGTATAAAATAATGAGGTATAAGTAAGGTTGTGAATTGTGATAACTTGTGTGCGTTGTGTAAGTAAGTGTAAAACGAACGAATGTAGAAGAAACGAACGGAAGACGACAAAGGAGCGTGCGTGTGTCTGAAACGAGCGAGTGCGAGTGAGGGGAAATCAATCGAATGTCCAACCAAACCTTGAGTATATCGAAAGAAATAAGAAAAGAAAAAGCAGTACCAAGGTTACGACCCCGCACTCTGCTTCAACGTCGTCGCGATCCGCTTAATCGTGTCCTTCTCGTGTTCCATGTGCTGTATGAGCATCCCATCGAGCCGCCGCAGGCTCTCCTGCGCCTTCTGGCTGTTCCGCCACTCTAGGACATGGTCAGCCGTCGACGGGCGGCGCACCTCGCCGTCTCCTCCACCTCCATGCACCCCCGAAAACATCCCGATCCCACCAGCAGCAACAGATGCCGACCCGGAAGCGTACCCGGGGTACGCTCTCCCCTCCTGCCCCGCGGCGTACCGGAAAAAGTCGAACGACGACGGCGGCGCGTCCTTGCCCCCTGTAGCAGGGTGGGGCCGGATGGGCGCGTTGGATACGGGCAAGCGGGAGTGCGCGTCGTTCCCCACGGGCGACCTATCGACTGCACTTGCGTTTGCGTTCGCGGAGCGGATGTATGGCGCAGAGAGGTTACCGTGCCGCATAAGCGTTGGTCGGATGTTCGTCGTCGATGCGCTCGACACTGCCCTATTCCTCGCATCTCCTCCTACCCCTCCAGCACCCCCAACCCCTGCTGCCCCCACACTTCCCATACCACCACCAAACGACGGCCTCTGCCCCACACCCGATGTCCGACCAGGATGCTGATGCTGATGCTGCGGCGGCATCATATCCCCCTGCTCCTCCTCCTCGTCAGACGACGAGTCCAAATCATCCATCGCATTCGGGTGCTGCGTCTGTATCGTATCGAAGAAATCCGTCGGCGAAATCGGGCCGGGGGCAGAATGGATCGCCACTGGCACATCCATAACCGCACTGGGAATCGTCAGCGCTGCGAGTCTCGACGCACTCGTACTCGACGGCGAGCGGCGGTGGCCCCTCTCTGGCTCCGGCTCTGGCTCCGGCTCTGGTAAGGGCGGCGTCGACGGCCCAGGAGCAACGATCTGGAACGCAGAGTCGGGGGAGTCCGCACGCGGGCGTGTAGACGTTGACGCTGATGTCGACGTCGAGGGGTTGGGGCTGGGTGTCGGAGTCGACGTGGACGTCGAGTGGGAGAGCGAGAGCGAGGACGGCGGCAGGTCCCTCCGGAACCCCGAGCGGGGAGGGGGCGGCAACGCATGATGTGCGAGCGAGCTCGAAATCCGGGGCGGGGGCGACATCGTCGAGTACCTCGGCGCCGGAGAGTCGCGCAGTGCCTCCTGGCGCTCGATGCTAAACCTCGACGGGCCGGCGTTGCCGCTTGACACCACCGAGTGGTGCTGCTGGTGCAGGTGGAGGTCCTGCAGATGGGGCTCGTCCGAGCTTTCCCGATGGTGGTGGTGGTTCAGCATCTCCTGGAAGGTCGACGTCGTAGGCGACATCGAGCTCTGGGAGTAGTCTGACAACGACGGCCGGCCCGGCGCACCCACACCTGCCTCCTCCACATCCTCCTCGTTGTCCGACTCGTGCGGCGTCTGGTAGCTGCCCCTAATCGTATCATTCGTCGACGTCGTGGTCGTCTGCTGCGAATGCCTGCTATAATGCGGCATCGGCGGGGGCGACATCAAGTCATGCCTTGAGATGGCAGACTCGTACTCATCCGAGAGCATGGGCGAGGACACCGTCCGTCTCAGGCTTGGATGCGAGTGCGACTCTGAGTCGCTGTACGAGTGGGGCGAGTGGGGTTGGTGTGACGGCCGGCTTGACAGGTCGGTCTGCGACAATGAGTAGAGGGGGTTGGTAAAATGCCGACGCGGGGGCGGCGCGAGTGGCGTCATGGGCCCTGACGGCGTCTCGACGCGTTGAGGAAGGTAGCTGTGCGGACGAGATGCGTCATGCGAAGTGTCGACGACAAGACCTCCTCCCAAGGCGCCTTTCGCACGTCCCTTGGAGGACGACGCATGGCTCTGGCCCGACTTCTGGCGTTTGTGGTTCGGTGTCGTCGTCCGGTCGATGATATCAATCATCGGCTGCGCGATGATCCTCTTCTCAACCAGCTGTCGCACATCCTCCGGCGAGTCCACTTTCAGGCTATCTGCCCCCTTCGGCCGCGGAGAGCCCACAGGCGTGGACGCCCCTATAGGATGGGAGAAGGTCGACGGATCTGGTGTGTTGTCGTAAGAGCGTTGGACGGCCTGATGCAGAATCGCCTTCCTCCAGGTATCCTCGATAGGATCATAGGAGACGGTCATATTCGGGTTTTTCGCAGGGGGAAGACGGTCAGCCAAGACGTCTGCTCCTACAGACTCGAGCACCCCTAAACCATGCAGTGCCGAAGCTTGCACGGCGAAGGGATAGGACGCTGATGGGAGGGGCACGTCGACCGCGTCGGTAGGGTCGATAAAGTCGTCCAAAGCATCGAGTTTCGCCTTCTGCGACCCGCCGTCGATGCGCACGCCTCGCGTCTTCAGGTCCTGCTCGGCTTGCTTCGCGGCAACCGCAATGTCGTGCATCTTCTCTCGCACGACGACCACCCTTCCGCGAGACCCTGGGTTCGGCAAATGGGGCGACAAACGAGGCATCTGGGATGACGACCGTGGGTCCTGCGGCCTGAGAGCGTACGAAGCGGCTATCGAGTCGGAGGTGGTTCGGAGCATCGGAATCTTGGGATCGAACGGCGAGGTAGTGGAAGTCGGTGTCGTTGGTTTTGACTTGGACCTGCCGACACGGAATATGTCGAGGAAGGTGGGTGTCGCTGTCTTGGCTGAGCTTTTGGCATTGGGAAGTGTTGACGCAAATTCAGCAGGCGAGGGCTTGGAATGGGCTGGGGGAAGGTAGTAGTTGTTCTTGACGAGCAGACGGAGGCGATAGGAGACATCGTCGCTGTCATACTCCTGAACCTCATTGACTTCAGGACCGAACGAGAGGTCGTGTATAGACTCGTCCTGGAGAGCCATAGAGCGGGGGGATGGAGGTGACTCTGGCCCTGAAGCCGTAGAAGTAGATGGCGGGTACAGGGATGATGAAGTACCGGAACGCTGGGTGGAGACGGAGTCGCGGACATTAGGCGTTAGAGCCGGGTCGCGCTGGAAAGCCGAGGGAGGGGACCGATAGCCTGTATCGAGAAGAGGAAGGTTGGAGGCTATTTTGGCAGCCTTTGACTTTTTGCACGAAGGTGGTTAATGATACGCTCGGAAGAAGGGTGCGTGTGCTCACCAGTCTGGCGTCTGTGGAGGCCTGGGGAAGGGCCTCGACGACAGTTGCATCTGCCGCTGTGCCTTCCTTGGAGGACGCGGTGTCGCTACTACGTAACTCTGGCGGGTCGAGACGCTGTGGTGACCTCGGTGGGCGGACTGGCGGGTTCGCAAGAGGCAAGTCGTCTGGGGGAGAATTGAGGTAGGCGAGATCAGACTGGGATGGAGGTACCGGGGACGGGGGTAGTGGGGATGTTGGAGCTGATCCAGCGCCTGTGACGGTCCTTGAGCGGGCTCGAGTGCGGGGGCGGCGGGAGAGGGAGACACCGCTCCGTATGCTGGAGTTGCTTGGGACGGAGCGGAGAGAGCCTGGCCGCTGTATGGCAGGAGAGAGCGGGTCGTCCATCGCTGGGGTCAGCGTGGTTGGGAGGCAGCCCGTTGTCGTTGCAATTGTCCACCGAACACCACTCAGGGACTCCCTCCGCGTTCCTGTGAAATTCAACACCAATACCAAATATTACCTAATCAATCAGTCCCTTGCCACGCGAAGGCTAAGCCCACTGCTCCTTGTCTCCGACGCGACGTACCATCATGGCCTTCCTCCTTGCTCCCTGTAAGCAGCGTTTGTCTTTGCACTCGTCATACGCTCACACACCTCAGATCTTCCCAAGACTGCAGGATGGCTCGCATACTGGCAGCTCTTCGTCGCCACAACCGCCGTCTTCAACACCGTCCAGAACTTCGTCACCCTCAAGTTCACCCGTAGGGTCTACAACAACGTCCCCAGCGCCAGTGGTACGCGTCTCTCTCCTCACACCCCGCTCCTCGCTCAAGAAATCGCAGTTACCGCCCTCCAGGCGCGCACCTTCGCTGTGTGGACCCTCACCTCGGCTATTATCCGTGCATATGCTGCCTACAATATCAACAACAAAATGTGCGTCTTCTAGCTCTGTTGCTCTGTGATATTTTCCCTGTCCTCATCATCTTGGCGAACAGCATCTATGACATGGCGTTCTTCACCTACCTCATCGCGTTCGGTCACTTCTCTTCAGAGCTCTTCATCTTCCGCACCTGTAAGCTCGGGCCGGGCGTCATAAGCCCCGTCATCGTCTCGAGTAAGCCCAGTCCTATCCATCCGCGCTCATCATATCTAATAAACCTTTGTCCTCCAGCCACCAGCCTCATCTGGATGTTCACCCAATACGACTTCTACGTCCGATCCTAAAAAGTAATTTACGCTCTGCGTCTATATACCCCGCACGAACCAGGAACGAACAATGGAATCCGCCGGGAGGAGGGGCATGTGGTCTGCACTATGCTCCGGCCTTCCATTCATTCCACCCCAGCTTTCATGTTTTAGCATACACACCATGCGGGGCACGCCCACTAGACTATGTTCGATGCTGTCGTTGGGGAACCTCCATGTGTATTCATCTGTTTTCCAGCTTGAATCTGCTCTGAATATAGACTATATATTGTTCGTTCCAAAATTCGTTGGGCTTCTAGGGACCTCTTGGCTTGAACTATTCTCTGACAGGTCGAATGGCGATATACTCACTGCTTACATCTCTTCTCAAACTACCGGTTGGACGGACCTAAATAACCCAACCTCCACCTCGTCAGCAAAATTAACCACAACTTCGAAAGAATTGTGGAAGGAATTTATAAAACCCGAACCGTAGGCACACTTACCAAGTCAGCGCTTTCTCTCCCTCCCTGTCAACGTTCTAATTCTTCTTGGGTCTATTCTATATTTATTGAAAGCCTCCATGCAACCCCCAAAGAACAACTCCCAGGAAATTGAATTCAAGAATATTATGAGAATACGATCCGAGCGGCCGTTCCATGTGTTGAGGGTCGGACAGCCGAATGAACTATGTGAAGGATCCGGACATGAAAGTGTACGCATGGCGCGCTATAGGTGCTACATGGTTTTACGCCGAACATCTGACCGGGTTTTCATAAAGACTAACTCAAGCCTTGTAAGCCTCAAACACCATCATGAATCCGACGATTCGTCGGACCGAATGCTCGTTAACGTTGTGCCTTCATTCTCCGAGCGCCACTGGCAGAAATATCACTGTAGTCTGTGATCTGTGAGTATGGCATACGCGTACGATATGCTTGCGGAAATATGCGACGATTCGTCGACCACATCCCCACTTCTCGCCTCTCACTTCGAATTCCCTTCAAGTTCTCGCTTCTCCTCACGCCGGTTGGTCGTCGTAAATTTACGACTCCAAACACCATCGGGATAATTTTGCCGATGCGAAGGGACTTGGGAAGGGATTTATAAAACCCGTCGAGGCCTGAGGCGTAATTTATGTAATAATAATAGGCATTTTCTTTCTCTGTCAGGTCAGTTCTTCCTTGGGTCAATCCGATCTATTATTTCATTCAAAATCTGCTTTGCAGCCCCAGGAACAAGACCAACTTCTTCCAAAGAACTGTGGAACTTGAATACGGTCCGACCGTTCGTTCTCACTATTGCGCATCAGGTGTATGGATGAGCGCGTACGCGTACGCGTCCAAAGATGTTAAACGGCTTTAGGACGAACATCTGGCCGGTTTTCATGAAGACGAAAGACCGGCAGCAGCTTGTGCGCCTCAAACACCATCATGAATCCGACGATTCATCGGACTGAATGCTCAACGTTATGGCGGCATTTATTCTCCGAGTCTGAGCTCCAGAAATATCGCAGTGAGCATGGCATGCGCGTACGTTTTATTAAATGACTACGGGAATATGACTGTCTGAATCCCGCAAGCCAAAAAAAAGAAGACGAAACTTCGCCGCGATGTTAATGTACCGGCGCCTCCTCCGACTCCGAGCCTTCATTCTGCGTTATTTTTGTCCCCAACTTACATACAGATGATTGTTGACTGTGAAAGTCCCCGGCCGACCAAGGACCTACTCACCACATGCATCATCGATGAGGCGTCTTGCTTCAACTAATTCGTCATTCCATACAGTTCTGTTCTACTTTCTTTGGTCACTCTCCATCCTCCCGACTTTCTTACGACAGTGGAGCCGTTTATTTCAAGAACACATGGAGTACGTATACGTACCTCGAGGCACGTTCATTCCGGCCCATGCGAGCGCAGGTCCACAAGAGTTGTCTTTGAGTCCATCAGACCCGACGCCCACTGGTACAGGTCATGTGTCCTCCTCGATCCCCAAAAAAACGAAACGGCCTAGTGGTCAGTATGTACCGCGCGTCGTACGGCACCCAGCGAGCAGCGTGAGTGTCTGTTCAAAATATTTGAATGGGGTGCACGAACATGAGAGAGTATGAAGAAATGAACGGTTCCTTTCATACGACAAAGTTCAAGTTTTGAACGCCCGGATCTTGGTCGACCCAGCCCCAACCTCCCTTGAGAAAAACCAACAGTCCTAAGGCGCTGGCCAAGAGACCCCTCGCAAACACCCGGCCGTCCAAGGGCTTTGGAGGGGTTCTCGAAACCCACCTGGGCACCTGGACCTCGAGACTCAGCGGAGGGTTGACGTCAGGTGTACCCTCAGTCGACGTAGATGGCTATCGCTGATCCCGAAGGAGATTCAATTGGTTGACTGCTTTCAAGGGTAGGGGAGGGAAAATACCAATCGAACACACGCACCAGAAATCATTTGGCCCAAATGGCACCGTAGAGAAACGACGATGCTCCTAGAACAGAGTCGCCGGCGGGCGGCAGGACATAAGGGGACGGGACCTGGCACTGTGGCAGGAGAGCAGGAGAAAAGGATCATGGATCACGGATGCTCGTCTGGAAATGAATTGGCAGGAAGAGAACGTAAAGTGTCACAGACTCACAGCAGAGGTCAGATGACGCGAGGATGGAGAAAGATGTCGAAATGTCGGAGATGGATCATGAATTTATGCGCCATTGGGTACAGAGGGAGGGCGTGGGGTGAGCTACCGGCGGAGGTCTTGGACGAGTAAAATTAGGGAGGTAAAATTAGGTAGAAGGCAGGCAACGCACGAAGTTATTGTAGACACCATCCTCTTCTTTACTCCTTGTTCTTTCTTCTGATTCCTGGTCCTTTCTTCCGACTGGCCGTCCCGGCCGACGCTGAGTAGCAAGAAGGAAAACAAAAATAGCTGGAGAAGAGGGTACGGCACGCTCATGGCACTCTTGCCAGTGAACCCTGTTGCATGGCATTGCGCTTAAACGCGAAGAAGCTCGGAAGATTTCCTCCAGTCAAACTCTCCGACCAGCCAAGTTCTGAGGTTCGAGAAACGACGCCAGCTATTATAATTGTGCAGCCCAATCACCTTTCAGCCGGCCACCACCTGCGCTGTGATTCGGGTTGTGTATACAGGCAGATGGAGAGAAATGAGAATGAGGAGACATGAGCTCATGAAGGCCTCATCTGGTGACAGTGTCGTCGGCTAGACCGCCAGCTGCCGTGAGCCTTGATCCAGTGATGGTAGACTGACAGTGGATTCTGGCAGTGGAAGACATATACGAGTGTGTGTCGTTGAAGACCGTGCGCCGGACCTGCTTGTTCCACGTTCTTTCATTAAACATACACCGTAGTGGTACGTAGGCGAAGGAAATGAACCTGTCGAGGCGAACGGGGCTTGGGTAAATGAAAAACAAGACCCGGGAGGGTGCAAACTGGCATCAATTCGCAAGAAGTAGGTTTTACGAGAACATACATACCTTACCTCGTAGGTAATTCTCCAGGCGGTCTGTTGCCCCAACTGCCACCGCAGCAGCGCAGAGAAGGTGTGCAGGGATTGGCTGGGGTTCGGCGGTGGGGCACCCTAGCGGTACCCAACGACGGACGTCTTCATAACGCCGTACGGAGTCGAGGCGAGGCGAATGAGCGTGGGTTCAAGGTCGGCATCCATGATCCAAAGACAGCGTTCAAGAAACCGTAACGAAGGAGCCAAGAACATGGGGAGACCTCTTTTCAGTACTCGATTCGATGGATGGTTTGGATCAAATTCAGACTCGACCTCGAATTTTGATGACGATGATGACAACGCCAGCTGCCAGACAGACGTTCGAAATCTACGCTGGGTAAGGTTTGGAATTGAGGGAATCCAGATCCCCTGACGTGAGCGCGGAGCTGTTCAAACCCTCCGGTGGTCGTTGGAATGCTTAAGACGTACGGCAGACGGCAGACGAACGCCAAAGAGAGGCTGCAGGCTACGACGCCGACAAACGTTCCTTCGGACCAGGAACGAGGCGTCGATCCAGAAAAAGTGTGGGGAAGCCAAGTCGACAAATAACATAAATCACCAAAACGTAAAAAGCGACCCAGCGAATGGCGCACGATTGGTCGAGGAGGGCAACGCGCCTTGAGGCAGCGGAAAGACGACCCTTCGCGCTATTGCTCAAAGGGCATCATGTGGCGAGTCCCGACCGGACGAGTGTGCGGTGAATGTGATCCTGATGCGTCGGCACAGACGCGGTGGTCCCATGACTCGCCTCAACCGGACGGACCCGAAGATCCGAAGGCTGGACACAAGCTGTGTCCACCATCGCATTCGCAGATTCCAGAGACCTAGAAGGAGGGGTGTGAGTGCGGGGGAAGGCAGGCAGTTTGTGGGGTTGGTCCAGGGCGAGACAGGCGCTAAAAACTGCAAAACTAAAAGGGTCACTCGGATTGATGGGGATCTTCTGAAGCTTCCTTTCCCAGATCCGGACGGCGATTGAAATGAGATACCCGGAATGGAAAGTTTGATTTCCCCGCGTCTCCGTGTGACAAGAGCCTGGCGAAGGCGTCACTGGGCCTCCGGGAATTCGTATAAGAATGCTTGGAGCCGAGGCGGGTCCGTCCCTCGATCCACTACCACCACCATCTATTTGAATGTCGACAACGTCTACTATTTCTCACCACCACGACGCCTACTTTCCTCCAGAGCTCCTCTATGCTGTGTGCGCCCATGTCTACGCCTCATGCCTCCTCCCGGAGAAGCCCTCCCTCGATCCCCTCATGACGAACCCAGATGGGCTCGTACCGACTGGCCATCCTACATCCTATCCTGCAGGATACACACCTGAGCCCGTCACCCGTCGCACCCTTGCAAACCTCTGCCTCGTCAACCATGCGTGGTATGGAGCTGCTAAGCCTTGGCTATGGCGCAAGTGAGTCACATTTTTGCTCATACCCCTCCCATCATACTAACATCTCGAAGGCTGGAAGTAAGGCTCCCACGAACATGGCTCTCGCTCGTCGAGGAGATTGCGTGGAACTACGAAGATGAGCCCGTTGATGCCGTCATGGGCAAGACCATCAAAGCTGCCACCGAAGCCGCAATGCACTCGACCACCGCCATCAAGTCAGAGGAACTGCGTCTAGTTCTCGACGACCTTGACGGGCCCGACACCTCCATTTCCCCAGAACTCCTTTCTCCGGTCCCCACCCGCGATCCAAGCCCCCGCCGCCTGCGCCCCAAGAGCAAGTCCCCTGCCCGTTGGAAAATAGTGAGGTCGATTAGCGATGCGATCCAGGATGTAATTAGCCGCGGGCACCCCGGGATGTATGGTGCGTCCACTTCCGCCGCCTCTCAGACATGCTTTCTAACCATTCCGTAGTTCCGGTCCCGAAGGACCCGCGTCCCGGGCGTTTCGTACGCCACCTCGATTTCAACCACTTCCGGACCATAGGAATGCGTCGATCCGTTGAGGAAGGAGTTAACAGCAGGTTCGTCACCGGCGATCGAGTCGAAGCAGTGCTCAAGGTCCGTGGAAGTATATTGTCAGCTACAGTGATCGTACTGACGGAATGTACAGGAAATGCCGAATCTCACAGCATTTGGCGCCACCGAGTACATGGACGGAGCTCTTATTCTCCCGGTGTTGAACGAGCTGTTCCTGCGTGGTGCCCCTTCCGGCGGACGAGGCCGCCCCACACGAGGACGTGCGTTGATGGACACAAATGATATCGAAGAGGAAGATCGAGAGCGCCGGCGGGACTGCAAGGATCTTGAAGCCGTCGATCTGACCGGTTGCGTCAGCGCTGTCTTTGTCAATGCCTTTACCGAATTCGTCAACACCCACCTCCTTCCACCTCCTTCCGAATCTGACTCGGGCTCAGACGACGAGGATGGCGGCCGTCGTAGTCGCCGTTCTGATCGTTATGCCCTCCTTGAACCCCTCCTCTTCCCTGGCCTTCAACGTTTGGGTCTGCGCGGTGTCAAGTCTATTCTTCCTCGAGTGCTAGGACCCTTCGTATTGGCCTTCCCTCATCTAACACATCTCGACCTGTCCGGCACCCGCCTCACTCCAGAAATCCTCGACTCTCTCGGCCAATCTCCCACTCTCCGCCTCAAATCTCTAGCTTTGGCTCGTTGCATCAAACTCTCGAGCGAGAGCATCAGGCGCTTCTTGGTCGATTCGCCCGTCACCAGCGAGTTGACCGAACTCAATCTCTACGGCGATATGACGTACCAATCCCCTATTGTCGCCAACGATCTCCGCGATATCGTCAGTATGGCGCCATGTTTCCTCAGCGGCAACCTGGTGTACCTCGACCTCTCCAGCGCTCCGCTCGATAGGTCCATTCTGGAGAAGGTTAAACCGCAACCCAGCCTGCGGTCGCTGGGCCTCTCGCATATTCTCCACCTCGAACTGAAGGCTGTGACGGAGTTTGTTCGAGACAAAGCCCCGAACGTCGAGATCCTGGCGTTGGTCAACACGTCTCCCCAGCTCGACTGCGGCATTCGCCTGCCTGTCGCGGACGTGCGCTCCGCGACGCGCCAGTCCACCCTCGCGCTGCAGTCGCAGGTTATCCGCCCGCTGTGCCTGCCGCAATTCTCGTTCAGCGTCACCGCCCCGACAGCACCGAAGCCCCCGGCGACCAGACTGCGCGTCATCGAGCTGTCCACAGCTATGCTCGGTGGTCTCGGAGCGGGCGTCGATTCATGGAAGATCATCCGTAGCAAGGGAGGACGCGGATGGTACGTCGACACCGCGAGCGGGTGGGTTGCTCAACCGTGCTCTGGACAAGGAAGCACGCTTCGTCGAGACCTCCCGCCCAACCATCCGCTCCGCATCGAGATGTGCAAGCTCTCCGAAGCTAATGGCAATGTCAGCAGCGGGGTTGGCTGGCACGCTCGAAAGATGGAGGTGAGTCTTTCTTTCCTTTCGCCATCCTTCATACAAGTTGTTGATGACTTGTTTGTAGATCCTCCATGGACACGGTATGCTCGGCCGCGAGGATGGTCTGTACGGCGCCGTCTCGTTCGCATACCAAGGGTAAACCGTCCATCGGTCCCCGGCCCATCGTCCGAACCCACAACTCCCAAAATTCTGCAATCAAAAAAATGTGTACTATTTTTCTTCGCCTCTCCTTTGGCGATGACCGGAACCGGCATGGGCTCCTTTCTACGGAGGTTCATCCGTGCTTAGACTCACCTCTCGCACCGAGAGCCGGTCTGCTTCTCCGATATCCGTTTCGTCCGCAGTGAACTTGCCTCGCTGCTGATGTCGCCAGGACCATCCTAGACCAATGACTCCTCGCTGGCTCCATTCCTTCGGAAGCGCCTGTACTAATATTTGGGATACGCCATGAGAAGACCGAGTGTTTTCGTCTGGAACTTGGATTACTTACATTTCTTTTGTTATCTATACCGCATCTTCGTCATGATCTAATGGGTTTTCGCATGTCGCCATCTCTCCGTACATTGCAATATCATTCGTGCTTTGTTGCTTCCTATCCTTGTGTGATTTTAAAGTTTGACGTGAAGCAACCGTTTCCTTTTCGGTGATTGCCGAGCCGAACTTTCCCATCTTTGATCAGCTCTTCAAACCATAACAATGATGTGGTGACTACGCACTTATCCTTTCTTCACTTCAGCACTACGTCTTGATCTTAGATTTTAACCCCCTTGCTTCAGGCCTCACTCACTGATCTCTGACACGTTCGCACTTCCTCTCCATGCTTCAATGGCAGTTCGTATCCCCCTCCTCGATGCCCTTACTCTTACTTAGAACGCAGCGTTTCATCCAACAACGCTGAAACGGAGATCCCATTAATTCGCTCTTTCTGCCCTTTCCCCATGTTATCTATCGGCGTGTCAGGAGGGCTCAAAGCTTTAATAATTGCAACAAAGGCCGCTCTCATTTGTAAGTTGGGTTACTCTGGAAATACAATATCGACTAAGTTGAGGCATTCAACAATGTCTCGTCTCCGGAATGAATCCGCGGCTCCGTCTATTTCAACATTGGTGACACACGGCCGTCGAGGGCCACATCGCTCCTGGACTGGGCCGCAATAAGGCACGGTATTGAACCGTCCAAAGACAATCGCTTTGTAACCGCCATTCGGAGGCCTCGTTCTCGCTTCGTGCTCATAGGCATTTGTCCCATGTGCGGACTGTACCTCAATGCTACCAACTGCTCGTCACCCAACAAGGAACCGCACCTTTGTCAAGAAATTATTTGCCACTCGCTTGACATGTCTCCAGACGCTATGGCAGAGTTGAAATTTCTCTAACCCGTGGGCTCGCTTGTGGTGCGGAAGGTGGAAACTGGTGGAAAGTGCAGTACGTGTTTCCCATGTCCACCTCTTGTAAGTATAGTAGCTGACCTCGTACGGTAATAGGGTACGTAGCTGTGGTATGTTCGTATCATGTCTAGTGAGATCTCCGCCAGCTATAATGGCTCTTCTCGCATCCATGTATCCTGTTGGGCAGTAGTCCCGTGGACAACTAGGCTCCGTCGCGCAGTTGGTAGCCCACGCCCCGCGGGTACACCCGTACTAATATTTTGTGATTCAGTTTCGAAGCCGGGATGCTATCGCGAAGCACTAGGCTATGTAGCTCATGATCGATACCCGGATCCTGCTATGATCCAAAAGGTCTCTGGGATTTCTTTCCTACTCAAATCAATCATGCTTTCTGTAGAGCATCGCTCACTTTCACCGTCTCCCTTGTTCATCGCATTCGAGTTGTCGAGCCACCGTTATCTCGGGACATCAATTGCGCATATTCACTGGGTGAACCATGGCCAGGATTAGAGACCCTATGTTTAGGTCTACATTTAGTTCGCACATGAGGTTGGTCTACGTTAAGCTTGTCAAACGTGCGTTGCACCTCCCAATCGGCGAATGAATAAAAAGGCAGTACTAGTGCGTGTATCTCATGAATGACAAGATGTGTTGAATCGCATTACGCCGCCGTGGAAACGTCAACTATTTATAGGACAACGCTATAAAGGCACAGCCGCATTGCGGTTCGTTTTCCTTTCCGCCAGCCTCATTCCAATGCCGTCTACACCCCACAACTACAGCAGAACCGGAACCTTGAGTAAGTCGGCGCTGCACTCCTTCACGAAGCTATAAACTGCTTCATTCGCACATCGTTGACTCAAGGCGCTTCCAGACCCGACAGAAGGTTCAAATACGCTTGAAAATGGCAGCTGGAACAGCAGACACGACCATTCCCTACCTATAGCAGAATCCTCAGCCCGTGAACAGCACCAATTGCATTCACGGGGCACTGGTCTTTCCAGCACCCGCCCAACGTTGATGGAACGGACAAGAGACATGTTTCGACCTCCGAGGAGAGTGGGAAATCCACCTAGCACGTTCCATAGTCTGCGGATTGTTTTGTTTTCCTCTTGTGAGCTATTAGCACCTCTCCATCTGAAATGCGAACTAAACTCTTGGCCAGGGATCAATCTCTTGCTCGTCTTTATTCCTATCTCAGTACGCAGCTCCCCGGTTTTGTGCACCAGACAAATTTGACTATTCCTGACAGTGGGCACTCCACTTCGCCCTTCCTTCTTCTAATTCCAACAAAGATACCCTCGTTTTTGTCTGTGAGTCTGTGCCAAGCTTTCATAAAAAAGGCAGATATCAATGTGTGGCGTCTGCCCAGTCTCTTTCTTTGCAATCATTCCCTTGGCGAAAGTAGGCACTTTCCCATACACATCTTAGAAGGTATGACCTAACCAATCCGCATTCTCAGCTTCTTGGATTTGCGACAGAAGAGTTATCGTTGCGAGTAGGGCAAACGCTGGCCGGCCTTCTCAATGCCACCCTTGTAAGTCATTCCCTACGAGTCTGTCGTTGTTCTCCAAATTCATGATTCATCTGTGGCAGGGTAACGCGTAAGTCCGGACAACAATGCAGTGCCGTCGATATGTACTAACCGCTACTTAGAGTTGAGCTTATTGTGGCTGTAAGCTGTGTCCTCGTTCCTTTCTTTGCTAATAGAGTATTGCTCACGGATAAATGTGTCTCGAAGATAATTGCACTCGTGAAATGCGAACTCCGAATCGTACAAGCTTCATGTCAGTTTGTCATACCATGGCATTTCCCCGTCCTTCGTGCTCCTCTTCCTGTTTCTGTCAGGCATGAGACACGATCGAGAATTGCCACGTCCATTAAGCTTCGTTGCATCAGCTACTGAGATAGTTATCTCTTTACAGTGGTGGGATCCATTCTGAGCAACCTGCGTGAGCACCAGTTTATCATTCCTGTCTGACAGGAAGAAGCTGATTATGACCTACATGCCTACGTCAGTCTTTGTGCTCGGAATGTGCTTCTTCGCCGGAGGCTTGCGTTACTCCGAGCAGGGTTTCGGCGTCAGTAAGTATGCGTTCAAGAGATAAGCGCCAAGGGTTGACAGTTTGATCTCCAGGCGCAACTCAGCTTAATGCATCTTTGATGACTATCAGCGTCATTGCAGTCCTTCTGCCGGCGGCTTTTCATTTTACGGCCGATCCAACTTTAACAAATGAACAAGAAGCGCATGACATCCTTGCGGTCAGTCATGGCGTAAGTTACACCTCCGATAGAGCCTTCCGTTTCCTCATTTTTGAACCTAGGTTGCAATCATTCTCCTGTTTAGTGAGCGGGCTCGGCCAGACCTACGAGTAGTGGAAAGATATCCTAATGACCCTTTCGAACAGTATACGCGGGATACCTCGCATTCCAGCTCTACTCACATACCGCATTATACGATGATCACGGCATCCACACCAATAAGACTACCTCGTACGACAGCCCCAAGTTCTACGTTCCCAAGTTCCGTAGGCGCAACAAGGACACTGAAACCGCTCCTATCACGACCACTGTAAACGGAAAAGCAAGTAGCACTACCCTTCCTCCTATAAATGCTCCCATCCTGGAAGAGGGGAGACAGAAGGAAGAAATAGAAGAGGTAGAGACACCGCAGATGAGTGTCGCAATGACAATTGGATTGCTCATCGCCGTCACCGTGGTCTGTCTATTCTTAGTCACATGGGAAAGGCCTGAACTTACGAACTTACGGGGTATATGCATAGTTGGTTGCCATTACTGCTGAATGGCTCGTAGACTCTATCGGCGGCTTGACAGACACGGGTCACATCAGCAGGGAGTTCGTCGGAATGATCCTTCTGCCAATCGTAGGCAATGCAGCAGGCGAGTTCAAACTTTTCTTTGTTCTTTTTTACGGCTGCTCAACTCGTCGTTACAACGGCCAGAACATGCAACTGCGGTCACTGTATCCGTAAAGGACAAGCTCAATCTTAGTCTGGGAGTTGCAGTAGGATCAAGTATCGTGAGTAATGAATTTATTGAGCGCCAAGCCAAGCTTAGAGTTTGTGTGCGCCACACAGCAAATTGCTCTTTTCGTCATTCCGTAAGCACTTGTCTACCTCTTGAAAGAGATTCGTCGATATTCATCGCGCCCTCCAGGTTCATTGTAACATTGGGGTGGATATTGGGCAAACCTTTGACTCTTCTATTTGACCCATATGAATCGATATCGTTGTTCTTGTCCGGTAAGCTCTTTGATTCCCAGTCGACCTCTCCAAGGCGCTCTGACGGATTTTCTCAGTCCTTATCGTCAACTACGTTGTCCAAGATGGGAAGTCAAATTGGTTAGAGGGATTCATCCTCATGTGTACGTCGCCAAGGTCATGAACCTGCAATATGAATGACGTCTCATGACCCTCTTCATCCAGGCCTCTACGTCATTCTTGGGGTTACATTCTGGTTTTATCCTGGTTGGTTATCCTTATGTTTATTCGTGTCACTTCTCTAAAAAATAAATCCAATCCATAGGATCTGATCCATCTGGGGTTCTGGCCAGCTGTCGCTAGCCACAGGCTGCTACTGTCTGTCTGCCGCATGAAATATTAATTTACTACTAGTAGGTGCTTGTTTCGAGACCATATTAGCCCAGTGAAAACCCATGATATCCTTGATATTTTAGAGTAGTAGTACATTACAGCGAACATCCATAATATAGACAGCACTGTGTGCCTCAAACAACCTTACACGCGCATACGGGGATCGCCTGCAATTTTCCCTACCATATTTTTGATATACTTCGGTCCACCTCTCGGTCAGAAAGAAACTTCCCGTTTTATGAGCTTCCGCCATCTTCTCTCTAGAATCGTGGAAAAACCCCCTCTCATTCTGCCACTTTCGGTCTCTGGTTTTACATCTAGAGAGGATGTTCATGGAGTTGAGGTGAACAGGGACAGAAATTTCAAGATGCGCCAATGCAAGCATTTCGAGGCTTTAGAACTATGGCTTGTCCCAAAAGTGAGTAGTAATTGTGTATTCACTTCAGGATGTGTAAACCACTTTGTTCAGTATCAGGAAAATCAGTATATGCAGTAGCCCTGAATCCAGTTGTGGCATTCAACACAGGCGATAAAGAGAGGTTGTCTCTCCCTTCAAGAAATCTTGATGATTCACGCGACATGTGCAACGTTGCTCATCAGGTAGGACAGAACTCTTCTGCAGAAACCTTGGGAGCATGCTTTCTTGCCGCTGGAGCCAAATGACCATTAGGGCATCACCCTTTTCCTCGTCCATGTAGTTGGTGTCCAGTCAACAGCCCAATTCAATAAGACGTTGGCATGATTCCAAACGGATTCAGATGTATAATCCTCAATCGATGGCGAAGAACTAGAACGGATTTGACAATTCTACAACTTTGCCTTTGCAGAAGGATCCACGAGAGTGACAGCAGCAGCAGCTAGTGCGACAGCGTTGCGTTCCTTCACCTTGGCACCTGAGCATGCAAATAAAATACTGACACAACAGTAAAAAACCATGAGGAAGCTTACTGAAGATGACTTTTGTGCCCTCTTTCCACATTTCCGTCACGATGGTCTCTCCAGGATAAACGACACCGGCAAATCTATTCATGGGAGAGAACATTGGCAAAGGGTTTGGCATTGTCGAAATCTACGCTCTTACCGAACTTTAATATCCTTGTAAGGACCGTATGTTTTGAGGACGTGCTTTCCTGCGATACCCATCGAGCATAGGCCGTGCAGAATGGGCTTGTCAAATCCTCCGATGGCAGCGAACTCGGGCAAAATCTAGAACATGACATTGATCAAAACGGGCATGACGCGGAGGGAAAAAGGAATGAAGCGTACATGAAGAGGATTCGAGTCACCACTCAGTCTGCATAACGAAGTTTAGCAATTCTGCAGGAAAACCTTGAAGTCAAAGATAGACGCAACCTACCGGTACAAAGCCGCCTGATTTTCCGTCGTCTTCTCTTCAACAACAGCATCGGGGGCACGTTTTGGCGGAGCATTGGTAGCTGTTGCAGCTGCACGGTCTACTCAGAACATTCGATATAAGGTCGACAGTCTCTGGTCTGAATAGAAAATACACGAACCGGAGCCTGCACGCTTTCCACCAAACCCTCCAGCACCGCGGATGAACACCGTCGACTGGTTCTCGAAGATGAGCTTGCCGCTGACCTTGTCGCGCGTCTCGACGATCATTGTCACAGCTGCGGCTTTGCCCTTGTCGAGGACCTCCAGTATCCTATAGTCAGGGAAGAACGTGGGTTATGACCACGAAATCACATGGCCGAGAAGTGTACCGACCTAGCTTCATTTACAAGTTCTCCACTAGTGGGGATGGGAGCTTTGATATTCAAGTATTGCTCTCCGTGAAGCAGCTTAGCCTGCATGATCTTCAGAATCGGTTAGTGGATACGGAATGGTTCAGGGCGCACAGGGTTGAAGTTGGGCAGCCAATCCAGAGGAACTGCGGCCATGCACGGGAACTGGGGAATGACACCGAACGTCGGGAGGGCTTGGAACTCATCGTCTCCTTCGAAGGTCCACTTCAGCTCTTTCTCTGTAGCCCCAACTCCAAGGTTGTAGAGGATCACATCCCTCTGGACGAAGTGTGTGTTCAGTCCAAGAGGGTAGAAGGGAAGAAGAAATGCTTGAAATACCTCGGTGTACGAGTAGGTGAGAGGATCAGGGATGAACTGTTTGTTCTCCTTCACCAATTGGGAGTCCTCCGGGTCAGCAAAGGCATTGGGATCCTTGAACAACGACATGGTGGTGCACAAGATGTGTGGAGACGCAGCACGCTAGAGCGGAAACAAAACCGAAGATGCCATTTGGTGGTCATGAGCGGAGAAGAGGAATCACATGTTGATTCTTCTGCCGATGACGTCCACGTCGTGGACAGCAGTACGCCTTGCATATCACCGTATTACTGAGTGTAACCTGAAAACACACAGTGATGCATACAGAGATCCCCAAAGATGGACGTGATAGATTATTGGCGTGAAAGATACAAGGAAGTAACTACAGGTGATTAGTGCAAACAATTTTTACAGTTTTGACTTCGCAGGCTCCTCCTTGAAATTGTTGATGATCTGAAAACAGATTCGCTTTAGTGACCATTAGACCAAAGACAACAAAAGAAGAATTGACCTGCTGCATGGACTCTCCGCTGGATGTTGGGTGCCACGCACGACCGTCGTTGAAGTCCGTAATCTTGTCCCACTTCGCGATGACATCCTCTATTGTGTAAGGCTTAACAGTAGCGAAGCCATAGCCACCAGCGCGTTGCCAGCGAGTCTGCGCTGCCCAACCGCCGAGGATTTCGAACAAGGAACCAGTTGTCTCCACATTGTCTGTATTGAGGTAAAACGAATCGACTTAGAAGGTCAGGGGCAAAGGTAGAGAATGTACGAACCTTTGCTTGTCAGGTATCCCACAATAGGGGCGATGAAATCGGGCTACAGGACTGCATGAGACAAAAGCTCTCTGGTGCTGAAATTGGGACCTACCTTGAAGGCATCAACCATCTCTTGCGGCCAGACAGTGCTGGTCATAGCAGTACCAGCAGAAGGAGCAATCACGTTGGCAATGATGTTGTATTTCTTGCCCTCGATGGCAAGGGTGCGAGTCAATCCCATGATGCCTGCCTTGGCTGTAGAGTACTGTCTCCTGTGTCAGTGTATGCGACTTGACGCAGAGGGACGAGGAAGCATACATTGGCCTGTCCGAAGTTACCATCTACCAACCATCGTTTTTTTAAAAAAAAAACACTTAGGACAGAGGAAATAACATACAAATGCCGACTTGTGAGCAAGTAGTCACGATACGACCGTACTTCTGTTTCTGGAAGATCGGCCAGACAGCCTTTGCGCATTTGTATGTGCCGCTGAAATGACGCCTGAGTATAAAACATACATGAATCTGTGACGAATAACACACCGCAGGTGGACAGCGAGAACGATATCCCACTCTTGTTCAGTCATGGCCTGGAAGGACTTGTCACGCAGTATGCCAGCGTTAGCAATGAGGACGTGGACGCCGCCGAACTTCTCCAATGCGACTTGGACAATCTTCTCGCCATCTTCAGCAGAGCAAACAGCCGCAGCGGCCTTGCCTCCAACTGGAAGCGATGTAAGCACACTGGATCCAAGAAACAAAAGGGACGGGTTCACCCTTCACAACTTCTTCAACGACAGCATTGGCGCCCTTCTCGCTCACGTCGTTCACGACAACATTAGCACCGAGCTTGCCGTACATGAGGGCATATGCACGTCCGAGACCAGCGCCAGCACCAGTGATGACGACTGTCTGTCCATCAAAGCGAACAGGAGGTGAAGATTGCTTATTGGAAGAGAGCTTCTTTGCAGCCTCGAGTTTGCCCTTGAGAAGTGTAATCAATACAGGCTGTTTCTTGGCAGGCATCCGAACAACGTACTTGAGAGTCAACATCAGTCACGGCGGAAGGGCTGTTCCGCTTGAGCCTTTAGTCGACGGGGGGAGACGGAAGCACGTACTAGTAGGGGTTCGTGAAGTCGATGACTTCATTCCACTTCTCTTTCACCTGTTGAATTACAATAAATTGTATAATTCTTGTAACCGATAAACGAAGGACTCACAGCTGAAGGAGTGAAGCTGGCGTCCGTCTTGAAGACTGTGCCGTTTGACCTCTCCCATCGGAGCTCCGCAATGAAGCCGGCACCAAGCTCGAAAACTTTCCCAGAGGCGTCGGGTCCGTCAGGATGGCAGATAGCAGCAACGAAAGGAGCAACATAGTCGGGCTATTACCCAAAACGATATCAGGTCGGAGCCAAATCAAAGAATGTAAACTTACGCTGAGCTTGGCCAACATTTCAGGTGGTAAGATGGTCTCAGTCATCGCAGAGGCAGCCATCTGACATTCGAATGAGAACCCAGGAATTACATCATTCTAAAGATACTCACTGGGGCAATGGCGGTTGACTTGATGTTGTATTTGGCACCTTCCCGAGCAAGGGTCTTGCTAAAAGCGATGAGGCCCATCTTAGCAGCGCTGTAGTTGGCCTGGCCGAAGTTTCCTACTTCAAAGTGAGATATAGTGCGACTCGAAGGCATGACGAACACGCACCGTATATTCCAGCAGCGCTAGCAGTGTTGATCACACGTCCAAACTTCTGCTTGCGGAACAAAGGCCAAGCAGCCTTCGTGCAGGCAAACGCGCCCTTGAGGTGGACCTCGGTAATCTGGTCCCACTCCTTGTCGGACATGTTCTTGAAACTGACAAGACACCTCGCTCTCAGCGTCTGTCAATCTGGAGGCAGAGATAACTCCTACCCCTTGTCTCTAAGGATTCCAGCATTGTTGATGAGGATAGTAACAGTGCCAAAGTTATCAACGGCGGTCTTGATGACTGCGGCGCCATCGCTGACCGAAGACGTGTTCACAACAGCTTTCCCTCCAGCTGAAATACACAAATCAGGATGTGGTGGGCGCGTCTCTCGGCAACGGGCGCACCCTTGGTGATCTCGTCAACAACTTTCTGGGCGGCAGCCGCGTTAAAGTCGTTGACCACGACATTTGCACCCCGCGAAGCAAACAGGAGCGAGTAGCTGCAAGAGCATCTTAGTCGCCGGATCCAGTATGTAATGAGATCTAGAGCACGTACGACTTGCCCAAACCTCCTCCGGCACCAGTGACGACTACGGTGTGACCTTTGAAAGATAGAGACATCGCAAGGGCGTGCTTTTGGGGGATCTAGGGGGAAATTAGATGTGGGGACGGAGGACTGGTCGGCTTATAAGTGCCCGATAGACATGTGATATCATCAGGCTTGTGAGGTGACCGGGGCTTGTCCTCCTTACGTAAAGGCTTCGTCAACCATTCAGCCAGGTTCCCTCGAGCGACGGAATCGGTGCGAGATTGAAGCGAAGTAGATTCGCCCTCAGGCCCAGGTTTCAGCAGGATCGTGGCTCTGGGGGAGATCATAAATAGTAGAGGCGACTCGCGCAATGTATATAATACAGGCAACGTAGAGACTGTACTATATATCGTGCCAGCAGTCTCTTGAGAGCGACAAGACGAGGGGAAAAGAGAACGAGGAGGGAGTTGGAAGATCTCCTACGTCAGAAGATATTTTGAGAAAATAAATGACGAAATATCAAAGAAGATAAGAGTGCTTAAGGACAACCAAAAGAAAAGGAATAAGAGAAGACGTACACCATAAAACGGAAGAGAATAAATGCGAGAGTAATGAGAGACGTGATCGTGGTCGTAACAGAGGATATGCGGGAGTGTGCATAAATACATAAAGGCATGCGACGGCATTAGGGTGTCGGTAGTGAGATAAGTCTTGGACGCGCCGTATGACTTGGGGGTAGCGGAATGTAGGCAAACGAGGGGACTGGTTGAGATTTATGGCGATAGCAAATAAAAAGCAAGAGGCATAGAGACGAGACATATGCAGTGTTGAGTTGTCCAGTGAGGATAATCAAACAAATGCGAATGAGAAAAAAATAAGGAGATCGGGACAGAGAGAAACGAAGAGAAGAAAGATGTGTTTGAGATGCTTTGAATATTCGAGGTACAAATGAGGAGAACACGATGCAAAGCGAAGATAACGACAGCAAGAAATACAGCTTACTCAGCCAAAACCATTGACTCGGCAGCACCGTCAGAACCATGAACATGATTCTTAGCCCATTCGATAGCAAAAACGGAAGCCTTCAGGAACTTTTTGTTCGCGTACTTTTTGCAGACGTATTGCCGATGGAAGTTCTCTTCGGTGAGCTTATCAACGAGAAGATTGTGCCCTGGAATGAGTTGTGCCTCAGTGTAACCTGAGTAGAAAGTGAACGCGTCGTTCTGAAAAGGCGATGTGTCAGTCACATGATATGTTGAAATCGGACATGCGGCCAGAGCATGGCATTATAGATACGAGACTCACCCAGTCACCACCTAACATCCTCCTTGCACAATACATCCCAACGGCGGCGATGAGACTGGGTTTGACTCGGAGGAAACGATGATCCAGCAGGGTCACCTCCGTCAAAAACTTGCTAAGTGTTCTTGTTTGAATGTCGTAGTCGTCGGCTTTGCTAATTTTACGCATCCAGCTGTATGGCGAGCAGTAGTGCGATATCCTGAAGTCGAGTGTCTGAAGCATGATACGCTCGCCCTTGAGGATCTCCTCTTTCGTATAGCCGTTCTCGGTCATGAAGACGAACTCGTCGACGGACGGAGCAAGAATTTCCTCGTACTTGGCTGCGACGAACATGGCTGTCACACCGACGAGCTGGAGCTTGAGCAGGGAGACGACACGCTTGGTGAGGAAACGATCCACAATATTGACCCCTATCCAAAGTGTTTCAGGAAGCATGTGGTATCGCAGATGCACTTGCAGCAGCCAGTCGACGAGGGTTTGGCGCATACCCCAAGAAATCTCGTTTTGGCCGTCCATGTAGTTGGCACCCGGCATAACTTCCTCCTGCAACGGTGGTTAAGCGAGGTCGATGCTGGAGATGCCTAACTTACCTCAAGTTCGCACATGTACTCGAAGATCTCTTCAGCATACTCAGAGACCATCGTTGTGTCGTACATGTCAACTTCATCTTCGAAAGCTTCGCGAATGGCTTGCATCTCCTTCTTGGCTCTCAAGGCCTTCTCGGTAGAGACTTCAGGCCAGACGCGAGGACGTTTCGATTCCACGGGCGGTAAGGGTGCGACTTCGTCTTCTTCCTCACTGTCTTCAATGCCGACCATCGCCTCCACTTCTTGCTCGTTGACGACTAACTCCTCTTCCTCGTACTCACGTGCAAGATCATCCTCGACGTCCATCTCGCTTTGCACATCTTCCTCCTTCATCTCAACTTCTTGTATTTGTTCTGCGACGGCTCGCGAAGCGCGTTTAGGGGCTGTGACTGCTGGCAGCCGTGTGCGAGCAAGCGGAACGCGCGCGTTGACAACATTGGCAACTGGAGGGGCGACCTGGCTCCTCCCAGGGCCTAGTGGCACGCGCTGCGCGAAGGTGGTTGAGTTGGAACGACCTCGTTTCAACCCGGTTTCCTCCTTATCCTTTCCAGATGCAGGTTTGACTCCTGGGTCCTGAAGGGAGAGGGATGTAAACGAAGTGCCACCGCTGAGCCCACTGGCAAACACACCTTTCGATTCACAGCTGCGATGGTCACCTCACTGAGCGCTTGACGTGTCGTTGTAGTGGTCTTGAGCGCATTCTCCTTCGCGGTGAACCTGATTGGTCCTGATGTCGCAGAATTGGAGGGTTGTCGTGCATGTCGGCTCATAGCGTTCTCATCGGCCTTTGCGCGTTGCGCAAGGATACGTCGTTGGGGTAACTGCAGCATACGCTTAACGTTGTTTAAAATAAAAAGGAGGTTCCAACTTACGCGGGCGTTGGTGGCCATGTTATGAATGAACTCGTCTGTAATTGCTGAGGTGTCGAAGAGGCGTCAGTGAGGCGTCGATGCGACCTAGATAAGTTTGTAAGGAAGGAGATGAGGCCCTTTTGGTTGAGGGGAGAAGGAAGGAGAAAGGAAGAAAGGATTTGAACGAAGTCTGGTGGTCAACGCAAAGGTCAGCCTCAAACAGAACGAAAAGCTGAACCAGAATCGTTTGTGAACCATCCATCACGTGCAGGACACAACAACCGTCCAAACAACGCGTCGACGCGACGCGGAGTAAATCTGACGTAAATGGTTCCGTGACAGATATTTTCTCACATTCGGCAAACTCTGCATACAATGTGCTGAAAGTTGGCACATATCTCCTGTCTGCCAGAAGATACAGTTCTACAGTATAACAAGAAGTACATTCATGCCAATTAAGAGCAGGTCTAATTGCGTTCGTCCTCGATTCGTAAGGATTGAGCCTCTCTTGATGAGTCTAAGGTGTTAGGAAGGCGCTTTCCACGATGTAGAAGAGGGAAGAGCTGGAGACCGAGGCGAGACTTGACGTAGCTCGTCATCAGGACTCGTTTTCACCATGTCAGGGTATAGGGTGTTTAGCGGACCACCCTCGACTTCAATGTCGCCGTTCAAAGAAGCATTTGCTACACAGGCCATTGAGCTTATCACTTGAGATGTGTGTCTTCGTTGATGGTTGGAAGACGACCCGAGATTCGAAAAGACAAAGCAACCTAGATGCTTCGAATGAACGGCCTACCGTATCTGCATCCACGGTCATTTGAGTGAAGCAAATCGTCTCAACTTTCCCCGTTCCTTCCAATCAGCTCCGAGGTGGAGACATTCTGCGTCATACGCTGAAACTGGCTTCATTCCTAGTCCAGCACGATGTTGGTTGGAAGCCACTTCAAGCGGGTCGACTAAACTGATTCTCTGGGCATCAGATGACTCTTGGGGAGTGCTAATACCCAGAGCGCTCCCAGGAGCCCAACCCTGCTGCGTAAGGAGACGATGGCCAACATTGCTTAACGTTAATGGTGCAGGAGGTTGAAGTTTGGCTGACGGCTGCTCTGTGGCGAGGAGCGACCCAGCTGACGCAACAGACACGGGAGATAATTGGGGGCTTGAAGGGCGTGTTAAAGTGTGGAGCAATCTTCGGCGGGCTGCGCGGTCGACATATTCGTTGGACGTTTCAACCGCCGCAGAGCTGCTTCCGCCTTTTGGACCGCCGTGACGGGTCAGAAGACTACGCCTAAGCATGGTCAATACTTTCTTTGGGTCTCTTTCGGTATTGCTGTGTGTTCTTGACGAGCCTGACGAGTCTGAATCCAGTCCAGCGGAGTCTCTTGTTCGTTTTGCGCCTTTCGGGATAGGAAATAATGGGATCCCTTCCTTCCCAGATATCGTACAATCCTCGCAGGGCCGTTGGTCCTCATGTATATGAACAACGAATATCGTCCCACCGATTGATAAACGATCCGAGTGTCGCAAACGCCGCGGAACGCTCGCAGTTCGAGAGGGAGACAGTCGTCCGCCAAGGTCGTCCGAATCAGGAGAAACGGGTCCGGGATGGAGAAACGTCCCGTGTTTTGAGCCCATATCAACGACGTTCCATTCCTTCCTTGCCCCGTCCCAGTATGTTGTTGCATGAAGCTTCGACACTTCCATTTCCTTGAGGCGTATACGAGGTGTTCCAGAGCCTTCCGGCTGCAAGTCGCGGCCCAGCTGTACCTCCGCGTAGCCATCAAGGACAGCGACCTTGTGCTTCGCAGGGAGGATGGAAGACCGCCACACAACGAGGCGGAAGGCTGGGTGTCCACGTTTCAACCCTTGCACAGATGTAGACGGTTCTTGAGGCGCCGGGTACAGTATATCAACTCCGTTGGAACCATCTCCAGGCCATTCAAAAGCTGGATCGTAATGGCCTCCATGAACGGAGTCATCTTGCAGTATTTGACCTTCTTCCAAAGGTTCCATGGAAAACGAGGATGCTGCAGTTCGTTAGTAGGACACACCTCGAACAATATGAGGAACAAACGAACATCCTTTCTCGTTAGGCGGATATGAAGTCGAACATGCGGGCTTATTTTGCGCAAGAAACGATCCTTGGGGAATACCCTCGCATTTCGTGGTGGAAAGTGTATAAGTCAAGTGCTCGGAGTTAGCCGATTGTTGCAGTCTACTTGTGACCTGTTGAACCGTGTTGAACTCCTTTCACGATAACCTCAGCGTTCTACTCAAAGAAGCACTTTCCTTGTAAACTTATTCGACATTTCTTGGTTTTAAATCATCTCTGGCGAAATCTGTGAGCGAACTAACGCACAGTCTGAACCTCCAATGACTCGAATTCTTTGAATAACATTAGTATAAGACTTTTAGTGCATTCCGACGTGTCTGTATGCGAACGTTCAATTTACCTCAATTTCCTTTGTTTATACTCGGAGACTGATCTATTCCACTCTTCTCTGCTCATAGTGCCTGACCTTCTCATGGAACAATTCACGGAGGTTCTTTGCAAGAACTCTTTGGAAGGCCACCTTCGATTGACACGTTCACCAACAGGAACATGCTAAGCTGCTATTGAGCAAAGAATGGATGGCAAAGGCTGATGCTGGGAAGGCCACTCCCTATCTTCTTGTTGGTCCACAGATCTATCCGACCTCAACGACATTGAACTGACTTGATGGAGTAGAAGTTCCACTATTCCCCGCAAGATCTCTCGTGCTGTATCTTAGTCACGGACACGAAATCGGTATGGACAGAAGGTACGTTTCTACGCTTTCTTGTCATCGTATCGGAGTCAGCCGACTTTCTTCTCCCCGAGTGCTGAATAGTAAGCAAATGGCCCGTCGATGGCGTACTTGCAATGCACTCTCACCTGGACCCTTCCCGAAGACTGGTGACGAAGATACATGGAGAGAACAGACACTTGAATTGTTATCGCAAGCCCATACGATAGGTGGCTTTGCGGAGCTCTCGTTTGAAATCGTGGACTCGACCTATTCAGTTCGTGCCCGACACCAGCGTCATGCATTCTACAGACTCACATGGGCCTCAAATCCAACAGGATCTCGCCATGGAATTCGAATGCGAGGCATTCAAATGGAGATGGGAGATATGCTTTCTCGGTCACAAATGGGCGTCTGAAATCATATCCAAACACCTCATTTTTCCGCTCATCAGCCTCAACCACCTGACCTTTTCATCGGCGGATGTTGTGGGTGAGATTCCTGATGGTGACATTGAAAAGGCACCTATTCTATATATCCCCTCCCATTTTCTTCAACCACTGACAGCTGGTGTTGTTCAGACAGTCGATAAGCTTGGTCGAACTGCAAGACGAACTCTTGACACGCACATCAAAAATGCAATGTCGAAACCGCGTATTGCGACGATGATCAGGCGCATCACGGCCATGTTCAACTTTGTGCCAGATCTTCGTGCGTCTCCTCATCTCAATACGAGATTCTCTGAGTGTAATGCCGCCCTAGCCCCCGTAGCATCCGCCATTGGAAAGGTTGAGCTCAAGATTGACCAATACGAGCCAGAAAAGAGGGCTCCTCCAAGAATAGCCCGAGAAGAAGAGAAGCGCAACAGTTCCCCCGTAAGCCTACATCCCTGTGTCGCTCTTTAGACTTTGGTTCCGACTTCTGCTTTTAAAGAAACCTATCCCCGAAAGGGCTGCTAGCAAGCGCGAGCGCAGTGTCGAGATGAAGAATGCCGAACCAGCCTCTAGCGAAACTGAAGAATCCGATGCAGAGCCCCCGCCGGCGGTGACAAGCAAACATGCGATTTCTTCGGCAGTAGCTGGGCCTTCGAGGACTGCGCAGGGAAGCCCCATGCCTGAACGCCATGTCGACACTCCTCCACCGGCATCTAAGCCCAATGCTGAACCATCTGATTCTGACTCCTCCCCACACCGGCCCGTCAAAAAGGCCAAGTCTAAAGCCCCCACATCTAGTGACGAAGACAGTGAGCAAGACATCAAGACAAAATCCGCCCGTGGTGCGTCTGCTGGAGGCATTAAACGTGGTGCAAGACAGCCGCTCAAGCGTGGAGGCAAACGTTTCTAGTCGGTATTATTCCTTTCTTCACTTGTACTATTGGGTGGACATGCGCACCAATGCTATTCAATGCTTCAACACAGGAAGACCGTGCCATTATATCTGCAACTCGTGTCCAATAAGATCCGAATAAGTGTGGAGAAACACGAATACTAACACACTTAAAATTACAGATAGTAATTATACAACTGCAGGAGGGGGAATCATCGTCCAACTCGTCGAGCAAACTCGGCGCTTCTGCAAGGATCACACGCTTTGTGGAACATGCTCTGAATGCGTCGTTCTTCTCCGGGCACCTGGACAGAGGATTGGCTCAAGGGGATCATAAAACATGTCCGACGATTGCATACCTTGGGACAAGGGCAATTCGCCGCTGTGTGGACGTGGGCAGAGCTTAGTCCGCAATATTGCGACATACAGTCTATCCTGTTCCCGGATTCATAAGCCTTGACAAAATGCTAGACGCCACAATCGTTGACTGGGGTTTGAGCATGACCAGGAGTATGAAACATACACTACACCCTCTATACCAGTCTCCATACCTGTGGAAGACGTCGTCAACATGAAAGGACACTAGGAAAGAAAGAGCAAGCGTACACTTCATCGTTGCACATTGTGGTGTACACGGTCGCGGGTACGGCGTTTGGTGACCGGGAGGGAAGGGGTAAATGATAGAAGAAAAGTAAGTACGAACGGGGCGGATTAGGACCATAATATACATAATCGAAGCAGTGACGACGTCCGTCATCGAAATCGCCTCGACCGTCTTGAATGTCACGCGACTGCTGTAGACTGGGACATCGGGCTGGATAAGATCTTTGCCCCGAGATTTTCCATGGGCGTGGCGTTATCACCAGGTCCATCTGGGACTTGGAGAAGAGAGATCGATAACACGCAAGCTTGCATGCATCGGTCCTCAGTTACCGGGCATCAGGCCAGGTTTGGGCCAGGTAGATGTTCAGCTGTAAGCAGAAACGCGCCGAACGACCTCCACGGATAATTATGGTTTTCCGCAAAAGTTAATCATGAGAGAATGACATTCGAGATGTTGTTGGTCTCATTGGAGCTTACTTGCCTTGTACGGTCAGCGTCGACTTATGCAAAGAACAGTGATTGATGTAGATGACGGAGTAACATAGAAAGCTCTGACACACCGGTGTGCCACAATAGCGAATCTCGATACTTTTGGACTGTATCAGGAAATTGTTGTACAACTACCTCCGAAGGCGATACCCCTGCATTCGAGTCAGCTGGTGGACCCACTTTATTGCAGAGAATCTGGAGTTCAAATGGTGAAGGCACTCGCGGACATAATATCGATAGGATACTGCGGCCCAACGTGCGCATTTGACTCAAAAAAGCGAAAAGCGAGACTCCTTGGACCGCGGATTCAATACCCAATATGCAAGTTGGACGGCCCGAAGTCCCATGCTCATTTTATTGGATTTCATTTCGAAGTGATGACAACGTACCGGAGCACGTTGTTCATCCATGGATTGAGCTTGAAGGGAAAAGGTTTTCGCGATTCCAAGTGGACCGTGAGTAGGCTTGAGTTCCGTGGTCTCGAGCAGGCATTAAAAATCATGATAGATAGATGACGAGATAGAAAAACAACAACTGTTGAATCGGTGGTGGATTAAAGTGAAACCGGCTACGAGCGTGCAGCTGGCAATGGGCCGGACTGACAAATAGCATACCTGATTACATGCACAAACGGAGCCGGGAGCAAAGCCAAGGGAGGGAAAGCTTGGAGGAGGGCAAAAGTAGCCCTTAACGAGAACAATGCGGATGGGGATTCCATGATTACAGCTTCCAGCGGCATCGGCAAGGACAGAATCTCCAATTTGCTAGCCAATTGATCCACGAACAGAAAAAGGAGACCGACGTCGTGGTCTCTCCGAAAGAATACGGGGTTGACCCCACAGTGATAACCATGACATCCTTTGCGAATTCGAACGCCTCTCCCGTCAAGGCGACGTCCACTTCAATGAACAAAAGTCGAGACCGCTATCCATAGCAGTAGATGTCCATCTCCGGCAAAGGAAATTCCGAGGAGCTTTCGATAATTGCGATCGAACGGAGGGAAAGAATAAGCCGCCGATGAGGATATCTGAGGCGCCCTAAAGGCAGTAGTAGCAGGAAAAAAGAACGCTCCAAGGAGTGCGCGGGCTTGTTGGAGAACAAACTTGTCGTCTAATCCACTAATCCAAGCAGTTTATATTTTCCGCTGGAGCCAAAAAGTCTTGAACGCGTAGGCCGGGGCTCCGGATAGCACGCTCGCATTTTCTCGCCACTTTTCGTAGGGTTTCAGTCCTAGTGGTGGTTCAAAGCTTTGATTCTGAGGTCAACTCTTTTCACTTGTGACAACCTTCCAAATCGTGCGCGTGACCTACTGTACGTAACCGGTTACTCGGTCACACCAACAACTCGGTCATCGCCTTTGTGGACAGCACAGTTGCTCATTTCACTCAATTCTTTTTGCACAATCAGGTACAATTGTACAAGAGCAACGGAATTCCATTTTTTCATGAATAGATAATCTTTCCTCGTGGAGAAATGAGCCTCTCTTTGGCTGTTGTGATGCGTGACACCCAATTTCCTTATTTGAAAACCTTTTTTTTTTTTTTTTTTGAAGTCTTCCACGTAGGGTGTATTTTAGACGTACTCCAAATACACAAAAAATAGGGTGTTCGATCACAGTCCCTTGGAGGTAGGCTACACCTAAACGACCCTCCTCATCATCCCATCCCTCGACCCGCCGCCTTTGGTTGAAGCCCCATTGGGCGCCGAAGCTTCCAGCTGTTGAGACAGTTGGTGAGAGCTGACCAGTTTCCTTGCGGTTCGCCGAATCTAAACAATCAAGGGCTTCATGGTGTTAGTCCTTCCCAGCATTGGGCGCCGAAGCTTCCAAGCCGTCAGTCGCCTGCATGGTTGGTGTGCCAGGCCAACGCTATTGACGGGGGCAGCACATGTAGGTGCTAAGTACCCCTAACGAGATTGGATGGTTTGGAAGTGAAATGTTGAAACGAGTGACTCTGCCTTCCACTATGCCTTCCGCCCTCTGATACAACCCCACCCGCTTTCCTCCCCCATTTCCCAAACCCTAAGGCATGCATCCTGTAGCATCCCCCTACCATGCGAAGGCGGTCGAATATCTAGTGTTTCTCCCCAAGGGGTGTAGCCGGATCATAGGCAACACGGCTGATGATCGGAGACTAGCCTCCTCCCTCCATGGGTTGCCTTCCATGACTAGGTTGCGCCCCCGAAAGGTCTGCGCGAAGCAGAGCAAGATGGTACACGGGCTGCCTGTCAAGTAGGGCCATCATTTGCGCTTTGAGGTTGTTGTAAACAAGGTCTTTGGGCCTCCAACAAAGCGATTGGGATACAACCACGCCGAAGTCGCGATCTTCTCCGATAAATAAGAAAAGGTGTTGGTTTAATGAATAGATAAGGAATCAGGCAATGAGTGGGGCCCGATGGAGGACGATGCCGATTAATGAGAGGAGTTCGGTAGTGTAGAGCGCGGCCATGGTGGGGGCGACGAATTCCCACGGCCGGATGGTGATGGTTCAAAATCAAGAAGCGTCGATTTGAAAACCTGTTTCTGGTGGTTCCGGAGGGCTTTTCTCAACGACATGACTGGCTGCTGGAAAAATACTTTGGAACTAAGGAGTAGATCATAATTAATGTATAATCAAGTTATTTTATCTCGTGTGGATGGATTCCTGCACTTTCAATATTGAAAATTAGAAGGAAGATCATTTTAGAGGTGGGTTGGACTGTTCCAGGTGATTTATATTGTGACGAAGCCTCTAGGGGATGAATTGAGGCATCAAAAGAATAGTGCCCCAGATAGGTGCTTAGGAAAGAAGTCTCTTTAATTTTTGCAAATTTCTTTCGAGCATGAGACACAAAGTAAAGAGAAAACCTCGTTTTCAGTGATAAGAAATGACAAATCAAATACTTCAAGGGAAGTTGCAAGGTATCATGAAATAAGGGGACCAGATAATTATAGAGGTGTTTGACTTTCATTGGAAGCTTTTTTTCCCGTAGGTCAGACCAACTTTGAAGAACAATTCAAGGTGGCCGAGTACTGTCCTCGTATTCCGACACTATCTTATCATCAGCTTACTAAGCACAGTTGACCCTGGTTACAGCCGGTGTACGGGACCAATACAAATCGGTCTAGTCTCGGGGCCTGGCCGACTTCCTGGTTTTGACCGATTTTGACCTATCAGAATAAAATATTCATGGAGGCCTCAAACCTTCCCGTAAATTTCTGATAACTCGTGCACAGGTACTTCAGATGCTTGCCTATTGAGTAGTACTGCTATTTTATTCGAAACCCCCAAACCCAGCGAGCAATTTTTAGGCGACTGTAGAGTGACCGAGATGCCGGTCATCTACAGTACGTATTACGCGACAGAGCCGAACACGGCCGATTCTAGACCGCCTGCGCCAAATTCAAGACGGTCCTTTCTTTCGGCCATGGCTGAACCTTCAGAACACCAGGAAGTCGATATTCTCGAGGTACCTTAGGCCTTTCTATGACTTATTCACGTACCTTTTGTGCTAATTCATTTTCTCTAGTCGATGCTCGACCAGGCGTTCGCGTCCCCGCCCCCGTCGCTAAAACCGGAGCCCAAGCCAGAGGCTTCACTAGGAGTCGCTGTTCCATCTACGACTGCCTCCGAGGCACAACATGGAGCTACCTCCGCTGTTACTCCTCTCGAAGCCAGCGGAAGCATGGCTGGCTCAGAAGACTCATGGAAAGCTGAGTACGAGGCGCAGGTGCAATCGTGGCGTGCTCAGTCAGCTGAGGCGCGCGAAAAGGCTGAGAAGGAGCGCTTGAGGTGGGAGGCGATACGCGCCGCGGAGAAGGAAGAAGCGGCGAAGCGGAAGGCGGCAGGCATCCTCGATGAGCCGCCCTCACAAGCCCAAGGAGAAGGTTGGGAAAGCGTCGGCGGGCCTAGCACCGTGGCCAGTTCCTCGCAGCTGGCAGAATTGGTCAGCGTGGAAAGCGAACCAGCACAAGTAAACAATCCATTTTTTATGCTTCTACATTTGTCTCAAACAGGTTTCTGCAGCCACAATCCTCTGCTGCCCGCCCTGAACCTACGACGGATCTCTCAAGGATCCACTCGCGACCAGACACAAATACGGATGAGTCTCAAAAATGGGAGGACGTCCCTTCCGTGACCTCTTCTTTCCCTTCTATGACCTTCCCCGAGAACATCGACACCCCACCGCCTCCTCGTCCCCAGGCGGCTTCTACTGCCCCTGCCTCTGTCACACTCGCCATTTTTGACTCCTCCCTCTCAACACGTACCCGCCTGAAGGCATTTGCCTCGTCTCTGGCGGTCAATCTGTTGCTACCGTTCGTTAATGGTGTCATGCTCGGCTTTGGCGAAATCTTCGCGAAGAACGTCGTCATGGGTTGGTTCGGATGGAAGAGTCCAGGGTCTGCCGCTGCCAATGTGGGCTTGAGGAGCAGCAGTCCGCGGGAAATCCGACAGAGGCAAGCTGGTCTACGTTGACCATCTAAAGCGTTTTTGTGATGTCTATCATAAATTCGGCTATAATTATTGGATATTACATTAGAGGGATGGTGCTGAATACAATAGGTGCTATGTCGTCGACGAAAGCGTGCTAAAGAGCCGTAGATCTACAGCCTTGCATCTTTGGGAATACCCCTTATTGCCTGCCGCACACCAAGATCTCCGAGGACATCCTCCGCTGAAAACAATACACGTTAGGCAAAAAAGAATAGCTCGTGGAATACAAACCAACCTCCACCGAGAATACTGGGAAATGTCTATCAGCACGTAGGCGAGAAGAAGGTTAGACGTAAGACTCACGAATCGAACGGCACTGTACGGTGGTACTAAATGGACAGTCAGTACGAAAGCAATTTTGTTCATTATCTTGGCGCATACATGTTCGATATGTTCTCCCATTCCTGCAGAATTGGGTAAGCGTCTTCATGATCTCCAATGGCAGCACTCTTTCATTACCTGTTCGCGTGATGCCACGACCGCCGAAGAGCTGAACAGCATCAGTCGCCGTCTGCTGTGCGGTGCGAGTGGCGTGCATTTTGAGAAGGCCAATAGGACCAGCCAGCTTGGCCGCCTGTTCCTTGTAGGACTGGAAGAGAGATTCAGATTGAGTCAAATTGCCCCGGGAGATGTGCTCACCATATTGTTCATTTGGTAGGTGAGGTTCTCCAGCCAGTTCTGGGTGCTCTCTACCCGCGAAATCATAGCTGCCAGCTTGCTTCGGATAACAGCCAGTGAATGGAGGGGCTTGCCGAAGGCCTTTCTTTGTGAGACCCACCTAAGAAAAGAGCTATCAGAGGAAGAAATGGTCAGCAAAGCATGGGGACATACTTGAGGCATTCTTCGAGGATCAGCCTCTGAGATCGTGCAGAGGAGCAGATCATGACCCAACGCTCGTGGTTGAAGTTGCTGAGCATCACGAAGATTCCTCCACCCTCAGGACCCAGAGTGTTCTCGACAGGAACTTTGACATTGTCGAAGGTAACAAAGGCTGTTCCAGCAGTAGGCGACTGCCAAAAATTAGACGGATCTAGGGACCAAAAAAGCAACTGGACACACATAGCTGGTCTTAATTGGCTTGGTTTCAACCCCTTCTCCACGCTCGACAAGGATGACGGTGAAACCGTCCTATGAAAGTGTCACGATGCGGAATGGATGGCAAATGAGATATAATCTTACTTCTGTCTTGCATCCGACGGTGAAGCTGACGGGGGCTTAGTATTTTGCGGACAAACAAGGTGGCAAGAACTTACTAGTGAGCAAAACTATGCCAACTCATCAGCAAAGAAAGCCGACTAGAATGAAACACATACTCACGTCCCATTAGTGATCCATTTCTTAGTTCCATTAATAATCCAGTGCTTCCCGTCTTCCGTCTTGGTTGCAGTCGTCCTCAATCCCGCGACGTCACTACCAGCAAAGGCTTCCGAGATGGCCAAGCAGATCAGCCTTTGGCCAGAGAGAACATCTGCAACGACTTTCTCTTTGATGGCCTGGCTTCCGAAGTTCAGAATGGGAGGAAGCCCGATGACCGACCCGGACATGAGACCTAGGAAGAGGTCAAGAGGACCACCAGCAGTGGATAAACTTCGAACGCACCATCGCCGTATCCTCTCTTGCCAGGACGCGTAAATTCTTGGTTGATAATGAGCTATGGCGCGGTCCAATTCATCTAAGGAATGTGTGAATGAAACAAACAATAACTAACCTCATGGAAGTAATCAAACTAACATGTCCAGTAAGAACCGATTCAGCGGAAAGAACAACGACCGTGTACTCACCTCTTCCGGCTTTACAAGCCCACCCATCAATTCTCTCCCTGTTCGAATAGTTTAGCCAACCTCCTGCGCAACTAGAATCAAGGACAAACCCTTGAGATGCTTTCCAGGACCCATACGCATGGCGTGGATGTTCAGCTTGCTGCAAAAAATAAACTCAATGGCCAAGTGTCCAGCAGCTGTGCACTACTCACGCCATGGCCTCGAGAACACTCTTGCTGGGAGGTTTGCCGTCTTCTTCGCGGGCAATTGCGTCGGGTGTAATGACCTCATCCATGAATTTCCGCACCGCCCTCTGGAACTTTCGATGATTCTAAAGCCGGCATCTCTGAGTCCTCATGGACGCCCTGGATGCTGGAAGGGAAGTACCTCGGTGTAGTATGGGCTGTGGTACCCTTCTGACAGCCAGCCAGGTTCAGCATAGGGAACCTTGCTGAGTTCTCCCAGGATACGGCCGTGGATGACACTCTTCTCCCCTTGGATAGTACCTATCTGGAGACGAACGAACTGGGGTTTCTCGATGACCTCGTGCCGATGGAGACCATAAAAAGCTTCAGTTGCATCCTGCCCAGCTACACATCGAATCATGAGCAAACTGGGAACAGATCGACGAGGCTGCTGTGCTCACCGATCTCCTCGTCGAGTAGAACCGATGCACCTCCAGGATGAAGGTTCTTGAACCTCGAAATATCGTAGACTTTGGCGTCGATGATGATCCACTGGAAGAAAAAAACCTTGTTAGGATTGCCGAGCGCGACCTGACATCATTGACGGGGCCATTCTTACGAGATCACCATCTTTGTTGTGCTGAACACACGGTCAGGGAGTTCCCCCGGCAGAAGATGATGAAGAGAACGAACCTTTACGACCTCGTCGCGCGTGAAGACTTTCAGTTCTTTGGATGCCATTGTGGAGGTGGGGTAGGTGTTTCGAGTGGGGAGACCGAAAGGAGGAGATGATAATATGGCGGGTCGCAACATGTGATTCCAGGGCCGAGCACTTTAGCCAAGCAGCCTCCGGGCCTCCGAACCAATCATTGTCCGCGAAATACAGCACGGCGCTTACTGCGACTAAATCCCCCGCCGCTGTGGGCTGTGCTGAGCGCTCGCTCTCAGCCACCAGGGCGGCCATGTCTGACGACAATTTACGAGAACGCATATCATCAAGATATCTATTAGCAGGCTCGGAAAGTGCTACGGAGTTTAGTTGGTCCGTCCGCATATCGGCGAAATCTACTCCAAAAGATATCTGGCTTCTTTGACGAAGTTACGCAACCATGCTTGCGCAAATGGATCCAACGGCCCGATGAGATTTTTCTCAGGGAGGTTTCGCATCGGCCATAAAGGCGAAGACGCTATGCGGCCACCCGTTCTTCACAGTCGCGCTGATGGGGGGATTCTCCCAAGTGCCTAGATCGCCTAGTATGTCTTCCGCTGGAAAGGGGTAGAACATTCAGAAGTAGTACAGAATGATCACCTCCTCCACCAACCCTACAGAGCACAGAAAAGGAGGAGTTAGAAGATTTCCGAAACTGGATAGACCAGCGGCAGCTACGCACGTATTTATCAGCAGTGTCCTGTGATACTACATACCCGCGGCATCAGAGAAAAAAAAAGTTGTCAAAATCATATGTCTGCACTGGATGAAAACAAGGCAGTTTCCTACATCATACATGTTCAATAAACTTTCCCATCCCGGAACGTGTGATTCCTCGGCCACCAAAAATCTAGGAGTTGTCATGGTTATCGACATGCGCCACACTAACCAAATGCACCCGGTGCTACTCATTTGGACGGCATGTCGAGCAGCGTCCTGTGCAGCTCTATTACCCCGCCAGTTCAGCAGCCTGTTGCTTGTAGTTCATATGGGCCATTTGATATGTGATGCTCTCAAGGCAATGTTGGCATGCCTCCATCTTCGATATCAGAGGCGAGTTTGGCGCTGATTACAGCCTGTGAAGAAAGCGGTTTTCCAAACACATTTCTCTGATTAATCTACCTGCAACGCGGTTAGACTGACGACGCGATTGACGGGCAAGAAATAACATACCGAAGACACTCTTCAACAACGATCCTTTGTGCGCTTATGCATGAAGTCGCCAAAACCTATCTAGGCCGAAAATCAGAAAATTCATTAGTAACCTGAAGATGGTCGCACCGTTCATGGTTGAAATTGCTGAAAACGAGCTGCCGACCATTCTTCTCTGTCACCACGAACTCGTTCCGCACAGAAACATTGTCGAAAGTGACGAAAGCAGTTCCAGCTGTGATTGAATACGAAGTATGAATTGGCTTGGTTGTGAGGCCTTCTTGCCGTGGGACGACCAGCACCATGTAATCTCCTTCTGCATGGTACGCGACAGTGAAGTAGTCAGCCCATGTGCCGTTCGTAATCCATTTCTACAAAGCAGAGAAGAGCGGAGCGCTCGTGATTAAGTCTCGAGCTGAGGTCGGGCAACACACAAAGCCGGCAAACTCACTTTCCTGTGGGGATCATCAGCCAGGGTCGGGGAGCAAAGCAGCAAGGCCGAGGAATTCTGTCAACTTACGTTCCACTCACAACCCATCCACCTTCTGCCCGAGTCGCAGAGCACTTGATTCCAGCGACGTCGCTTCCCGCAAACGCCTCCGTCACGGCTAGGCAGATGAACTTCTCCTGCACGATGGTAACACTTAGGAACTTGCTACCGAAGTTGATTAGGGGAGGCAGACCTAGATACAAAATAAAGCAATGAGGGCTTGAACCGGAGGAAGATACTTACCAAGGTCCAACACATACCGATACACGACCCTCTCCCAAGCCCATCGCTATAACCACGCGCATGTATGCGTCCGAGCTCTTGCCAAAGTATCAGCTCGTGAAACTGGTCGAACTACTTGCACGAAGACGTCAGTCCACCAATGCACGAAAACATTATTTTTTGCGCACCTCTTCAGGCTTGACGATCCCGCTCATCAACTCACGTCCTTTCAAATGCTTTCCCGATCCCAAGCGCATCACAATGATATTCAGGCGTGCCATCTCGTCAATGACATGCTGCGACGGCCTCTTCCCGTCTTCACGGAGCTGCGCGTCGGGGCAGACCTCATCGACGAACTTCCTCACTGTGACTTGGAACGTCCTATGGTTCTATTCGCGGACCGTCAAAAATAACAACGGCAGGGGCTTCAGGGTTGGGATGAAGAGAAAACAAAAATAAACGCGGACTGACGTCGGTGAAGTAGGGCGAGTGGAAGCCATTCACCAACCAACTCGGCTCGGCGTAGGGAAGCTTGCTCAGTAATCCGTTGTCGTTCAGGCCTAAATGCTCGACTCCGCCTTCGAGGACGCCGATCTGGAGACGCTGGTACTGGGGGTTTTGCACAACTTCTTTTCGGTGGAGGCTAAAGTAGGCGTTTGTCGCATCGTTTCCCGCTGTAAGAGGGGCAACATCAGTGGCCAATTTATTTGGAGATCGAGAGTAACGACATACCGACGCCCTCCTCGAGAAGCACAGACCGTCCGCCTGGATGCAGAGAGATAAATTTGGTGAGGTCGTAGACGATTGTGTCGACCACAATTCACTATAGAGAGTAGGTTCAACTGATCAGCATTGTCTCCAACATAGCATAAGAACGCACCAAATCGCTTTCACTCGAGTGCTTCAGCCATTTCCGACACCGTCAGTCAACGAACCTATGAGATGCAAGCGGTTTGTAACCGCCAAACTCTGGTTCTGAGCGACCATGTTCACCCGCGTATCTTCCTTCTGGTCTTTCCGGGTTTGAAAAGGTGCTGGCGCGAGGTTGAGTCAGGTTTGAAAGTGGGGTGGGGGGGAGGTGACCGTCGCCGCCACCGGTCGACACCTGGGTGCTCTTCCAACTTCAAGACGCGTGTGGTGTAAGGGAGCTAATGCAGCGCTCTCGTCTGAGGCCGCGTTGATGCACCAAGGTTCCGTTACGGATGTAGAATCTGGTCTCTTCCAATATTATCGGGCTTGGACGTGTTGATCATGATGCCACGCTGGAGATCGGTGTTATTGAATCCACGAGGAGTCATCAAGTTTCATTGAACGAGCGCTGAACGCTGAGCGGCGATGGCGGGAGGGTTGAGCATCGATGATCGCGGTCCGTTCCAAGACGCGTCACGTCGCGTACGCTGGCATCTGATGATCTTGGCGGGACACAAACCACTTACGAGCGATATAATAATATACCATTTTTCCCAACACACAAAACTATGCATGTCATATGTAAGTACAAAAAAAATGCCATAAAGCCACCTGGGAGGTATAAGCCAGTAAGCATCCCAGGCGAACTTAAAGTTAAGCGCAGAGCGGTCGACGACAAGATAAGTACAACAGGCGCACAGCGCGCGTCGTACTCCTAGTCTACTTTACTCTAGGTATGATGGACGAGTGATCGGCAGCAGGTGCGGGTATATGTGGAATGATAACGGTAACGGTACGTATGTAGTCGAAACCTGAAAAGACGGAGAGCGCGAGAGGTAAATAGACAGCAAGAAGATGGAAGTGTAAGAGTGCTCCAGGACTTTTGAGATTTCGAACCAAGCCTGCTTGCGTGCGGGGATTTGTGGGGGGTAACGGGTGATCATAATACAAGAAAGCCGTGGACTTTCGCGGGGGCCTCGAGAGATGAGATGAGAGAGTTGGGGAGACAGGAGAGAGGGGTATGCGTGCGAGATAGGGTAAATCGGAAAGCGAGGGAATAAGTTGAATAAAAGCAAGGTAGGAGGGGTGGGTGGGCAAGTAGGCGGTCGGCGGTCGGCGGTCGGTGGCGGTGTGGGTGTGGGTGTGTACATGACCGGTTGTGGGTGTGGGTGTGGGCAGTCGGCGTTGGAAGTTGAAAAACGAGATGATTTGCATCGTGGGGAATGCCATGGATGGGCGAACTCCGAAACAGGAAGCGCGCTCTTATCGCGCCCCAGTCCAGACCTCGCCGTGCCACCCTCCTACAGCGCAGCACGCGTCTAGAAGTTCGACCACGACGTCAGCTCATTCCTCGACGAAAATCCGGGCCCGTCCATCTGGACCGTAATCCCTAAGCTCGAGCTCCTGACCGGCCTCTCCGCCCTCAAGCCCTTCACCGGCTTGAGGAAGCACCACGCAGGCACAACTCCCAGCTCGACATCACTGCCTTGCTGTGCTTGCGACGGCTTGCCGAAAAGCGACTTCGCGCTCTGCACAAGCCCCGCGAACTCCGACTCCCGGCCGACGACACACCACCCGTCGTCGAATGATTGCACGACAGTGAGCTGGTCGCCAAGCGAGACGAGCAGCTCGTCGGGGAGGACGGGGTCGAACACCTGGCGTACCTTGCGCAGGGAGCCGGAGGTCGAGGAACCGACGGAAGACACGGAGGACATGACGGAGAAGCGCTTCGATGTGGCGGAGGACATGAAGGATGCGCGAGGGCCTGGGTCGAGCATTGAAGTGCGCGGGGAAGGAGCACCCCCGGAGAGGGCGAAGGAGAAGGGCTTGGGGAGCGCCCCAGATTGGGCGTGGTAGTTGATGATCTCTTCGCGGGTTGCAGCACCTCCAGGGCGAGAGAGGGCTTTCTCGGGGAGGATGATGGACGCGTCGAGGTTGTTCCGAGAGAATCCCTTGCTCTGCGTCATCGAGCGTCTAATATCCGCACAAAAGAGGTTAGAGCGTTAATGTCCGTCCATGAAATCTATTTCATGAAGACTCACTGCAAAGAACCATCCATCTTCTCCGGGTCTCCTTCAGGTACGAGCCCCTTGACAGAGAAGAACGCTGCGCCCATGTTCTCCTGGCGCTTCCGCATCGCGCGCTTCCTGTACACCCTTAGCGAGAGCCACAAGCCCACTCCGAGAGCAATGACACCGACAACGACGATGCCGGCGATGTAGACGGGGTTCGAGATGGTCGAGTCGTCCGAACGTTTCAGGACATGGATAGGTGTAAAGACAGGCATGGCAGCAGCTGGAGAAAGTGCGAGTGGAAGAGAGGAGTAGGAATGCGTTGAGAGTGGGTTGTGTGCTGATTCTGGATGTCCAAAAATGCGAAAATGCGGATGTGGGTGTGGGTGAGTTGGTTGGTTTGACGTCGAGTGTAACGAATGTGGGCGTGTAAAGAACGACAGGGGGTCGTGAAGACGTGTATGAGCTCCTTGCTCCTCCAATACAGGCGTGCTGCCTCTGGCGAAGGGGGAAAGGAAGGGGGAGGAAGGGGGGAGGAGGCAAAAAAGAGGAGAGCGCCACCAACACCCGTCGGCGTAAATGAACGAGCTGTAGCGAGCCAGGTGCGCGTGCCAAGCGGAGCTGCTGTCATGATTGGGCAGCGCACTTCCTTATCGGGCCGATTAGATAACGCGCATTCCCTTGGAAACGGCGGTTGGGACGTGATCCCATCCATCTCGCCCCCCGGTTCTTCGTGCGATGCTCGAGCTTGTGAAGAAGAGATGGGCCTTCTAACTCCTGAGATGGGAGCTGAATACATTTGTTGAGGCCCGGTCTGGTCTCGTCGTATTAGTCGCTGGTGTACACTGCCTCACCAAAAAGATTGTCCACCCATGTTTGGGCCATAGTCTGAGAACGGCTTGGGATGGGCCTTTGAAAAAATGTGGATTAAATATTAGACACATAAAGTATCTGGATGATCCCCAAGCACGTAAAAATAGAAGCAATCCTGATAGGTAGCATTGAGGGACAAAAAATGCTGTTTTTCCAGTTCTTCAGGCCAACAAGCTTTCTTGCTCATAAAAAAGTATATTGTAGTACAGGATAGTTAAAGTCAATGCAAACTTCATCTACAAAAATTTACTCAACGGTTCGAAAGTTGTAAGCCAATTAAAGTGGCCGTTTTGAGCCAAAAAAGGAAATAAAACCCTAAAAGGGGCCAAAATGAGGACTTTGTAGCACACATAACTTTGGAACCACTTGATAAAAAGTTGTAAATCAAGTTGGGATTAGCTTTGGATATCCCATACTTCATAATATATTTTTTACAGCAAGAAAGCTTATTGGCTTGAAAAAGTGGAAAAACAGCATTTTTTGTCCCTCGACGCTACCTATCAGGATTGCTTCCATTTTTACGTGCTTGGGGATCATCCAGATACTTTATGCGTCTAATATTTAATCCACATTTTTTCAAAGGCCCATCCCAAGCCGTTCTCAGACTATGGCCCGAACATGGGTGGACAATCTTTTTGGTGAGGCAGTGTAAGTGAACAGGAAGGTGTCCAAGCGCCCGTTACGAAATTGGTGGCGCAATCGACGTTCTCAGCAGAAAACCACCAGAAAAACACAAGAGTGACGATCAGCTGCGCTGACGTTTCCGTGATTTCATTGTTCGATCCCATTGATTCCCAATGCTTTTCATTATACGGAGGTGAGCTTGGATGGCCTGGAAAGATATCCGGAATTAGGACCCGCTACTTGAGACTCTTCCAGTGCTTTCTGGGTCGATGGGAGACTGATGCTAGGGAACGCTGGTGGCAGCCTTCTTGATCCTCGCCCGTGCAGTTCCGTGCAGGATGGAGAAACACACCGAGGGGTGAGTGTACTGTGTGGGCTAATTTGTGGAGTCGATCATCTGGAAATCTCTGTGTGTTGCCACCAGCGCTCCCGCACGCTCTCTTCATTGGCTCTTTCTACGAAAAAGCACTCACGACTCTCACTGACACCGACGACTCACCGATTCGCCGTCGGTGTCTTTGTCTGCGACTGCCGATCGCGAGTGGGTGGGCGCGCATGCTGTTTTCGAGCGCCCGGTCAAGTTCGACTCTGTCGGGGCTCCATAATGATGGCTTGGGAGAGGTAAGTACATAGCCGGTGGGCGTCGAAGAGCGATAGAGATACACAGCGGCAGGAAGATTATGGACGACTTTTTGTCGCACACAGGCTTGGGACTCCGAGTCGGGAGAGGTATAAAATGTCGACAGTGCTGCCAAAATTCCTGCACTCCGGGATTTCTTCAGGGAATCAGTTCCAATTTTCGAGTCCACGGGAAAGCCAGCAGAGCTCGCGTAGCTTGTGCACAGGGACTGAATGGGACTGAGCGCCTAATTGCTGACTCTTAGACGCCATGAAAGATCTCAGCGGGAATTTCTATCGGTGTGTCCGATGTTACCTCTCTTCACAGATTACGATCGTCAAAACATACGGAGGATGCGATGGTGCATACCTTCTGCTTAAGGTTGCTCTTATCTAGACTGTCGAGACACTTTGCCGAGCCTCCAGCTGGTATGGTACATTTCCTGTCATCAACATCACCTCCAAGCTGATGCCGAGGCTATCGATCTTCAAACCATCAACGGATATGAGCAGCGGGCGCTACATGAAGACAATTAAACCCGTTACCTATATTTTGCTCCACGGGGACCGTACGAGTACGGGATGCATCGAGTTGGAGGTGCCACCTCGGGAGTTGGGGAGCTGTTGGGTGGGGAGTGCCCATCAATATATGAAAGCTAGCCACAGGCAGCATAGGAGAGATGCGATGGAAATTTATTGAACAGACCTGACCTGAGTATAGTGAAAAACGAGATTATGCGAAAGATACCCAATATCAGTCGAAGAAGCGAAGACCAAAGTTTCAATCGTCACGCAACCCCATCTGCGACTGGCTTGGTCGAGTGTTCTCGAGAACACCGAGCTTCGAGGCTGTAAGATTGGCATCGCCAGGGGGATCAAGCTCAAGAGCCATAACAGATCCCAGACTGGCCTGATCATCCTTGCCATTGTAAATCGCAACATCTCCACACTATCCATGAATCCGGTTCGAGAAAGCCTCCTGCGTCTCCATGAAGTCGTCCTCAAGTTCATCGGACGACTCATCCGTAGAGTCAGAAATGTGCTGCTGGGAGGACGAGTCGTCGGGTCCGACCCCCTCTTCCTTCAGTTCCCCTTCCACATTCTCTTGGGCGTTACATCCTGATGAGCCAGACGCTCCATCTCCATCGCCGCCGTCAGCACCCCCGCCACCACCAGTACGTCTACGCTTCTTGCTACGCGTGCCATACTCAGATGGGCCGTCAGCCGCATTCGGAGGCAGCTTGACATCCGGACCCTTGTTGATAAACCACGTCGGGGTTTGGAGCTTGTCCCACATCGCGAAAATCTCTAAGGAAAGCTTGAGGGGGGAGTTATATTTCGCCAAAGGGCCCACTAGATCGGGATCGTTGGAAATGTAGGTCGGAAGAAGTCCTCGCGCCTTGAACTTCTGACCGAGATTCCAGATGACGTAGTGGGGCTCGATGTCAAGAGTCAGGACTGGGAAGTTGGCGTGTGGGAAAAAGAACAGGTCAGCTGCACTTGGAGGATCGAGGAGAGGCGATTTAAGGCGAACGATGGGCATACTGAAGCGTTTTGGGCGAGAGAGTGGAAGGAAGGCATAAAGGAACCCCTTCCTGTTTCCATAGTGCGACACCTTTACTGAATGAGTCAATCAAATATTGTTGTGCAGAACGGATTCAAACCTTCTGAAAGTCCTTGTAAGAGTCTTCAGTCACTTCCGTGCAGGTCGGCCATGATTCATAGAAGAGCTGCATGGAGGAGAGTATCTCGAAGTCCATGGGAAGCAGCGCCCAATAGCCTTCATCGAACGTCTGGTGAAGCTCTGGAGACACTGGTTTCGCAGTGAGCTACACCGGTGCATTTATGCGGAGGGAACCATGCCACTTACACCGCAATAAATTCGTGGACGTGTCCACGTCGAACTCCTTGTGGCCCATGCCCCACAAGAACTCAAGAAAATTGAGTGAGTTAAAACTATCTTGATATTCAATACAAAACACACCTCCAGAGGGCCCATATCCTTTTTCCTCGCTACAACATGGCAGGTTTGCGTACCCGCCGCGGGCCCGAATCGAAGGGTTATGGCGCAGGCCCTATCAATTCCTGGGGGCAGGTTCAGGGGCGGGTTGGCCGCCAAAGCTTTAGTATCTGCGCGACCCTTCTGACTCGAGGAAGCTGAGGCCGTCACTGAACGCGCTTTGGGGGTTTTGTTGTCTGCTTTGGGTCTCGCTTTCGGAGGGGTTGAGGTATACGCTCCACCATCCACGCGTCCGCATTGGTCGCATTGGTCGGAAAAACCCTCAGCGTCAATCTTTTGCTGGCAGGCAGGGCAATCGCATTGGAGACAGTACCTGGTCGGAGCCTCTGAGGGGACAGGCATGGTGCTATGAAGAAAAGTTCAAAGTCAACGTGAAAAGTGATTAAACAAGAAAGATCTGGTGAAAGCTCATACCCTAGTTTGAATTCAAGAGAAAGTGGTCGTGAAGACGGCGATGGTGGTGGTAGAAGGTAGGCGGGATCTGTTGCGGCACGGGAACCAACATCCTGCAGAGTACCCGCTCTTCGACTTGATCCCGACCATCATCGAGGTTAAGTATCATTGATTAGGGTCTATGAGAGCGAGCGACGCGTTGACGCGTTTGCCATGGATTAGATTAGATTTATTTTTCATGCCCTCCTCTTTGCTTTTCATCGCCCTTATATTTTCATATCACCGTACTTCCTTTCTCTTCGTGCTCACTCTCCCTCATCTCATGCAGCTCGTTATGTCTCGCCTTGAGCTCTGTCCTTTTTCGTAACCCCCCCCCTTACTTTTGTTATCATTTTCTAGCTACCGTGACGTAATACAAAACTGCGCCTATTCTGCCCTGAGACTTTTCTCTCTCCCATTTCCCTTCGGATCTCGTCCCCCTCACGAGATATTTGACCACCACAAAGGCTATTGCATTATTGCCTGCAACCCCGTCACGTCATATTCCTCCTTTCGTTCCTCCCTGCCGAAATGTGTATATAACTCAACCCCGTTGCAGAGCTTACCAAACGTCAGCTGCTCTTCAGAAGGCATGTTCCTCGTCTGGGCGAAGAGCAGTGAAATTTGGCGACGGATAGATGGGATGGGATGGGAAGATGGGATTAGGACCTGCTACACGTTGAGTCTCGAGACTCTTCCAGGCTTCCCCGCGTTGGAGGTGCTCTCTGGGTCCGGCGCCCTTGGGCACTGTGCGAGATAGGTGGAATGTTCTTGGGGAAATTGTTACTTTTTTGTCGAATTCTTGCCCATAGGGCTAATTTCTGCTAATTTGTGGAGTCGGTCATCCCCCCCCCCATTGCATTTGCAACCGTCGCTCCTTCGAAATAAACTCTTTTCCTCACACAAGACTTATCGATACCGACGACTCCCCGATTCGCCGTCCGCGTTTTTGTTGGTTGCGCGAGCCGAACGCTAGTGGGTGGGCGCGCACGCTGTTTTCGAGCGCCCGGTCAAGTTCGACTCTGTCGGGGCTCCGTCTTGGGAGAGGTAAGTACATGGCCGGTGGGCGTCGAAGAGCGATAGAGACCCACAGCGGCAGGAAAATTGTGGACGACTTTTTTGTCGCACACAGGCTTGGGACTCCGAGTCGGGAGAGGTATTATAAAATGTCGACAGTGCTACCAAAATTCCTGCACTCCGGGATTTCTTCAGGGAATCAGTTCCAGTTTCGAGTCCATGGGAAAGCCAGCAGAGCTCGCGTAGCTTGTGCACAGGGACCTCGAGCGCCTAATTGCTGACTCTTAGACGCCATGAAAGATCTCAGCGGGAATTTCTACCGGTGTGTCCGATGTTACTCTCTCTTCACAGATCACGATCGTCAAAGCATACGGAAGATGCGATGGTGCATACCTTCTGCTTAAGCTTCCTCTTATCTAGACTGTCGAGACACTTTGCCGTACAGCCTCTAGCTGGTATGGTACATTTCCCGGTGTCATCAACATCACCTCCAAGCTGATGCGGGGCTACCGATCTTCAAACCATCAACGGATATGAGCAGCGGGCGCTATATGAAGACAATTAAACCCGTTACCTGGATTTTGCTCCACGGGGACCGTACGAGTACGGATTCTACGGAATGCATTGAGTTGGAGGAGCCACCTCGGGAATTGGAACTTGGGGAGCGGTTGGGAGGGAGCATCCATCGATATATCATATCGCCACGGAACTATACTCGAAGTGGGAGATCAATCCGAGTCTAAACGCAGATGGGATGAAGATGCAGGTGAACGTGTTCTTTTGTGGAGCCCGTCGCCAGTCTTGTACGTTGAACGAAGTTCTAATCGTGTCATGCCTGTCGACAGACAGCTCGAGGGACGCCGTTCTTGGGACGAGAGGCAGAGCGTGACGCTGATAAATACGCTCTAATATTCTGATAAGGAATCATAGGCTGCAGGCCTGAAGTGAGATGTGGAGAATGTCTGAACAAATGGCGCCGACTCGGAGGAAGCCGATGTTTTTGGACAGCCGCCAACTGGTTATCGAGCAGCCTCGTCAGCGGGACGATGTGATTTGAATACAGAACATTACAAGGAGGAAGATCGTGACGTCTTTGGCTTGCGGAACAGAAGATGGGCGGCTGTGGGCGTCGACGCTGGACTTGGGCGAGACGGGCCGGTGTGCGAGCCTGTGTGAAACGCGAAGCCGAAACGCACTCCCACGGTCCGTCACGGATATGATCCCTTGTCACGCTCTAGCTTGTGGAGGGAATTTGGAAGCAGTTGACAACGCAACACTCGCCGCCGACAACGACCGTCTGCTTCCTTCTCTCAAGACTCTGCATGCCCGACTGCTGCAGGTCCTAGCCTGTGAGTACTCTCCATCCTTGTGCCCGCCCACAGACGCAGCTGATCAGCGCATCATGTCACTCTCCCTGCTAGTCAGTAACAGCCTCCATCAGGCACTCTTTCGCTCTTTTACAATCCCATCCCTTCCGCCTCCCTCCATCTCCCCCCCCCGCATAAATGGTCGCCCATGTTCGCCCCGCACACCTCGCGAAGCGACAAGACCCCGTCGACGTGCCCACCGCCGTAGGCATCACAAACGGAGGCATCACCGTCGGCACAGATGGTGCAGCGACGGCGACAGACGCACTAGCTTTCGATACTGCTGCGGGTACAGGGACCCTGAGTCCACCTCCATTTGCCCTCACGACCACTGCTCCTCCACCAGCTCCCACCTCTTCATCATCCTCATCGTCGACCTCGGCAGCCCCATCGACCATCGCCGCCGCCTCAACCGCAAAACCGATTGCCATGAGCACCGTCATCGGCACATGTATAGGCGCCTTCATCGGTGCCAGCGGCCTCATCGCCCTCGGCCTCTTCGTCTACCGACGCTACTCCCGCACCCTCAAGCAGCGGGCCAATACCCGCGGCCCGCTCGCCCACAGTCGAAACCTCCACGGAAATGACGGCCGCCGCAAGTCCAGACTCGAGCAGTGGAACAAGCTCGAGGACGCAGAAGGCGACGGCGATAAATGGGAGGGCATGTATCATGACGGTGGTGGCAATAACAACAAGCAGACGACCGCGACGAAGGAGATCGACCAGGTCGCCCCGATGGAGAAGCTCACGATGTTCAAGAAGACCCCGAGCGTGCGTACGGCGTACACGACGACCGTGGAAGACAGTGCCGCCTTCACCTTCCCACAGGCGTTCGCGCCGTTCGACACCAACCTCGCCAAGACGCTGACCACCGAAAAGCCCGCCGCGATGCCCGAGCCGCGGCCCTTCCTGGGTCGGGTCGACGCGAACCCCGTCATCTCCTGGGACTCGCAGGACCAGCAGGGCAGCTCGTATCTATCTGTGCGCTCGCGCATGTCCAGCGGCGGTGCCATGTCGCCCACACTTCACATGGCCATTCCCACGCCCCCGCCCACAGTTTCCCAACCCCACCGCTGGGAATCAGCTGAAGTCGTCAACTTCTCAGAGGGTCAAGCGGCAGAGGTCGTTAACTACCCGAACCAGAAGTCGAACAATCCCTTCGCGGACAGTGACGAGGATGACAACAGGAGGAGCGCTCATAATCCGTTCTTCAACGCGAAGGATTACACCCCGCGACACCGCCGGTCGACATCACGCTCGAGCTCGACGCGGTCTCGATCCAACTCGCGATCGCGCTCCCAATCCCAAACACGCTCGCGCTCCAATTCGGTTACGACCCTCACCCCCGCGGTCAAGTCCGCCAAAGCCAAAGGCAAGGAGCGCATGCGGTACTCCCAGATGTCCACCGCGGGGACCATCACCCCTGGGGACGTCAGCGTCAGCACCAACAGCTCTACCGCCGGGGCACCAGACCCCTTCGACGACATGCACGGCCAGCTCCCGCGCCCGCCGTTCCTCACACACACCGCGACGTCCTCGACGTCCTCCATGGACAAGGGGGAGCGGGAACGCGCGCTCCAGTCGCTCATCGCCGTCCTGGATGTGCCGGAGGAGGAGGTTAGGGATCGGCTGAGGATCGCCTCAATGCAGCCCTCGATCATCTCACAGGCGTCGTCGCTTGGCGGCGAGGACGTGACGAAGGAGTTCCCGCTGCCTCCAGGACAGAACCGGGGGTTTGCGAGGCCGTAGGCGGGTTTCGGTCTTTCAATGACCTATTCGCGTTCTCCGTCATAGTTACACCGTAAACCCTGCTTTGTCCTTCGTTCCTCCGCCACCCTCCACTCTACGCTCTTCGCGCTTCTACCACCACCTTTTTGCCTTTGCCTTGCCATCCCCACCTTGTCACGCAGCACCGACGTTGGCAGTGATGCTGTCGTCAGCATTACCACCATTGCCATCTTCATCGCCGCCATCATCATTCATCGTTATCATTATCATCATCATCACTTGTTCGAATGCCTTCGAACCTCGGCCTCGATCAGGTATCGAAAGTTCGAAATCATCATCAATGCTCGAAGCATCATCATCGCCCATCCACGTCCACGTTCTCGCAATGTCCGCCCGCCTCCATTGCGGCGTGCTCGAGTTAAGCTCTCGTACACGCCGCGTACTTCTTGCTCACTTACGGTATACTTACTTCCAATCCATCCGTCCATCCATTGCATGTGCACAATTGTACTTTATGCTTTTTTGATACCTTGCATTCTTGCTTTCAATTATTGGATCACTTATTGGAGACGTATACCGAGTTGGCGGTGCTTTGACGTTCGCGTTTTTTTCAGTGATACTTTCGATTTCCCTTCGACGATGCCTTTTGACACGATGACGATGACGATGATATTGTGCTCGCCTGCTCTTGTTTATCTATGCTGCATCTTCTGCTTTTTTCCTGCCCTCTACCTTCAATTCTATGCGCATCTACTGCTCAAATATCTACTTTTTCGTATACTTGCTTAAGTACTTACCTTTTTTTTATTCGGGTCATGCCATCCTCCTTCCATTCCATCCTTCCCTCTCTCTTTATCTCCCACCCATCTTCCCTGGCTTATTTCCTCTTGCAAACTTTCAGGCGTAGCCGAACTGTGTACCATGCTCGTACTTACGGGCCACCCTCACCTTCGCAGTCACCTCTGAACCATACCGCCCCATCCACCACCCACCACCCTCACCCCCTCCATCCCTTCTTACTTACCCGATACAGTATATTTATTGTCCTACATCTCAAATCCAACGATCCTTTGAAACTCGCCTATTTGGTCTGGTCTGGTCTGGTTTGGCTCTTAAGGAAGTATTGTGTCGGTCGAACATGCTGTACGCTCTGCTAGGAGTGGCGAGCCTTGATCCTGTTGGCATCAAGCTTTCACTGGAGTCTCGATGCGGGAGGCTGAATCGACCTGTCGCCTAGGTCCAAGGGTCAAGGCAGCGGCGAGGCCCCTTTGTTATATACTCAGGACCCACCGCAAGAGCCCCGAATCGAACCTAGGGAGAAATTCTTATCCAGCAGCGCCGCGTGCTCTAGTACAGTGCTTAGTACCCGGTTCCGAGTTGCGATGTTTTACGGACCTCGGGCAATCTGTCTGTCTGGTGTCGAGCGTCTGTCATGATTGAATGGTGGACAGGCGGCGAGGTCATGCGGTTGGAACTTGGTGAGCCGGGTATTGTATGTCGTTTTGGTAACACTTTGACAGGCATCGACAGTCGGTGAGCGTTGGCACTGACAAGGATAAGTTTCGCGAATGCCGCCAATGCAGTACTTATTCGCACATCGCTCAAAGATACTTACTTCAAGGTGCATTCTTTGATACTCTACGACCTGTTACATACGGTTGATTCCCGTCAGATGCCAGCGTCAGATGCCAGTGAGCGGCAAGTGAGCGGATGATGGTACGAGGTCGTTGTCAATCTTGGTTCAATCTGACAGACTCTGTGACCTAACTTGGGGGACAGGATGTCAAGGCTTCAGGAATGAACGATGAGCCGTGGTCTCCAATGATTCCCAGGAGGGCATATAAGCGATGTCCGTTAGAGCAAGAAATTATGGCTCGTGTTGTGTTAGGACAAGGAGAACGACAGCTGATCAGACGCTTTCTGGAGCCCTGAATAAAAATAAAAAAAAAGAACAAGAAAAAAGGGGGGGAAAAGGAAGAAAAAAAAACCTCATTTTGGTCATGAAAGACCACCGCTTCTCCTATGTATGTTTTTCTGAAGCACTGGGCTTGGGCGTCTGCGTTTGCATGCAACAAGGGTCCAGACTCGAACAGCTGTAGCACCATTGCCTAATTCGGGAATCAGGCTGCCAAAAGTGGTTCAAGTTGCCCCCAGGACCCACAACATCAGCCGAAGCCTCAGAGTTAAAGTCGCAGGCCGGTGCTCATCCCAGAAAAATCGGTTTATCTCGTTTCTCTCTTCCATCTCTTCCAGTTTTTCCCTTCTCCGAAATCCGGCAGCTGCGTCCAGTCAAGTGCCTGCATCAGGTACCATGGCAGTCACGGTCCTTCCTAGCAGTGGCAGACACTGCACCTTCGGTGTCTCACCTGTCGAGCCTATATATGCTGACCCTTCGTTTTAAGTACTCGTATAGCTATGGTGCTCGCAAATGAACATGCCGGAAGATCTCCTTCGACCTGCTGCTCTAGACATACGCTTTTGTGACTTGCGTTTATCTGGTTCAATAGCACTCCACTGCGCTTCTGGATACTATGGCGCTCTAATACAGCGTTGAATTTTTGGAAACCAGCTGGCTCTGGCACGTGATTCAGTTGGAGCCTAGAGAATCTAGCGATCAAAAAGGTTGCACATTGCGTTTAGTTCAAGGGGATAAGTCTGCAGACAAGGAGCATTGAGAAGGTGAATCTGAAGCTCAGTACCGACCGAGGTATATACAGCCCACTGCTCGTTCTAACTAGACACATACACAGTGTCGAGACTCAGAGGGATAATTTATTTAAAAGTAATGTTAGCCTGAGTATTGATTATATCTCCCGATGCTTCGCTCTCAAGCTTTACTTCAGAGCCTTCGAGGCTCATGCTATACGTGTTCATCTGCCCTTGAGTCCCAGCCTGCAGCAGTATCCCCCATTTGAGTCTCGTGTATTTCGCTGACGGCCTCAATTACCAGGCCCAATGCGTTTGCAATTCCTTGGGCCTGTGCAGCAGCAATTTCCGACGGTTTAGCGGGTTCCTGTTCGTCTGCGTTACCCATGGCAGACTCTTGATAAAATGAAGGTCTGCGAGACAGTGGCTCATTAACGACCCACGAAGCCCCCGTGCTGGCCGGAGATTTGCCCCAGCCTTCCAAACCATCTTCCAACTCAACACTGGTTACTCGGTGCGCTGCCGCCACGGCAGGTTGAATCATGCTCCGCATTACGTCTAAAGACCAGGATCAGTGACGCCAAGTAGCATGAAGTATTGCGATGAAGCTTACTGCTGCTTGTCGGACGGTTATCCACTTCCCAGACGCGGGGTGCGACATGTAAAGCGTGACCCTTAGGGTTGCCTGGTACAGGGCTCGCGGGTATTGACAAGGCCCTCTTCAAGAGCTTAAATACCCTTTTTCCGTGGGACGTTTCAGAGCTGGAGATCAGAGTTTCGCAGAAATTATCTAAAGATGTTCCAAGAGCTCTAATCTCTTCCAGCTCTTCTGGAGTCTTCAGAACTTTGTCGCTCAACGCCTCACAGACAACAGAAGCCATGATGTAGGATTGAATGGCCCTTGTCTCAGTCGTTGTGTCCAGATTATAATTCCCAACGTCCTGAGTGAACTTCGAGTATGAATCAAGACAAGATTTCAAGAAGGCGATAGCACCAGTAAGAGAGGGAGGTTCTGACAAGTTACGCGCATATTCTGTGACGCGGTACTTGAGTCTCTCACGAGGGATGAGCTGTATCTGAAGCCAGTCGATCGAACGATCGGCGATTCGGCTGAACATTGATTGTACATATTCTTCTTCTCGCTGAATAAGACCTGCCATAATTCAGTTGAGATATCGTGTGAAGTTGCCACTTGGGAATACACAGTTACCTTGGTTTTCCTCCGGAGTGAACCCATTCACGAAGTACTTATCGACCAGATTGCTGGATGGGAGCAAGTGGTCTGGTAGAAAAGATCCATCGGACGGGTGCTGAGAGTGGGGTATGTCAAAGAAGAAGCTGCAAACTCGGAAATAGACTTCCGCTGTGGTTGCCTCCCATGATTCAGAAACACTCCGTATGCCTATTTTGTGAAAGAAGAGGAGAAGTACTTCATCGTGGAGAACGTCGGGATCGTCGAAGTCAACAAGGTCATACAGCAGTTGGGAGCCTTCCTTGATCAAGATGTTCGCCAGCGATTTCAAATATGATTTACGCTCCGGATCTGTCGGGTCTCGATGGGTGCTTGGTGTGATACAGTATTGGAAGCAGTGATAGCCCGATTCGAGGGTGTTCATGTCAAATGGATAATGGTGGCAAACATGGAGAATACTTTGAATTTGGTCGTAGAAAGGCCCGGCACTCCAATCTTTGCCACTCCAGTTCCCAGGAAGTTCATACCTGGTAAAATCGTTGGGTAATGCATGTAAGCAAGCTAGTCGACGGATGGACATCCACTTGAGATCAAGTTCAGTCCAATTCTGGGCCAACATAAGATCGGCACTGGGCGTTCGTGTCGGGAGGTGATCGGTCCAACGCTCCCCAATTTTTTTGAAAATTAGTGCGAAGAGAGAATGAAAGAAAGGGGAAAGGGTGCTGGAAATAAAGGAGAATGCATGGCGAAATAATTTTGCCTGGGGCGACTTGTATGGACTTGGGACCGGAACGTCTTTCTCAATCTGTGGTGGCGAAATCGGGCCTTTCAGTCCATGAACATGTATGTGCAGTGTTGGCATAATTGTTGTCGTGAAAAGGAACGTGATAGAAATGGCGATCATCAAAATGACGGGAATAGTGACCTTCGCAATGTGAAGAGAGTGCAAGAAGTCGGCGAGGCCTACGAAGAACAGGATGACGGCAGCCTGGAGGAGAACTGGAAGGGACGAAAAAAAGGCGGAAACGCGCCAGGTTTCAAGCATCTTCGTCCTCATGTGAAGCAGAGTCAAGGTTTGCTCTGCTGAGAAGTATTCAGGGTATGACTGGTGCTCCCGCAGCCATTGAAGGGAGACAATGCCGATGAGCACTGCGGTCAGACTAACCACAAGACTGAGAAACCAGCACACATTAACACGAATCGAGGAAGAAGTCGGGGAAAAGGATAATTGTGGCAAGTCAGGTGAGGACGAAAGCGACCCGTTTGTTGGGTTTTCCAGGCGTGCAGCAATCTGTGTGAGGAGAATAACTATGGTCTCGCTGGGATCCTCCTGCAAGTTCTGGTAAGACTCGATAAGAAAGGCCGTAACGACCGCCGAAAAGAGGCCAGCCTTCACGATCAACAATAAATAACGATACAGCGACGGTGTATAGAATTTTGCCATTGAAGGTACGCACAAAAATCAGGATATTCTGAACCTCATCTTTCCATGCTTCACACTGCGCCTTGTCTTTCTTCTGAACGGGTTCGAGAAGTGTGGCCCAGTGGTCGAGGCCCTCATCTGTCTTTGGTGCCCCAGATATGAACGTTGCGGGCTAAAGAGGTTGGGTGAATGTTGGCCACAGTTGCTTCAAACCAATCACACCTTTGGGTCTTCTGTCACAGCACGTCCTGTTGGTGGGATTGTTCCGACAGGATAGCTCCCTGTATAAAATAAATCCAATTTATTGTTCCAATAGAGCTGGGTAGGAAGCATCTGAGAAGCATACCTGCCATGTTGATGATGGTGAATTCCGACCCTTATCATGCAATGCACTGTTTTCTGACATCTTCTCGGCCACCTTTTGGGGTATTCAAGCGATGAAAACTGTATATATTGCTAGGTTTGGCTCTGAGTTGCGTGCAGGAAAGGTAGATTTCGCCAGTGGGATGACAGTAAATGACGGAGTCGACGCGTTGTCATTCAATTGCACTTCGTGAGAAGCATCATGGAAAATGTCACCAAACAGTCCCATGTCGGGCGAGCTTGTTGTTAGGATGGTTGGATTTACGAGGGGATCGAGGTGGAGTGAAGTCTGGGGGGTTCAGTTAATAAGTGCGAAGCAACGAAAGGTCGAAGGGGGTCAGCCTGGAGTAAATCTTATCTTATCGTACTCATGTTGAACACTTCGGATTAGTTCAGATTAGAAGGGACCAAGAGTCCGATCTCTGGTTGTACAACTCAATACTAGAGTATTACATAGTTCTGTTACCATTACAAGCTGTGGGTTTTAACCTCAGGACAACAGAAGACCCAAAAGTATACGATGGAGAGGAGTGCGAAGTAAGATCGTATCAATCTAAGAATAGACAAAAAGAAAAAAAGGCGAAGAGCAAGAAAAGCATACAAGAAGCGCAGAAAAAGAGAAATCAAGATATCAAGATAAGGCTCTCATGATTCATTGGGCCGGACCGGTCATGAAGTTCATGTTCTGGTTGTACATGCCGGATGAATTGAGGTCAAGACCGAGATTTTGTTGGAACTGCGTCATCCAGTTGAAGCCTGCCAAATCGATAAGAATAGCCTCGTGGGGAGAGATAAAAACATACCAGGTAGGGGAACATCGTGCCACCCATTAGGATCCGATAGCGACTGCACGCTCTGCATAATCTCGTCATCGAAAGCCAACGATGGGCTGAAGAAGTCGCCCGAGAGAGCCATTCCTTCAGCACCTGCACCGTTTGCGCCGTTCGCGGAGCTTATCGCAGCAGCAGCGTTAGTGCCCATTACGCTCTCCGGACCGAACGGATCGTACCCGTTGATGGGAGCGAAGCTTTCAAATGACAGTGCAGCCTCCGTGGGCGGCGGCGAGAGGGAGGATGACGTTGAGGGTGAAGGGTGGTTGTACACCTGCGTGGGGATGTCGAAGTTCATCGAAGCGGAGGAGTCGGGGGTCTGGCCCGGCAGGGAAGACGTGGACGTGGAGGGTGTGTGCGTGACAGTGGCAGAGGCAGACTTGAGTCGGCGGTGCTTATGCGACGATGTGGTGCTGGCCAAGGAGGCAGCGGACCCAGGTGACATGGGGTCGAGCCGCGCCATGGGCTTCGCGAGCAGTTTTTCGAGGAAGCGAGAGTACAGCTTCGGTCCGTGGCGTTCGTCGATGGCCACCTCTGGCGAGCCGAGCAGGTCGATAACCTTCTGGACCAGATTGCGGATGTCCACCCGTTGGTCTGTCGTAAGGTAGGAGGCAAATTTGGGTTGCAGGAGCTGACAATTTTCGTCATGAGATGACGAAGGTTGAAGGTCAAATTGATGAAGACCTACCTTGACAAGGAAAGCTGAAGCGAATGTAACGAATACACTTTGAGCCTCCGGACCGTGGCGGAAGAAGTGCACTGAACAGGGGTTTCAGGACCAACCCCAGAGCAAAAAGAAGAGGACACACGTTGGCTCGGGCGGCAGATGTCGTTTACGACAGCATCGACAACGTCTGACGCAGCTTTCAAGCACTATCCAAATATTCAGCATTTGGTACAAGGCAAACACAAATATCATGAATACTAACCCGCACCAAGAAAGGGTTCTCGTCCTTCCCATCACTCTTCCCGAACGCATGCTGGAATCCATACGAGAGTGCGATAAGCCTCGAGTAGCTGTAGGCGAGGCGGAGCAAGCCCGTGCGGAACGAGTTCTGCGGGTCAGTCATGTCGGTCTGCCCGATGATCGAGAACCAGCGATCACCGAGCGCCTTGAGTTCGTCGTCTGTCGCAGTTGCAATAGCCTCAAAGTCGACATCCTGATAGTGCACATACGGTGAACTTCCCAATTGTAAGACAAGAATAACTACGAGACACACACACCTTGTTTAATCCAGTCGGATGGTCCGGATTGCTGTAAATCTGAGCAATAAACGCTGCCATGACCTTCAGCTCCGAGTTGTACGCGGATACATGGATGTCGAAATGCCGCAGATTGAACGGGGAATCGCGCCACCAGTTCTCGCAGTGGTTTGCAATGTAGTCTTTGGGACTGATGATTGGTGGCTTGCCGTACTGCGAGCCTGTTGACCGGTCGAGGTTGAGGCAATTCATCCATACACGCGTTCGGTTGAGCATTTCGCGTGCGTGGTTCTCGTTCAACGGCTTGGCGGTTGTGGGTAGATGCAAGTTGAGGTCGGTTGCACATCGGATGGCGAGGCCCAGGTATAGCCAGCTGCGCTGGTCCTCCCACTTTCTTGCTGGGACAGGATACAGGCTGAGGAGAATGTACGCCTGGCACATCTCCACGTTCTTGTTGCCTGAGATAAGCGCCGTACCAGCTGCCAGCTGGGCAAAATGCATCGCCTGTGCGTATAGGCCTGGGCGCTCGGAATAGAACCGCGAAGCAATCGCACAGACTGTGGTGCAAGTTCTTGGTCAGCAATGCAGATGCGAAAGAGCCTGACTGTACTCACTAACGGTAAACAAGAAAGGGCTCCGGTAGAAAGTACGCTGAGCAGTGTAGAGGACCGGGTCAAGCAGTGAAACAGAAAGGTTCATGTTGTCGAAGTAGCTGGGCAGATAATTTGATTGAGTGAACAGGCATCTAGGAGAGAAGGGATCTCACATCTTGAACAACTTCTCAGCCTCCTGGGGCGAGATAATCCCCCGCGTGAGAATGGCCGGCGCCTGGTGCTGGGCGCTCTCCAACCTCCGACCGAGTGCATTGGGCGCTGGCGCTGTCGGCGTGCGTATGTCAGCATTGCGAACACGAGAGAACTTATAAACCACAGACTCGGCCTGAAGAAGTTCTCATTCGCGATCCCAGGGCCTTTATCCTCTCCGTCCGGCTCCTCACTTCCAGCCCTGCTTCTTGGGCCCTTCAAGCTGAGGTTACCGAACAAGCCAAAAGGCGATGCCTCGACGGGCAAACCTGCAGGCCTGGCGTTCTCGCCCGTGTTCTTCTTCCGTGGGACGGCGGTTACACTCGCGGCCGGTGTGGCAGCTGTGCCCATGCTCGACGTCGAGGTTTTGTGTTGCAAGGTCCGAGTACTGCTCAGCGATCCAGAGTTACCCTGTGCTTGGTTCTGAGCACCATGGACAGTACCATCGTCCTCAGGTCGTTCCACAGCGACATCGTAGTGGTCATCAGGGCTCCCGAAGCCCTCAAGGTCCTCAGAGACGTCAACAAATTCCTCGTCATCTTCGCCATCGTCACTCGAGTCTTCGAGGTCCGCTTCAACGAGGTAGCTTTTTGGCATTCCCGCGCCACCAATCCCGATGAAGGCACCGAACTCATGCAGGCTCTCGCGCGCCTTGGCGATCCAGTCCTCGACAGCCTTGTTCACCGCTGGGTCGTTCGGATTGGTGCCTACAAGGGCGCCGTTCGGATTGTTGTTATCCCCGTCACCTGCAGTGGCGACAGTGGGCTCATGGTCTGAGCCACCGAAGAATGAGGCGGAGGTTGATGAGGGTGAAAGGACGGGCGAGTGTAACGAGTCGCTTCGGTCCGGGTTGGCACGCTGTGCTTGCGTCTTTGATGACGAAGCCGCATTGAGCTTTTCGAGCTCCATCATGAGCCTCTCGATCTCCTTGGCCTGCTCCTGGATCTCATTGAGAAGGTGCTCACGTTTCCTAGAAAAAGGGTAAAATCAGGGTTAGTAAGCGGAAATACTCGAGATCGGACACGAGGAGAACAGGAAGATAGAAAGTCGGGCGTGCTATTTTCTTGACAAAAGTTTCGTCCACTTGTCCGTTTATGGTAAGTATGGTCCTATCAGCGACTCTGGGAGGAACAGCAGACGCCTTCGTGCCGTTAAGCTCGGGCTCGCTGCCAACCGACCTCTGAGCTTCAAATTCGCAGATCAAAATAGACACCTTGTACTGAAGAAAGAACCTGGAAATGCCCGGAATGAAGGAAAGCAGCGATGGAAAGGGAGAGGAAGCGTGGTCAAGGAGCGAAGATGACTGCACAAAGAAAGGAAGTGCCGAGGACAGAAGGGCGGAAGAGAAAGGAATGTAACGAAGGCCATGATACCGGGTTGAGAGTAGTGATAGGTGACTTACGGCGGCGTCCGTCGAATTTTCCGCCCGGGGATCACACACTCGTGCCCGCCATTAAAGCAGCGTTTGCATGGCTCCGTGTCCGTTTTGGCTTCGCATCTAACCTTGAGGTTCTTACAGCGCGCACATGCCCGTGCTCTGTGGATCGGGTCACCGGTCAGTCAGGAGCCCATGATCGACTATGGCGAACGTGGACGTACAACTTGGCTCTACCGTCTTTCGGCTCTGTTGCAGCGGGGTCTGTCTCTTGATCTTCGGGGTCCTTGAAGGCTTGGCCATGGTGTCGCTTTGGCTGAGGTTGGCCGGCGACATCGTTTGAGGGCAAATGATAGTACGATTGCTGCTGCTGCTGCTGGCTCGATCCGGAAGGTTGAGGGAGCGAATCGCGGAGGGGGTCCGAGGAAGATGTAAGGAAGGTTGAGGTCAGATTGTGTCCGCTCCGGGATTCGATGCCTTGCATAGCCGAGGTGGGGGCGGAGAACGTGAAGTTGTTGGAAGAAGTAGAGCGATAGGGCTGACCCATAGCACTGGGCGGCTGCGAGGTGTTTTGCTGGGAACCGTAGACGCTCTGCGCGTAGGCGCCCGCGTTGAGTGGATTCTGGGGGTTGACGAAGGTAGCCGACGACGAGCGACTATGCGACTGCACGGGATTTTGTGGGGCGGCAAATGCGCCATGAAGTGACGAAGACTGTGGCTGGAGCTGCTGCTGTTGCTGGGGATATGCGTAGGAATCGGGAGACTGATAACGCTGCTGGAGATATGGCTGCTGCTGCTGCTGTTGTTGTTGGCGATCCCCCACGTAGTCGAACTCTTGCTCGAGCTGTAGGGGCGGGTAGGAGTTCTGGCTTTGCTGCCAGTGGTAGTTTGCCATGGTGGATGGGACCAAGGGGCTTGTTTGGCTGAACCCTCTTTTGTGCCTTTGCTAACCCTACAAACCCTGTTTATGATCAGGTCCCCTTTCTCCCCTTTCCCACGATCTATGACTGTGGCGCCAATCCCTCTTCCCACTTTTTGCCTCCGACAGTCCTCATGTACACAGCCACACCCCAAATCCTCGCTGCTCTTCCTCCCGGTTCGTATGTTGCTGTGCTCTTTTTTACTTCATACTATTCTCGAACACCAGTTGCAGTGCATCTCTCCGGTCGATGACGAAGATAAATCGCCCACCGTGACCAATCCCGTCATCGCCTCGGAAGCACGCCGAGCGTACCAGGCTTGGGCTCGCCATGACGAAATCTTCTCTCCCGTCCACGATTCGTGTGGTCTTGTTCCCAAAGGACATACAAGACGGAAATCTCGCGCTGTGCCATGTTGAACGCGTCAACAGGACGCACTCGGATCAACTTTGCTCGACGCGGACCTGTGCGGTTCATCCCTCGTCAAAAAAAAAAAAAAAATGATGCAGTAAGATGATGACTGAAGTCCAAAACCCAGCTATTATGCGCGCCCACATGGTTCCACGCGACATTCGCGACAATTGTCCTTTCAACTGCCTTGGCTCTCGTTTCATGTCCCATTTCCCCGACCTTTCCCTGCAAAGTTTATTGAGCTCTGTCCACCGTATCCAGAGTCAAGACGCCTTCGGTCGAAATTTTGACGAGCCCAAGTCCGCTATAGTGGCGGCCGTTGGGGAGTCCACAGTGATGGTATCCACTGCGACTAGCGATTCAACAGTTGCCTGCGCGGTTAGAACGCTTCTGCTCACGCTTCGACTCCCAGGTTAACATCGGCACCAGCGCTCATGTTGATGCACAAGCCATGTAAGTACCCTTCTCCCCAGCACTATGGAAACGAAAAATGAATCTTTACAGTATAGAAGCTCCATCATTCAAGTTTTCAAAACTTTTCAACTTCTCCATAATTCATATTTTCGATGCCTCAACCAAGGGAGAAAATCGACATCTCTGCTAATTAAACGATGGTTGCAACCTGCCGAAGTACACTGCCTAGGATTGTCGTTATACCCTCCGATCCCTAAGATCAAGCGCTCGTCACTCAGCTACGCAACATCGAAATTAGAACCATCGCACTTATATTCACGAAGGCTCAACTCAGAAACACTTTTTTTTTCAACAGTCGACGCTCAACCTTGCTTCAACTCCACGTTATGCCGAGCTCGTTGGTGCGTAACATTTCTGACTCATCCTTCCCTTCAAATAAGCGGTGAACACTGAAAACCCTGAAGAAACTGCCATGAAACTATATAACTGTACTTATAACCGAAGCCACGTTGAAATGCCAGGCCCCAGTTGGATACAGTAATTTGGCGATGACATTTCGCCGGTCGATATATCGGGTTTTATTCCTTCTAGAGCTCACAGCTCGGCCCCATTGTGGCTCTCCAGCCCATATTTCAGCCTCCAGACACTCGATATTAACACTTGCAGTTGCAAAATCTAGGTCAAATTAGCCTCTATTCTATCGCCAGGTTCCTCGATTGGCTTAGTCCAGGACCCCAAGCGACTCTTAGCGAACCCTACCCAGGTCTCAAAGAACCCAAGCATTCCCTTACTTCCATCCTGCTGAGAACTCTCCGTTGATTGCCCCAGCAGGCCATTACAGGCCATTATCTATTTCCGGCACTACAGTCCCAAAGACCCGATCCTCTGACTCTCAGCCTCGGCATCCCTGTCTGCAATGCGTTCGAGCAGAACGCATCGTGGGTTCCCAGAACAACTTTCGTCGTGGAGGGTGCTCGTGTACGTACTCATGAAGAACCCTGCCCAGATCCATCTGCAGGATCACATCATTCATTCCCTACGTCGGTCCAAGAAGTCAAAGCACAATCACGTTCGGATCGATTTGTTGAACCTTGACTGACAAGCACCATGAACTTAGAACCTACTGGGCATAGGTTACCTGGGCGCTGATCAATTCCTCACAAGAAATAGAGGATTAGTGGTTTTATTGAAACTTTATCCTTATAGCTGTGAATGGACGGGCATGATGGGAATCATTTGAATGAACGTGTTATGTCAATTGGAGGTAGTATATATGGTGCATGCATCTAATATTAATTGAACAAAAGATACAGAGAAGACCTGTATTAGAGTCCCTTCCGTGATGACAATAACGCCTCATGCGCTGTGCATATAAACGACGAGAAAGAAATCAGTCATACAAATGATAGATCTAGAAGATCACGAAAACTCTACGAAGAAACTAGAGCCTTGCGTCCTTGGGCATGCCTCTCAGCGCCTGTCGTACTCCAAGATCGGCAAGGACGTCTTCAGCACCGCCCAACAGAGAGTCGAAGGGAATAGTGCGGTGGTACTAGCCGGAAATCAGTGACGAGGACGTCGAAGATAACGAAACCGACGGACATGTTCAATAAATTTGCCCATTCCAGATTGGGTAATGCCACGACCGCCAAAAACCTGGACGGCGTCTCGGGCAGTGTCCTGTCCGCACGAGGTGGAATAGCTCTTCAACAGTGCAATTGGTCCAGCCAACTTGCCAGCTTGCTGCTTATAAGACTGGTAGAGAAGCATTCAGCCGGATCGTTCATCAGCCTCCTACGAGAGTGCTTACCATGTTGCACATTTGGTACGTGATGTTCTCCAGCCAGCTTTGTACGCTCTCAGCACGCGACATCATGCCTGCGAGCTTAGCGCGAATCACAGCCTGCGAGTGTAGTGGCTTTCCGAAGACCTTACGTTGGGTAGTCCATTTCAAGCATTCTTCGACTATAACGCACCATTAGCCATTAGTCTTAGCTAAAATGAATAAGAAGACGAACTGATAGACCGTTGACTTCTTGCAGAAGCACAGCACATGACCCATCGCTCGTGGTTGAAGTTGCTGTTATTCGTGTCAGCACCGGCTTGCAGGAGTGTAAAAAAAAGAAGGTACCTAAGCATGACGAAAATTCCTCCACCCTCTTCGCCGAGGGTATTGCCAACGGGCACACGGACATTGTCAAAGGTAATGTATGCCGTTCCAGCTGTCGTTGAATAACTGGTCTTGATTTGCTTGGTCTCCACACCCGGGCCGCGTTCTACCAAGATGACGGTGAAGCCATCCTCCGTCTTGCACCCAATAGTGAAGTAGTCGGCGAAACTAAAGGACAGCTTCAGTTTACGCACTAGAACACGCATTCTCCAAAAGCACTTACGTCCCATTCGTGATCCACTTCTTGCTACCTTCGAGGCTCGTTAGCAGCTACGTAAGTACAACGGGTAGCGGAACCTACCATTGATTATCCACTCCTTGCCGTCTTCTGACTTGACTGCCGTGGTTTGGAGGCCCATAACATCACTTCCGGCATGGGCTTCAGAAATAGCCAGGCAGATGAACTTCTTTCCTGCCAACACCTCGGGTACCACCCTGGCCCTGAGTTCTTCGCTACCGAAGTTGAGTACAGGTGGCAGACCGATGACCTTTCCACCTAGGAGACCATCGCCATAGCCACGCAAACTTGAGCGAGCAAACTCTTGCGTGATGATCAACTTTGGATTCCTCAGTTTCGAGTTTTTGAAGAGCATAATACAAACTGACCTCATGGAAGTAATCGAACTGCTCGGGCGTGACTAGGCCGTTCATTAGAACTCGACTTTGTAGATGCTTGCCTGGACCCATGCGCATAGCGTGCATATTCAAGGCTCTATTTGGTTCACGGAAATCAGTATTGTTCAACCGTTTCATCACGACTGGTACTCACGCCATTTGGTCGATAACACTCTGCGACGGACGTTTACCGTCTGCTTCACGGTCCTGATAAATGTATTAGACCCCAACTTGACCCCAACACAGCAAGAAACTTAAGACAACGTACAATAGAATCATAGTAGACAACCTCGTCGAAGAATTTCCGGACTGCCTTCTGGAATTGCCTGTGGTTCTATAAACACAGGGCGTCAATGAAGCTCCTCAAGCCAGGAAGATTGTGACACACCTCCGTGTAGTATGGACTATGGTACCCAGCCGTAAGCCATGTCGGTTCCGCATAAGGAACCTTGCTGAGTTCTCCAGCAATCCGACCATGGATGGCAGGTTTCTCTCCCTCAATGATACCGATAACTAGCCGTTGGTACTGAGGTTTCTCAAGAACTTCATAACGATGAAGACTGAAGAACGCCTCCGTGGCATCCTGGCCGGCTAAGGTGTCTCGTGAGCCAACGCCGCGTGGATTTCTTGGTCCGAAACGCACCGATTTCGTCGTCTAGTAGGACCGACAAGCCACCAGGATGCATGGCTTTGAACCTGGAGATGTTGTACACCTTTGCGTCGATGATAACCCACTGTAGACGGAAATGAGCACTCCCCCGATTATCAGAAACGCGTGGAAAGACATACTAGATCATCTGGGGTGTTGTGCTACAGGTCAACTGTGAACAAAGATCCGACGAGTGCATTGAACACGATAGCGAACTCACCTTCGCCACCTCTTCCCTGGAAAACTGCTTAAGCTGCTGGGAGGCCATGTTAATGGGTGTCAAAGATGAAATCAGTGAGGAAACTGAGGCGAAGAGGAATGTTTAGTGTTTCGCGGAAGGGTTTCATGTGATAAGAGCAGAAGTCGGAAATGGAACTGGGCAAATTTGTGATGTCGATCGTGTGTCGATTGGGCACGTGTCCGCGTACATTTATAGAGCACCTCCGCGTCACTCTTCCCGCACTTCCAATTGCATTCGGCTAAGGCTCTACACCATGCTACGGAAAATAACATGCTAGTTATCTAGTATCTATGCACCAATGGTGGTACATCTTTTACATCTTTGATCTTGTCCGTTGTTTTCTAAAAATTCCAAGCGCCCCTTCGTCGTACAGTCGACGAAGGCGAGTAGCGTCGATCCCAAAGTCGCGTAAGATTTCCTCGGTATGAGTGCCAGGCTCGAGGATAATGTCCTTCGAATCGAAGTGAGCCCTGCTGGGCGTAGAAACTTGAGGGTGTCTTGTGGGAATATAGGATGTCTGTTTGCCTGCCTCGGCGGGTGTGAGGACGGGAACAGTACAAGCGTCCGTGCCTACCCAAAAGGAAAGTTTGAGATAAGCGCCTCAAAATCACGGACGTCGAGGCACGGCTAGATATCACGCACCATGGTAGACATCTGCCCAAAAGTCTCGTGGTTGCGTCAGAAATCCCTGTTTGAGGTATTCTGCGAGTCTAGGCCATTCATCCGTTTGGAACTGGCTTGACGCATCTGGTCTCCAGGCTTGTAGGGGTTTGAAATCCTCAGGCAAAGATTTATTGAAATTTTCAATAAAAGACTTGAAGAACTGGGGCTCCAGGCAGCCGACCGACATCCAACCCCCGTCTTTGCAGGTGTACACGGTATAGAAAGGCGCGCCGCCGTCGAGAAGGTTAGTCCCTCTTGGGCCACCTAGCATGCCTGTACCCAGATACGACTGTATGAGGGGGAAGGACGAAACGTATCGTGTGCCGGAGACCTGCCAGATGATGACCATCAGCCTCAGAGGGATTATGAAGAAAGCCCAACTCACCATATCGACGTTGACAACTTGACCGTGACCAGTTCTTGCTCTTTCGACAAGGGCAAGAAGGATGCCCAGGGCACACATAGCGCCTCCACCAGCAAAGTCCGCCACGATGTTAAGAGGAAAGGTTGGCTTCTCTGAGGTACCTGGCAGCATCTGGGCATGTTCAGAAAGGTCATGCTAGAATTTCATTCAGGGGAAACTCACTGCCAACACGCCGCTTAGGGCCAGGTAATTGATATCGTGCCCTGTGTGGAGTCAGACCATGAAGAGCGCGTAACAAAGGTTGAACAGACCCGCCATATCCTTGTGAGGACCTTTCAATGCAAAGTCAGAATTGCGGTACCGAATGAGCTAGAAAGCCAAAAGCATACCAGTTCTTGGAAATCTATGAATCCAGAAAGGAATTAGCAAATGCCTCGAGCAAAAGAAGGCTCAACATACCCGACAATCCGCGCATAGATAAGCCTCTCATTCAGCCCTTTCCGCACTCCATCGCCTAGAAATAGCTCGGGGCCAAGTCCAAGTTTTTCCATTACACCAGGCCGAAACGGATCAATTAGAACATCGGCGGAGCAGATCAGCTCTTCGAGGAGCTTTCTTCCTGTAGGAACCTTGGAGTCGACGACAATCGAACGCTTCCCGCGACACAGAACGTCGCTCGAGGCGGCGAAAGGGCGGTCTATGCGCGTCACCGAAGCGCCATTATCCGCCAGAATGAGACCAGCGAATGGGCCCGGGGCGAGACCAGCGAACTAAAAGGTAATTGTGAGTAACGACGCCATCGGCAAACTCGCACCCTTGAACGGCGCACCTCGATAACCTTCAGTCCAGCGAGAGCCATGGAGAAAGATGTGGGTTGGCTTCTGGGAGCTTGACATGATAGTTCACATGGGTAGTGATTCGAGCCTCAGGAGCCGTCGAAATGTTGGGCTCTGTTTGAGCCATAGATCTGCTTGGAAGGTGGACGCATGACCTGCGACCAATTATCGTAGGCATTTAGAAGGCATTTGGATAGGTGGCGCCCGATCGCGACAGTCCCGCTTATTGGCATATCCGAGGGCCGTATACTCCGCGTGAAGGCCATCGGACGTCGTGGTGGTTAGAAGAGAGTGCGACAGATGGTCTCCGTCATCGCCGTTGATGTTGTTGGTGTCTGCGGCTATCCCCGACGGAGATGACGGCGCGCTCTGACCTGTGATCACGACGCATGTCAAACAAACGCGCTCCATGACTTCGACTTCGACCACGACCTGGCATTCTTTTTCAGCATCACAGGGCAATGAATAGCTTTCCCAACTATGAACCAACTTCTCAATTTCTTACACCGTTAACCATCTGCTTCTTATGCACTGAACGGACCGCTGGAAGGAAAACATGACCGTCGACCCGATGGACGTAGTACATAAATAGGACATTCTATGGAGACTTTGGTGAGCTTAACAGTGCCCTCAGGATGGCTCGTGTCACTAATCTGTGTGTTTTGGCCATAAAATTCAGCGTTGCCTCAGCGCTGTCCTTCTTGAAGCTACAGGGCCCGCCCTCTCTTCCGCTGGATGCCTCTCACCGTTTACATCCATCGCTCGCAAGCTTCAGCATCGAAACAGCCTTCTTCGAAGAGTTCTTCGGAAATCTATCAGCTCCCAACCAACTCTCGTTGGACCTCCTCGAGAATCTGCACGCTCGCACTGGCGTGCCTGCTGAAGTTCGGATCGGAGGAATAACGGCGGACTCTACCTACTGGAGGCCTAACCAGACGGTGTCGTTGGTCAATTTCATCGATAATGCCGGTGCTCTGCACAATACGACGGTTGGGCCCGAGTTTTGGAAGTCGGTGACCTTGCTGCCGAAAGGCACGAAAATCATGATGAATTTGGTAGGCCGCTGTCGCTGCTCAGATGACATGATGGCTGAACTTTTGGCAGAATCTGCAAGACCTTGACTATCATGGCACCTTGGCTATGGCGGGAGCAACCTTTGAGAGTCTTTCCCCCGAGCAGTTCGACGGTTTTGAAAGTACGCTTCAGGTGCCATCCTCCAGGGAAACACTATTAACATTTGAGTGCTATTATAGTCGGCAACGAACCTGACCACTACCTCTCCTTCACCCCACAAAATTATTCGGCTGTCTGGAAGGCAAGATCCCCACTGCTTCGATGTCTGGACCTGTCTTTCTCAACTTGGAAAATAGACCTGGGCAGAGAACATCACAGCTACCTTGAACCTGAAAACCCCCCAGTTCCAGGTTGGAGCTACTGTGGAAGACCCTTTATGGCCGTACAACACGCCTGCAGCCAACCGCCAGCTCAGTTGCGTCAGCGCACTTGCCGCAGGGGCGAACAGTGGTGGCGTTGTCAAGTCCTGTAGCGAACACACGTATCAGTATAGTGCAAGCCGCCGTCTGCTTTCGCATCTCGCGTACTGGGACTAACGTTCGATGAAGGTCTGTGATCCACCTCGAATCGCAGTTGCCACACTGCCCAACTTGGTTAATCACACACGTCTTGCGCGGTATGGTTTAGCTCTCCTACTCTCCTACTACTATCTCATGTGGCAATTCAGGTTCCTCGACCTTTGGCAACCGCGGATACGTACTGTGAGGGAGATCTTGGGAGACGACAAATTTGTTATCGGTATGAATGGTGCCTATCTTTCTAAGTGGCAGCATCCTCATTTCCTCCTGCGAAGGCGAGTACAATTCTGTCTCGTGCTCCGGCAAGGATGGTGTCAGCAACACCTTCGGTCAAGCGCTGTGGCTTGTCAGTCCCTCACTTTTATTCCTTGGTCTCTACTCATCCCTTGCGCAACTACACAGTTGGATACCACGTTGTATGGGGCTTCTCTCAACATCTCCAGGTGGGTAGCACAGGATGCACTACTGCCAAAGCCTGCTAACTTCTCTGGACGTTAGGATGTATCTTCATCACGGCGGTCCTTTGGCTCTTCAGAGTCGCACTCAGCTTAATCATGGTGGTAAGCCTTGTCCATGACCTTGTTTGAACAGCCCTTGAAATGCTATTGATAGGTCTCAGCTTCTATGATATGTGGTGCGTTCTATCATGACAGTCATCTGACCTTTGTTCATCAACGATCCATTAGGTTCCCTGTTCAAAACCAAAATGGACCCATCCAAGTATTTCCAGCTTATTCCGCCTATCTCTTTATCACCGAGGCCCTAGGATTCTCTCGCAACCTACGCATTGCCAACCTGTACCCCGGCCGACAAGCAAATGGGTCGAGCATCACCACAGAGCTCGGAGACACCTCCACAGGACAGCTCGTCGCGTACGGCTTCTGGGACGAGGATGCCCCGACCTCCCGCTCGTTCCCAACGAAGCTCGCTCTCCTGAACTTGGAAATCTTCAATCAAACAAACACGGGGACGAGGCCGAGTTCGCAGTTTGACATTTCTGCGTTCAGACGGAATGAGAAGCGACCTGTCAGGATTCGAAGGCTGCAAGCACCCGGGGCTGATGTAAAGGCAGGCAGCGTGACGACGTGGGCGGGACAGACGTTTTCCACTGGAAAAGCTGCAGGCAAGTTGATTGAAGAAACACAAGCGGAAAGCACGATTTCTCTACGGGCATCGGAGGCAGCTCTTGTTTTCCTGTAATTCGAGGAACTCCTGAAGCCGTTCTTCGGTTACTTGGTTGCAACTACAAATGCTCAGTTACTGGCCAATCGGGCTCGTTTCAATTATAAGCGTACTGATGAGTAAAAGACAAATTTGAGAACTGCAAAAAAGGAGTGTAGAACACAAATTTCTCGCATCTATCTTTGTATGAATGATTCCTTCATCATGAATTAATGATATGAAGAATTGTACAGGATACCAAGAGGCTATTTGTAGGCGCCCACATCAGTCCCTTCCGGGGTCGGAGACCGCTTACGACGACGAAGTTCTCCCCCGAGTGATGGGTTGACATGTGAATAGCCTTTCGCTCATTTCGATACCCGGCTCTTGGCACCGTTACTTATACATCCAGCATCGTTCATTGGTTCACCGTCTCTCTACACAGTCGACAGCTGATCCCCCGCAATCATGAGCGCTAAAATATTCTCCGTCGAGGAAGTTGCAAAGCACAACAAGGAGGGTGACCTAGTGAGTCCTGCCGCATGTCGTGTGCAAGAAGTTGCTCATCTCTCTTTCCAACCCACGTAGTGGATCATCATCGACTCGAGGGTCTATGACCTCTCCAAGTTTGCCGGGATGCACCCTGGTGGCCTATCGGTGCTCATTGACGAGGAAATTGGTCAGTACTCGTCCCGGTCAAGTGACAAACTGCTGCTGAATCGAGCCCCTTTAGCCGGCCAGGACGCAACAGAGGCGTTCTTCAGCCTTCACCGCTACGAAGTGCTCGAGAGACCTCAGTATAAACGTCTGATCATTGGAACCATTACCGGCCAGCAGCAACAAATCATTCCACGCCCTGTTGGCGGCTTGAGCAAGGTGCCCTACTCAGAACCCGCATGGCTTACACCTGGATACTACAGCCCCTACTACGAGGAGGTGCGTGCTTTGCAAGACGTATCGTTGTCTCTCTAATATTTTTGTTCCCCTTCTCTACAGCACCATCGTAAATTCCAGGCTGCCTACCGTAAGTTCGTGGAAGAGGTCATCCTGCCTGACGCCCAGGCTCGTGAAGAAGATGGAAAAAGGCCGTCTCAGAAGGTATTCGACGAGATGGCCAGGCTGAATATTATCGCAATGCGCCTTGGACCCGGGCCTCACTTGAAGGGTCTTGAGCTTATGGGTGGAATTATTAAACCGGAGGAGGTGCGCGCAATTTTGCGTTCGTTAAAATGAAATGTCTCCTCATAACCACTGTCTGTGGTAGTTCGACTACTTCCACGAACTCATCATGGGTCAAGAAACCGCGAAGATCAACGCCCGTGGTTACAACGACGGCTTGGGAGGAGGGACCTACATTGGTCTTCCCCCTATCATGAACTTCGGTAAACCAGCTCTGCGCAACAAGATCGTGCCCGAGGTCTTTGCCGGCAAGAAACTCTGCGCATTGGCCATCACAGAAGCGTTCGCTGGAAGTGATGTTGCCGGACTGAAGTGCCATGCTAAGAAGGTCGAAGGCGGCTGGAGGGTCACTGGAACGTACGTAATTCTTTTGTTCGCAGATATTTGCCTCGTTTCTGACTCTTGCACAGAAAGGTACTTTGCATCTCCCTGGTTCTTTGAACACACTTACCTAATACCCTGCAGAAATGGATCACCAACGGAACTTTTGCCGATTACTTTACTGTCGGTTGCCGTACTGACCAAGGCGGACTGAGTGTGCTGCTCATCGAGCGTGGTCCCGGCGTTGAGACCAAGCAGATCAAAACCCCTTACTCAACGACAGCGGGAACTGCCTATATCACGTTCGATGACGTGTTTGTACCCGAAGATAACCTACTCGGTGAGGAGAACAATGGGCTCCAAGTCATCCTTAGCAACTTCAACCACGAACGGTGTGTTTATCTCTTTCTCAGACATCCATGCCTAATAAGTTCTCGCCAGATGGGGAATGACAACGGCGAGCGTTGGCGCCCAACGATTGGTTGTCGAGGAATGCTTGAAGTAAGTTCAATGAGTCGAACTTGACCTACATTGCTAAATCGTCGTCCTTAAGATGGGTCAACCAAAGAAAAGTCTTCGGCAAGCCGCTCCACTCGCAAGCCGTTATCCGTTCAAAACTCGCAGCCATGATTTCTCGTGTTGAGAGCGCGCAGAACTGGCTCGAGAACATCACATATCAGATGAATCACATGAAGTACAAGGACCAGGCTAACTACCTCGCTGGGTACGTCATGGTGCCATAGATTTTTGCAATACACCCATCCTCACCATTCTCCACAGGCCCATTGCACTCTGTAAGAAGTATGCAACGGAGACCGCACAAGAGACCGCTCGTGACGCTGTTCAAATCTTCGGAGGTCGTGGTATTACGAAGACTGGCATGGGTCGCTTCATTGAACATGTAAGCCCAACCTTCGACCGTTCGACAGTACAGGTTGCTAACTCACCATGTCCTATCAGTATCACCGCACCGTCCCCTTTGACGCGTAAGTGCTCCGCCGTGCCTTTTTCAACGGCAGTTGACTGACAGGAACTTTCTCTCCTTTGCAGCGTATTGGGTGGTGCTGAGGACGTGCTTGGGGACCTTGGTGTTCGGCAGGCTCTCCGCAAGATGCCCAAGGATGCCCGGCTATAGTCGTGAATGTATTCGCAAACATACATACAAACAATTTTGTGGTCACAAGTCCATTTAATCTGCATACGTTATTACTAAGAATTGTTTCCAATAGTATTTATAATGTTCAACGAAGGTCCGACGCATATACAATATTTAACCTATTACTGGGATGAAAGAATGTTTCTGGATACGACAGCGAAAGCGGAATCGAAAGCAGAACATGAAAGGAATGGACGGATAGGCGTCAAATCACTGGCCAGGAAGTGGTACGCCCTGAAAGTAACTATCGATGTCCTTCTGGGTTCTGTTTAGTGCCGCTTGCATGAGTACCTCGTACTCCTCTTTGGACCGTTTCGGGGGCAGAGGTTGGCGATTATTCCTTCGCACCAGGTTGCACGACGAGGGAATGCGCCGGCAATGCGTCCACATCGCGTCGAGCCGTGTGCTGAAGATACCGCAATTTGGGCACGAAAGCAACTCTTTCTGCTCCGGGGTAAACGCCGCGTGCTTGCTTTTCTGATGGCGGAGTAGGTCGAAGTTGCGAGAGTAGGAGGTATCGCAAATGGTGCAGACATGCTTGCCGGGCTTGCTGTCTTTTTTGCTCGACTTCCTGCCTCTGGCTTTGGAGTTCGGGGCAGCGGGCGGAAAGTCGAGTTGGAACTCGATAGATCGGGGGTTGAGGAGGCTATCCAAAGGAGCTTCGATCGACGGCTCGCTCTGCATTCCAGTCACGGCGCTCTTCTTTGTCGGCTGGAAATACATTTCAGACGATTGGCAAGACCCAGCGTCCGCTAGTGGGGATGAAGGAATTGGACCAAATGAACTTTCGGTTGCGAAGAGGAGAGAGGGAACCTCCGAGCTAAATGGCTGTATAGCAGGGGTATGCCTATTCGCCGAGGCAATTATAGGCGTCGAACTCTTGGTGGAACTGCTTTGCGTCAAGGCCAATTCCAGCTCGCTTGGGGTGCTTTGAGTCCATGCATGAGGCAAATGACTCGAAATCAACCACCCCCCGACGCCAGGTGACCGCATTGACACTTGAGCCGACGGAGACGCCATTTGTGGATCGTGGAAGTTCGCGTACGCTCCAAGATTGACATCCCTGCGGGGGACCAGATCAGCTGTCTCTGAGCACGTGATCTCTACTGTGGCGTCCATATGATTTAGCGCCCACTGGCCGTCAAGTTTGGAGTTGGGGGGCCAGTCTGGTGAATGAAGCTGGGGGGCACCGGGGAAGTGAATTGGTAGCATGTCACCAGCGGAAGAAGGAGGAGTGTGTGTGCCGTCGAATGTTAGGGAAGGTGTAGGGGGTATTTGCATCCTGCGACGAGCGGGGAGACCGCATGATATGTTAAAATCATGAAAAACCTCATCCTATACCCAATTCAGAAAAACAAAGTAGAAGCACAGCATATAGCAGACTTACTTGTGTCCTTCCAGTAATGTTTGATACCATCCAACACTCAGGAGGAAGGTCAATTGCTGTATCTTGGTACCATTGCTTGCGGAGATAGTAGGACGCCACAGTAGAATAGGACGCCACAGTAGAGTCATAAGCTGGGCTTTGCGATCCCAACTGTGGCGTCGATGGCCAATAAGACATAAATGAACTGTATCAGCCTGTTAGCGAGCTACAATTGTGCATAAGTAGGTATGGCGTCGTCCTTGCCCTGTGTCTCTTCCTTGTGGACAAAGTATATAGGCGGGGTGCCAGTCTTCCACAACCTCATAGCTCGCCAACTGGTCGCTGTCGAAGGCGTTCATGTCGGGAAGTATGTCAACAGTCATCTGGGTGGTGGAGAGGTGAGATATGTTTATGAAAGAAGTGGGGGTGAGGCGAGAATCCTTTTTCTATATACTTCGGTGCACACTTCCCCGTATATGATAGTGGGCGTGTTGTTCGGGGGAAATTTCCCCATCAAGCGCCGACCCACAGCTGTAAGGGTCCTTCCTAATTCAATCGTGGTTCCCGCTGTGATGCGACTATCCACCCCGACTCCCGACCTACCGAGTCCCGCGGAGTCCTTTCTCCAATAACACTTGTAATAAAGGGCTGAAACTCGGCTAATTATAAAAACCTGAGTCGAGGAGTTCGGAGTCTCGGTTGAAATGCCGGAAAATACTACGGGTTTCCAGACTCGTAATTCTAAACTGCATGCCAAACGTATGCTTTAAAGATATCTACGTCTCCAACTACCTTGCGGATTTTTTTCTCCCCCTCTATGTGCGGCCGTGCAGGTCGCAAATCACTGTGCCAAGAGAATAATTGGCCTCGTCTATGTTTTCCTCTATGTCGATACTTAGATATTTAGCATACAATAGCACGAAGAATGAATTAAAAGCTCCATCCTTGCTCGTACGGACGACAAAGCTCCCTGGGGAAATATTTTGTCATGTCGGACTCCGGAGGTCCAGGTGGACACGGCATATTTTTTCTGAGTACTATCCAGTGCCCATTACCTTGAGAGGGATTTGGAAAGGTTCTTCTCATTGTAAAATCAAGTGTTTAAAATACACTGCTTAAATTTAATTTCAGTACAGAATAATCCCCAACGCTGAGAAATGTGTTGGGAGTTGAAGACCCGATTTCAAAAGGATACACATAAGTACTATAAAAGGAACTCGGAACTCAGGCCCAGGGGCTATTCCTACGCCCACTGTCCGAGGCATCAATGCATCACTTTTCATATTCACATACATATGTTACTTACTCTGTCGTTTGACGAACCATACAATCCTTTGGCGATGTTAAACACGTCCAAGCTCATGAACCGCATCGAGCTCTACAACTAGGTGTGTCGTGTTTAACGCGTCGAGATTTTTTCCCGGTGTGCTACGTCAACCTTCAACGTTTCATTCAGAAGGCTATTCATCCTTGAACTTCTAGCTGTCGATCCACCTGTTCACCTCACTTCTTCTCTATGTTTAGCTTCATCGATAGCGAGCCCACAGTGTCATAAAACTTCTCAAGGGTCCGATTTTCATGGCGCACGATACTTAGGAGATCCCGACTCTGTCGAAAACGACGCTCAACAGCTGCAATCTGAGCAGTAGCCCACGATCTATCACCGAGTTCCCATGTTGCTCGAGAACAGGCCGATATTGCCTCCATTCGCGTTTAATACTTCAGAACTTCGCCATTCCCGTCTTTCTCGAGGCCCCGACAACGTCGGGAAAGGCAGGGCTGAGGGGAATCGTCGAATCAGACCGTCGATTGATAACGTGCGTCTTTCAATCGCGTGTCCTCCTGCATACATTATCACACTCATATATATAGCGAAGAAGTCTTAGCAATCCACAACTTTACCTGAAGGGCACTTACAAAGCTCAAAGTCGCAGATTGAAAGCCACTATCGACTCCAATATAAAAAGACCCTTAGAGCAGAATGACAACCCATCTTCTCATTTCCCTCTGGGCCTCTTCTTTGACTCAAGTGCAAAAAACCTGCATAATGTCCTCCAAATCCAACGTTTTTATGACTGGTGTCACCGGTGAGCCTGTTGGTATCATATTCAATCTTCTCTTACTCATTCTCGATAGGCTATGTCGGAGGCAGCGTTCTCAGCCGTTTGCTTCAGCATCCCGATGGACCATCCTTCAGCATTACTGTCCTAGTCCGCTCAGAAGAAAAGGCCAATAAGCTCAAAGACTTCGGTGTGAACCCTGTCGTGGGCTCTATCAAGGACGTGGCGCTCTTAGAGGAATTGTCGTCCAAGGCTGACATCCTCATCTCACTTGTGGGGACATTACTACTCTATACTGGTTCGAGAATATTGCAGCTGACTTCAATTGGGACAACTTCATAGGCTGACTCCGACGATCTTGCTATGGGCCAGGCAATGCTCAGGGGCCTCAAGAGGCGCTATGAAACAAATGGTTCTGTCCCTATCCTCATCCAGACAGTAGGTTGCAAAAAACACTCAAAAAAGCGAGATTGACGAGTCTTTTCAGTCTGGCACAGGTTTGTCACAACACCCAAGCGTTGCATCAATTTCTTTCTGAGAGTTATCCTATAGGCGTTCTTGCGGATGGTTCAGCGGGCGACTACTCTGGCGATGTCATTTACAACGACGACGATCCCGACCAGATTGAAACCCTTGCGAATACCCAGCAGCACAGGTACCTTGATCTCGCCCTGGTACAAGGCGATAAAGAAGGTTGCTCATGTCTCTAGCATCTCTCGGGGACATAAATCATTGACGTGCCTGTTAGGTTATGTCAGGGTGTATCTAATTCTTCCCTCGAACATCTACGGGCTTGCCACTGGCAAACTAGTCGACGCGGGGATCCAAAACCCACGTTCGATCCAGATTCCCTCTATCATAAACGCTTCTCTGAGTCGAGGCAGAGGCGGTATGGTGGGGGCTGGGAAGAACATCTGGAATGACGTTCACATTGACGATGGTGCGAACGATTTTACCATCCAGTTCAATTCCCTATTTGCTTATCTTGCCGATACTAGTCGCAGACCTTTACGTCGTTCTTTACGACTCTATCAAATCAAATCCCAAGGCCACTGGTCACGGCCGCGAAGGCTTCTATATTGCTGAAAACGGAGAGCACACTCTATACCAAATAGGAAAGGCTATCGCAGAAGACCTGGTCGCCCGTGGTAAAGCCACCAATCCCGAGCCTTCGACCTTCACAGACGAAGAAATCAATCTCTACTTTGGGGTAAGCCTTCGTTTCCGCATGCTCACGATCGCCGTTTCTCAACGTCTTCCAGGGATCCACTTTCTGGGGTACAAATTCTCGCGGCAGATCCAACAGGTCCAGGTCGATTGGGTGGAAACCCCGCTACACTACCCAGGATATGCTCGCTGGAATTAAGCCAGAGATCGACGCTCTTATTTCAGTAGGCGGAAAGTTTTCATTCAACGCTCCAGCGCCAGTTGCATCTGGGTGATCTGCGTAGCGCTGGCCGAGATAATACACTCGTTGTATTTGTAGTCTTCTGATCAAAATGACATTCGGTGACGATTTTCTGTGGGCATTCGCTGTTCCCAGAGGTGTTCGCGAGGTTTTCCGATTATTGTACTGGGCGTAAAAAGAAAGAAAAAGAAATAAAAAGTAGAAAAGAAGGGGAGCTTGTGCCCCCTTCGGAATCACCTTCACAGCTGAACAGACAGTCAATTGAGAGCATCATCCCAATGCTCCGAATGGAAAAAATTCTCGTTCGCGAAGCGTCTGAACGAGATTACTCATCCTATCGGTGACGTCACCGTAATGGCATTGTGGATTTGTGAGCACAAGATGGCAAGGAATGGCGTGTTGTAGATCTTTCATCCAGCTTCCAGCGTCAAATGACCAGAAATTCCGGAAAATCTGCTTCCGTATAAAAGCGTGTCGCCTCGGCGTCAGATGCAACATCATAAATCTCTCAGTTTCACCGTGACTCACATCGACCGACGACCTGTCATCTTGTCCTCAACAAACCGATAGTTTCACAGCATCTGGTATCTGTTAATGTCCGGAAAGACTAACATCCTCATCACGGGGGTCACTGGTAATATTGTCCGACCGCTGCATGTTGCGCCGGGATTGAACGCTTGGGTACCATCCAGGTTACATAGGTGGCTCTGTTCTATCTCGTCTCCTCAAGCACGAGGATTTCGCTTCTTTCAACATTACAGCGCTCGTGCGCTCTGCAGAAAAGGCTAGGAAACTCAAGACGCTCGGGGTCAACGCGGTTGTTGGGTCTCACGACGATGATAAGCTCGTAGTGGGCCTAGCTGCTGAGAGCGATATCGTCATTGCCACGGCCGACGCAGACAATTTTGGGGCGGCTGTGGCGACCTTGAAGGGGTTGAAGAAACGACATGAAATTACCGGGACTGCCCCCATCTTCATTCATACTGTGCGTCCGCCAGGAAAGTCGGATACTTTGTTCAATGTCTGACGTGCATATATTCCACTTCTCTTGACAGTCAGGCACTGGTAAGTGCAGCCATGAGCTTCAGCTAAAATCAGGATTGCTCAAATTAATTATAGGCGTACTCACCGACAACGCTGTTGGAGACCACCCCACCGAAACAATCTACGACGACGCAAACGCTGACCAAATAGAATCCCTGCCTCCAACCCAGGTGCACCGAAATGTCGACCTTGAACTCCTGCGCGGCGATAAAGAGGGTATACTTGATATTCCTATAACCTCCCGCTGCTCCCGAAGCTGACTCGACGACAGGATACGTCAAGACGTACATCGTCCTCCCCTCCACCATCTACGGAATTGCAACCGGCGTGCTGGTTGATCAAGGGATACAGAACCCTCATTCCATTCAAGTGCCTGCCCTCATCCAGGCAGCACTGGACCGAGGACGCGCTGGGATGGTAGGACAGGGAAAGAACATCTGGCCAGATGTTAGCATTGACGATAGTAGGTCTTGAATCCGTGTGGATTGATTGCTTCCGCTGACTCGTTTTCTAGTTGGCGACCTCTTTATTGCTCTATTCAACTCCGTCAGGAAAAACCCTGCAACAGGCCACGGTCGTGAGGGTTTCTACTTCGGAGAAACGGGCGAACACACCTTGTACGAAGTCAGCAAGGCCATTGGGGACGCATTGGTGGAATTAGGAAAATCCGATAATTCAGAACCTACAACTTTCACGAAGGAAGAGATCGACAAGTACTTCCGGGTCAGTTGGCATAGCCGGAATACAATTCTCGTAGTGTGTTTACTGATTCGATGATGAAGGGGTCCACCTACCTTGGAACAAACTCCCGGTGCCGCGCCAACAGGTCCAGAGCGATTGGCTGGAAGCCCACTAGCAACAAGACCCAATTCCTGGCAAGCATAAAGCCCGAGATCGCTGCGATTCTGTCTTCCGGCAAGTCCAAGGTTGTCCTCCATTGATGACAAAGTGAAGGTGATGTTGTTTTGTTGAGACCTTGAAAGTAACTTGTGGCAACACGAATATCATAGTTCGAGCAATGCAAAGTATCTTTTGTTTGCTCCGAATGACCTGAAAAAGTACATTGCATTAAGGGTATGAGGTCTACAGGCGAGATTGTGAAGGTGGGAATGCGACAGGTTCCGTAGTCCTGGCAGCCTCGCCGTACGTGAGGACACCAACATAGGGCATCACGTTGTATTTTAATGAGTAATGCGCGGGAGGAACGTTTCTGCTCAAAAAGAAGTGAGTGGATTGAGGACAAGAGAAGATCACAGCCACTAACTTGAATGATGACGAAACGTCCCGGAACATGTACTTGTTCTTTCCTGCAAACTTGATGAATGCGTCCTCCTTACGTCTGACGATCCTGTCCCAAATAACGACTTCGTTCTTAGTCTGTATACCACAGGATATCGTCAGTCAGTAATCTCTTAAATAGGACATGAGAACATACGCCTTTAGCGTTCGTGTATTCGGCCTCGAGATATAGGAAGAGTTGCTTGGTATTCCAGTGGAACAAGGGGGCAAGATCTATTGCTGGTAAGCGACCCGTGTGTACATGGGTTGCAGGACTTCCGTACCTGCTGTAATATTGAAATGAACGAAAGCAAGATCCTGCTTCTTATTGGGATATCGGCGAGCGTTAGAGGATACACTGTCGGAATAAATCTCATGAACAACGGGCCATAAAGACAAGGTCTCGTTGAATCGAACGTACACTTTAAGAGATGAAATCGCCAGGTCTCCTTGAGGGTTTGCGATGAACACGAATGAGGAGAGGGCGATGGCCGCCAGGAGAACCATCACGCAGGATGATAGGAATGCAGATACATTATTCACTCTTGAGACTATGCTATGCATCTTGGTGGAACCGTCGTTGTTGAGACCGTTGTAGACGGTGGTGAGAGATATAACGCGACACGTTGAGCGTCGGTGGACACCGGATTTGGCAGGCTTGTTTGTCTCTGCTTGATGGAACCATTCACGGTTCCCGGGCCGGACAATGTCTCCACGAACAAGTCTACCAAAGACTTCCTTTAAGCGCTGAATGCTTTTTGACCCTGCTATTGAGGTCCGATATATGTCAGCAACGGAGCAGCCCCTCTCACCAACGCCTCTTCACCTCTTCCGATGTCATACATCTCCCATAACTGCACTCGCCTGGTCCGACGACAATGAAAGGATCTACTCCGCAGATGCCTCTGGGAAAGTCGTCGTAACATCCACACGTACTCTACGTGCGATAACTTCCTGGAGCGCTCACAACGACTCGATTCTTGGGGTCGAAGAGTGGGATGAACAGATCGTAACGTTCGCGTGTCCTTAGGTGGTGCACTTCCAGAAGGTTGATTCAACTCTGTTCCTCTATGACTTTGAAGACATGGTCGGGACAACAAGATACACGTGTGGCAGAGGATAACAGAACTCCCTTCTTCTGCTCGCATTGGGGGTTCTGCGACTTTGTCTGATATGCAGACGCCGCCATTGTGCTATTCAATGGATGTCAATGCGCTCAATTTCTGCCGCTTCTCGTTGTTGAAAATGTCCCCAAGCCCCGAAGACAAGACTCCAAAGGCACTGCTTGCTTTACCTAATCTCGTCGACTCGACTACAGTACGAATGCGCCTGTTTCTATCTTGTTCTAGAAACTCATAGGGAAAGCATAGGTTGACGTTTGGTCGCTGCCTCCTCAAGAGCGAGTTCATGCTGCTATCGGCCAGGAAATCAAGAAATCTATATTCTCTGAAAATCCTGGTGGAAGGAACAATTCAGGTTCGCTGCCTATTCTGTCCTCAAATCCACAAACTGTACAATCAATCTATTCAGGCATTATCATGTCGCTATCCCTTTATCATCAGCCTATCGACCCGTCCTCATCCTCTATACATGGAAGACTACGCGTTCTGGTCGCGTATGAAAACGGAAGCGTGGTATTGCGAGAGTATACCCGCACTGCGAAGGCAGCTTCGATTGAAGGTGAAGGCTGGGATGTAGTATGGTCCGCAAAATTGCACAACGAGTCTAGTCAGTTACAGCCATCCTTCTCTTTTCATCGACTAAGATGTCTCCTCAGTCATGGCTATGCGTGTATCTCGGGCCAACACGTTTGCGCTGACCATTTCTGCAGACCACATCGTCGGGTTCTACGATCTTACAGTATGTTTGAAGCAACGGGTCCACATCCTCAAGTTTCTCATCTAAATCCAGACAGATCTCCCATTGGAGAACCATGGTATGCCGCATCGTATGAAACATCCTGGAAATGCCTCGGTTGCGATTCGGGATGATGGGAAAATCTGCGCAGTTGGAGGCTGGGATGGAAGGTAAGGCAAGCCCTATTCTTCACGGAACATTGATTGAACATCACCCAGAATCCGATTATTCTCCACCAAGTCATTCAAGCCGCTTGGGACGTTGAAGTACCACAGAGCTCATTGCCAATGCATAGAATTTGCTAGAGAACAAGGAGGTGTAACTGCTGGAGGCCCAGACGAGGATGATGACGAGGAAGACATGTCGCCTGAAGAAAAAGAAGAGAGGTGTAGATGGTTGGCGGTTGGAGCCAAAGACAACCGCATCTCAATATGGTCTCTTATAAGCTTCGCGAAATGAGAGACGCGAATGAAAAGGCACGAAGCAGCGAGTATGTTAAAGAGGGTGTCCTGACATCAGACAGTTTGGTATCAGTAAAGATAGCACATAATTAGGATGTCCTTCAGCTTCTAAAAAGCGTGTTTGGGAATTGTACAAATCACAACAGTCCTGCAGCCCTTAGGTCTCTCGTCAACCTAGCATCCTCCGCCTGGCTTTGCACGGTGGGGGAAGGTGGATCTCCGAAAGGGATTCCGAAAGCCTCTTCGAGGCGTCTCCTGACATCGCGATCCCTCTGCAACTCTTCAGCTGTTGGTGGCGGCGGTGGAGGGCGAACAGATTGTTCCCAACGCTTGACCCTCCAATAGCCAATCACAGAAGAAAGCAGAAGGAACCACCCTTTAAAACCGATGAATCAGTCATCAGAGATCCGTGTAATAACATCACATCTCCAACTTACCCAGAGTCATGAACAAGAACGATAGCCAATCCCGAGATGTCGTGGACATCATCATCTCTCCTTGACCTGGATTCTGGCCACTGGATGGTTGCGGTGGCTCTGGTAGCGTTGATCCATCAGAACTTCCTGTTGGGCTAGGGAACCCTGGCCAGTTGGCGTCAGAACCTTGTCCCGACGAGCCGTCACCCTGGGTGTCGTCAGCCAAGCTCATCGTCCGCGAGTAGAATCCGTATTGAATGAGCGTCAGCCCAAGACCGGCGCGTGAGCCGAATTTGGCGGCATGGGAGGTGTGGAGGAGATACGTGAGGAGGAAGCCGACGAATTGGAAGAAGAACGAGATAAAGGTGTTTAGACAGAAAATCAAGAACGACCCCGTCGGGAGGTCGTCGATGATCAAGTCTGCGTTGGGATCCACAGTTGCTGGTGCATGAATCGTGGTTTCCCAATATGGCGGCACTGCGTCTGCCTGTGCTTCGAGATAAGACTGCGTATACACTGTCTCAGAGATATGGGGACATGAAATACTAACGGGGACACTTACAGGAGGTGTCTCCTTCTGAGTATCCTCTGGCACGACGTGAATGTCTCCATCCTCTCCCTGTATAACCCTGGCGGGCTGAGGCTTGGCAGTAACGTTGGCAAACACGCCATCATTCTCGATCCCCCCTCCAGTGGGGTGCGTTATATGTTCGGTGGGCACACGGTGGTATCTAGAGGGAAGAACAGCGCCCATTACTCTGCTGAAGAAACTGCGTTTGGGTTTTGGCTTATCCACAGGCGATGTGGGCAAGAAACCGTTCGTGTTGCCGTAGTCGTTTGGGAGTGCCCTGGCCGACGGACTCGGCGGTGACCCAGGTGGCGGAAAGTCGTACTCGCGTTCGAAGTCGTACGTCCCGGGGATGGCAGTCGTCTCTGTGTTCGACGACGACTCTGGCTGGCTCGAGCGGACGTTGGTGAGTGGAGTGGACTCATGTGCCCCATGTCCCTCTTGGTCGTCGTGCTCATCATCAAGGTCGAAGGCGTCCTGCATTTCACGCTCTGCGTCCGGCGCTGAGCGCGGGTTGGCGAGGGGAGCGTAGCGGACGGACATGGGGGAACAAGGTAAAGATGAAAGCAAGAATGAGGCAAGGTTCATGGAGACTTTGATCCAAGCTGTCACCCAAGCGGCCATCGAACTTCTATATGGGGCTGCCTGTGCCATGATCTTCCCCGCGTCAGGGACTTTGCCTCGGCGTCTGGCCCTCTCGTTCCTCACACAGAACCTGGTCAGTCTGCGTAATTAGGTTCAGCCCATCTCCAGCAACTACATGTCTTTGATAATAATTGCAGGGTCTGTGCAACCGTCTCGCAGCCATTTGCCCAGCATTTGCCAACATTTTCTTGGACTTAAGTTTTTGGCCTGTCCCTGAATTTTGTTTCAAATTCGTGTCCAGACCCTTCCGAGTTGCTTTCTCTGCGAGCAGTTTTCTTCGCTGAGCAGGCGCATACATGGTTCACCTATGAGCTCCGATATTTCCACGACGAAGAGTAAGCAACTAGCTGATGAACATGAAGCCCGTATGAATCAGTTTCAGGAATCATCAGGCAAGTCATCATGAAGTTGGAGAATCATGCTTGACGCTTGACGGCGCCGGGAATTTCGATGCACAACGTTGACCAGTCGCCATTCGGTCCAAAGCTTTTTCCATCACTAATGCAACAATGTTCAGCGCTCTGTTGAGCCTAGTAATAGGAAAACAGAACCATAGAAACCCTTTCCTGCGATGTGCTGCGTATACAACGTACATGATCACAGTGAAGTCCGGGAAATATGATAGTGCTGCATAAAGGCCGGATATTCACTCGGGTTTGATGTTTCTCGTCGGATCTGCCAATGAGATGGCTGCGTGCTGGATGAGTACAATAGGAGAACGAAGCTGCGAACCGTGAAGAGAGGCAGAAAAGTCCTCAGAACCAAACTACATGTCATCCACGCTCCACTGATAACTTTCAGCGCCCTTTCGTTTCCTGGCGTTTTGAGTCTGGAATAGCTTTTTCTCGAAGCCATTTCCTCGGTCTGTAATTTCTGTAAGCCAGCATCTCCAACGAAAAGGCAGGAAAAATAGCATACCAACGCCATCCCACCTGTACCCAGGTTTGATACCAAACCGGTTAGGCGGCGGTGGAGGGCCAGTATATTCAGGTCTTCGAGGTCCCTTGGCTTTCTTTTTCTGTAAAAAGGCACAGAGAAATGTCACTTGTAGATTCCGAGTAGGAAATAAAGAGAAATTACCGTCAAGAACGCAGCTGCTGGGTCATTCCACAACTCTTTCGCCTTCAGTTCCTCGTTCATCTCCTTATCATCCACCCGTCTGGCAAAAGGTTGGTCCTTCAGCTTCTCGAGGTCTTGCTTTCGCTTCTCCGCCTCCTCCCTCTGTACCAGCCCCTTGCCCCACTCCATCTTCTGCGCCTCCTTCTCTTCTCTTAGGCGCTTCATTCGTGCAGCCTCAGCCTTTGCCGCCTTAGTATCGATCTTCTTCCCAGAAGCATCGCGGTACACCGTTTCCTGGGCCTGCGCAATCTCTTCTGCTGTGAGAGATGAAGTAGAAGCAAGGTTGTTCTGTGGCAGCACCCTCTTCAGGTCTTTGGGGTTCATCAGGCCTCCAACAAACGGTGTGTCCACAAGCATGGGCTGCTCGTCCGCAAGCGGTGGCTCGTCTTCTGCCTTTGGACCACCTCCCATGCCTTCCTGGACAGTTATCCAATTTGACTCAGCGGCAGGGTTGGCCACTTTGCGTTTCTTGAACCCTCTGTCCTTCTCAACAACCGCGTCCTTGAGGCCGTCATCCTCCTCTTTTTCAATGTCACCCCATCCGCCGTCGTCGTCGCGTATGTGTGTTCCACGAGTCTGTGGTTCAGGAGCGTCCTTGCCCTTGCGTTTCTTTTTCTTCAGAGACCCGGTTTTCGACAAGATGGCGTCTGCCTTTGGTCCGGACATGTACTTTTCTGCAAGGTAGGCCTTCATACTCGACATGGTGGCAGTTTGGGGCTCAAGGATGTGTCGTCAAAGTGAGTTCGTGTGAGAGGGTGATGGTATGGAAGATACTTAGTGCAGTTGACCAGGCACTGCAAGCAGGTGCCGGTGCCGGCCCGGCGGTGACTTGACATCAGGTACATGGGGAGAATTGGACGGAATTTTAAGTACAACAAAGCGTATAGTCTTGAAAGGTCATTACAAATGGTCATAAGATAGTAGGATACTGTGCCACGAGTCCAAAGCTTTATTTACCAGAACTTCACACAATAAGAATCTGTATATAGGTTGAGCTTCTTCAAAAATTCTAGGGCCAAGATCAGGTCAATTTCGTGTTTCTTCATCGTCACTATTTTCAGGAAGTGCTTCATATGAGTAGTCTTGAGCGATAGAACGAGTTCTTCTTTCTTCACCAATGCGAGGTGTGAGTGCGAGAGCAATGTCCTCTGCCGCCGGCGACACTCGGCTGAGGAAAAGCACGACCGAAAACAGGATACATGCGGCGAGAGCGAAGATAGCTTCTGGGTAATTGGCAACCGATCTGCCATAGGTAACGGCATAGACAGTTGGCTATCGAAAGAGACATGAAAACCTCCTCGGTCTAATGCGAGTGGGACGCACCGAGATGATATGACCAATAGCAGACAAGACTCCTAGTGCACCAAACAATGCTCCAACCTCGGAGCCACGTCCGCAGGCATGCAGGCAGACGGCTCCGAGAGAGTGTAATGCAGGGTTGCCTCCCGAAGTGAACGAAGAAAGGCAGGACAGCGTGTAGAAGACTGTCTGCGATCTGCTGGCGGTGATAGCGACAAGACTATCTGCCAAACCGTCCACGAAGAGCGATAGTGACGCGAGATAACGGTCGAAGTTCAATTCGGCGGAGATATCGCGTGCGTTTGGACTTTGACCTGGAGCAGTGGTCGACTTCGGCTTGAGATACGACAGGACAACTGCGGACACAGAGCGTCAATGCCCACCGATGAGTTCCGCTTCTTGGAACGTACTTGGGAGGAAGAGCAGGAGATTGATTGCTCGAGATATCCACAATGTCGACATGTAATAACCCAGCTGCGAAATGAAGGAATCAGAAAAGGCATTCTTCTGAGGTTATGTCACTGCTTACTTCTGCTGTTGTCCATTTGAAGACATCCTTGCCATAGAGATATTTCGCAGAGTAGACGCCCTATGACACAAGTCGCTTTATGAAGTAGAAGTTTTCGAGAGAAGGAAGGACTGACCGTTGAGACAATGTACAAGAATAAGCTCAACCCTACAAGGGTCATATTGTAATTTCTTCGAGAGCTACCGGGCACACGGAGCGGCATGAACATAGATATTGGTAGCATGAGAGAACTCAGGAAATTGACGAAAAGCCGTTGGATAGCAAGGAGAGGCGAATTCTTGAATGACACTTGGTCTGCGGACAGAGTGTTGTCCGTAGCCGGAGGAGGGAAACGAGACTCAGGGCAGATGAATATGACAAAAAGGATGTTTGCGGCGATAAGACTGATGCTTCCAAAGAAAAATCCGTCATGGTAGCCCTTGGGAGGGAATATTTTCCCGCAGATCTATCAAGATTGGCGTTAGAGATTGACACGTTTGCATCAAAGTTTCGCACCCAAGGTCCAGTCGCAAGGCCGACGAATACCATTCCTTGGACTGTTGAGAAGATTTTCGAACTAAAGACAATTCAACATGTATTGAGCAGACATGGCGTAAAAGACCTACCGAGAGCCGTGCCTCGTGCAATCGGAGATATATCTACGTCGCAAAAAGGTGAGCAAGTGAAATACGACGGTATAAGGGAATGCGGACGCGTGAACAACACCATTGAATGTGGACAGTCCTCCCACAAAGCCCTCGATAACTGGGCCAACCAGAATCAACTGTTCGGCATAACGCCCGAAGAAAGTGTTGGGTCTCATAACCAGGACAAAGACAGCTTCCCTATGGGCTGTGTCAGCGGACAGCAGGAAATAGGAGACTGGACTCGCATTAAAAGGGCACCCGTTAGAAACGTGCAAAGTATCAGTTTTCGACCATAAGCGTCACCCAAGCGGCTCCAAAACCCTGTCGAAATCGCGCTCAGGACGCTCATCGTGGTCACAACGGCTGTTATCAAGAGGTTCAGGGGATATCAGCCATTGAAGATCACAAAACCTACACGCCTGTATTTTTGCGACACGGGCAGCCACTTTAGGATCATTGCAGCCAGTCGCGAAGTTGGCAAGGTCGCCAAAATCCATTCCTGGAGAATCCTCACCAAGCGCGCGACATGCAATCGCTTGGTAGACTTGGATTCTAGGAGACATGGTAAATCCCCGCTACAAGGATGATAGAGTGCTAAGTGGACATCGAGTGGAGTTCAAATAACACTGCGCACCGATATGGACATAACAATCACCACTGGGATCAACCTGGCCCATCTTGCTCAGCAAATGCAAGGCTCCCGCAACACAGAACCACCAACCAGAATGGGTGGGCTTTCCATGAAAATGCCCTCGAGGGAGACATAATACTCGACGTCGGCCGCGACGTTGAACGTCGTTTGCGTGCTTCTGAGCGTCCTGGTAAAAGCGAGTCTTCTTCGGAGCGTCCCTGTGCTTGCAGTTGTGTTGCCGTCATTGTCACCCCGTCAGCGAGGCGGTCACGAGTTCTACGGGCGTGGTAAAGCCTTGAGCCCTGAAATATAGCTGGGTCGTCTGAAAGAGGTTTGAGGGCTGTCTAGGAGTTATACGAGCATCTAAGGGACACGAATGCAAGGACCGGGGTGGGACTGACAGGGGGAACCGGCGGAGGTGCTGTGACAACGGGGCTGGCAGATTCTCTGCTAGTCTTTTATCAGATATATATGCGGATCTATTTTGTTATCACGTGTGGCGCGATTTTTATCTGATAAGAAACCACGGCAGATCCCGGCATGACGTCTCGTGTGCAATCCGCGGGCTTCCTTCCCCCACGCCCAACTTCCTGACTCCTTAGGTGCTGTTACCGCCCGCGAGATTGCTCAATCAAGATGCAGGTCAACAGGCAAAGAGAAGCTCCTTAAAGTTTGCGCATGACTCTATCAATTAATGCTCATGTCAAGTTGTGCAAGTTGTGCACTGACGAAAGGAGACACTGCAGAGTTAGTGCCAACAATGTGCCAGCTTGATATGACGTGCTGATCTGGCCGGCGCTGTTTGTGAGCGTATTAGGGATCCGAATATACGTAGCGTATGCCACGATTGAGGTGATACCAATTTTAACTGGGAACAGTCAGAGTTTACACGACACGAAGTCCCGGTATAATTGTCTGGCTGACTGAAGTTTATTTACTTCATCCAATCAGATTTTGACGCCAGAGCAAGACAGACTGGCTGGCCGCCGACAAGAAGACGAGTGTATGAGACCGCAATGCCCCAGGCTCATGGACTGAAAGGCCGTTCTAGATGCGTCCTCCTTGATGTCCCGGCTCGGTAGTCGGCACGACTCAGCCAGAGGAATCTTTCAAATAAAATTCGTCGTGTATAAGTAGGAATACGGGGACTTTGCTAGGATATATGCTACAACGTGGGGTAATAGAAGCAAGTCCTCGAAGACCGGTGTTGGAGTAGGAATCCGGCGTTGGAGTAGGAATTCAACGGTAACGAGCTTGGTACGTTCTTCTTATCCGCTTATACGCGGTTTAGTTGTGGATCTGTCTGAGGCCCAAGTGGCCGACCAGAGAGGCAATTGGGAGATCCCAAATGAAGCAAATGCCAAGGCATCGCGGGAAATACCTTCCAAATATGATCGACTGTGGTGATGCGCTCCTGTTCTTCGAAGCGACTTCATTTCCGTTCAAGCTCTTCCCGCCGATCGTTGTTCATTGCAAGACCATTGTCGACCACACAGGTAGCCTGCGTCCGGGCTATGACCTCCGTTGCATCGACCCCAGCTCTGGCAGAGCGAACAGACATCCACAAGTCATGCAAATCCATCGAGGCCCTGCTCAACATCCTGAACGAATATTGCGAAGCAGCGGGAGCCGTCGTCGCGTTGCAGAAGAAGCTGGCGAAATCTCTGAAGGATATGGCTAGTCTGAAGACTACAGCAGAGACAGCAGGTGCTTTTACTGGCTCCCTCGGTTTCTGTCTGCTAATGGACGCGCCGATTCCGCAGCCAATGCTATGCACGCTAGTGCAGCTATTTTCGAGTCCTTGTCCGACGTTGATTCCAAATTTGCCAAAATTGCGGATAAGGAGTACGATGCCATCAGCATTGAGGTCAAGAAGTGGTTCAAGAAGCTCTCTGTCAGTCCTATATTCTTTATCTAGCAACCACTCCTAAGTATATCTCTTCAGAAAGAGGAACGCGCACACGATGAACGGATGGCCAGCGCCAACGCAAAGATCAAGCAAGCAGGTATGCATTATCCTGACGTGTTCCCTAACCCCCCTAACATATCGCAGGTCAAAATTACGAGAAGAAGTCCAAGAAGAAGGCAACAGACGCGAGCGAGGAACATGCAAGGTACATCAACCTCATCAGTACGCTTGGCCCTGAGGTCTCGCAAGAGAAATAGTGAGATTTGATCACTCATTCCACTATTGGTGCTGACTCTCTTCAGTAACCACACCCTCAACGTCACACAACGACATACTGCCACAACTTACAGCGTTGCTGCCTGCCTTGCTCGTTTGGCAGACGTAGAATGGCAAAAGTCTTGCGAATGTGTACGCCGTTTCTCCCCCACCGTTGGCCCTCTAGGCAATTGGAAGTCCCTATGCGAGGGAGGCTGGACAGGCCCAATACCGTCGGACCTGCCCGATGTCGAGTTTTCCGGTGGGCAGCCATCCCCTCGAGCTGAACAAGAGTCGGGAGGATTGAAGCCTATTGAAGAGGAAACGCGTCCTGGTCCGCCCACGTCGCCGAGAATCACTCCAGAACCTCAAGCTTCACCGAATCAATCGCGGCACCCTCCTCCTGGATATTCAACTGGCCCTCCTTCTGCTTCAGCGAGTTCCATGGATGTTTCACGAGAGCAGTCGACTTCGACTCGCGATTCTCCGACGCTCCAAAGGCAAGGACAGTCTCCCATGACCAGCCTCAGCAACACGACCGAACGTATCCCCGCCCCGCCGTCGTCGAATACTCTTGAACCGCCAAGAGCTCCCTTTTTCGACCCCAATACCGGATCTGTTCGTTCATTGTCAGCTTTCCCATCACCTCCCACCCACTTCCCTATACCACCAGCGCGCCCAATCCAGCGTCAACAGTCATCACTTTCTCAGTCTACCCAAGGCCAAGGACAGCTGGAATTTCCTTCTAGCAACCAGCTTGCTGAATCGCCAGTTTCAGCTCATGCCGAACTTTCAGGGATCAGTGACCTCGATGAACCCCCCGCGAGAGCCGCAAATCGCAATGCCCATGACGAACACTCCGGGGAGGTGCCCTCCCCCACAAATGATGATGGGATGAAGCCCATCCTAATGCGCTCGCAAACCTTGCTACCTGTTGAACCCAATCACCAACGAGAGCGCGTCATATCGGCACGCAATGAAAGAAGACACGAAGCCGTCGATTCGAAGCAGGACAAGAAGCGTCGAAATAGCGAGGAAAATGTGAGAGAATTCGGGGAGCTGAACCACACTCTCCCATCATCTTCACAGCCTAGGGCTGTCGAGCCACCTCGGCCTGTAGACAGAACAGATGCAGGAGCGAGCAGTGGCAGTGTCGTTGCTGCGATGCGGAACCGGTACTCAAATGCCGTGAGTATTTCTTTATTATCGATTTGTCTTTGTTGACGGCTCCTGCCAGCCCACTTCGACTTCACCTCCACCGCGAGACCTGCCTCGATTACCTCTTAGTGTCTCTAATCTGGCTACACGTTATCAGCCAAATGATGCACCTTTGTCGCCCAGAATACGGGCGGGTTCACCTCCTGTGTCTCGTCAGCAGTCCTTGCCCTTACTTGACACGGGCGCTCGCTCGCCGAAAGAGGCGTATCAGGAGTACCCCTCGTCATCTTATCGCCCTGGACAAGTCATATCGAATCCAGAAGAGGACAGGACGCGCAGACAGCGACCAGATGAATTGGCCGAACTTCAGCGGAGGGAAAGAGAGCAGGAGCTAAGAGAACGCGAACTAGAATTGGAGATGCGTGCCCACGAGCTAGAGAAACAACGACAGCAGTTGCAAACTCTGCGTGACAGTGACCCAGAGAACGGCCGTCAGGCCTCTGGCCGGGGCGATGACAGTAGTCAAAGCGGGCAGTTCGGCCTTCGGCCTAGGGAGCGCCGGATATCCCTTCGGTACCAGCTGCAACGGCCGTTGTCGCAGATGGAGCTGGACGATGTCAACGACCCCCAGCATACCCCCAGACCTAGCAACAGCAATGTTCGCGCAAAGTCTCAGTATTCCCATAGCATCGGTAACCTCGTGTCCTCTGGCTTGCAGACGCCTCCGCCTATGATACAGCCATTACATTCCCCCAAACCATCCCGTCCGATGCCCCAGCCTCAAGACCTCGAATACGACTCACGTGCCAGCGAACAGTATCAAGACAGCACGTCTCATTCAAACGCCAGCACCAGTACGTCAAACCATGCTGCATACTGCGGTTGTGAGTCTTGTTCTGTCAGCAAGTACAAGTCCGTCGAGCGCTCGTCCATCGATCAGCGGCAACCACCATCGGGACGGAGTCCTCAGGTTGTTGAGGCAAAGGCTCAGACGCACCGCACCGAGAAACCAAAGGGGTGGATTCGTCGCTTGAGCATGCCCGTCGGAAATGCGTTCAGCCTGGACTCGAAGAAACACCAGAGCAACAATAACGTTGGTAGCATTACGGGCAACTATGCTCTGGGCAGCGGGGTGAGCAACAGCCCTGTAACCGAGAAGAGGAGCATTTTCTCCATGGACGGGAAGAAGAACATCAGCCAGACGGCTCTCCGTACCCCTGAACCCAGTATCCAAGAAGACGGTCGATTGGGCGTTCGACCCGGCGGAGGTGCAGCTGGACGACGGAGCTTCGAGGCTAGCGGCATCAGCAATCGTAGCATGACGAATCTGGGGAGACATTAGTTGAGCTAGACTTCATTTCACGTCCTATGACGACCTTTATGACCTATATCTATTAGTATTTCTAATATTTTGCTTTCCATTTAGTTACCCTAAGTGTATCTCTGCTGTATCTGTATCTGCTTTCTGGTTACTTGTCGGGCTTGGAATAATGATTAGGACCTAGTGGCTACATCCTGGCGCAATTGTGCGATTTGAATCTCCTACAAAAACAGCTTCGCACGAAGCTCTATAACGAAGAATACTCAAAGCAATTGACGATTGGAATTCTATGACTGCTTCAAAGTCTTTTCAAGCTCCGCCTTCAGTCCCTTCAACACTTCCACCGTAACCTTGATCTCTGCATCGAGTTCGGGTGTCTTTGGTGTCCTAGCCTTCAATTCACGGACAATCTGACCCTGCTCTGCTACCTTTGCCTCAAGGGCCAGTGCTTCTGGAGACTTGGGCCCGAGTGGCACCGAAGAGGCGACAGCACCTTTCTTCGCACCTTTCTTCTTTGGCTGACCAGGAACGGCCTTCAATGGATCGGGCGTGCCAGCAGCCGAAGCAGCAGCCTGTGCGTCGTTGCCTCCGAACTTGATGCGCCACACTTCAGCCATGCTCTCCTCGATCTTTTTGAACAAATGCTCTGGGGTGCCGATTATGTGTCCCCCGAGGATGTCACTCGAGAGGACCTCAGGCACAGCGCGGGCTGGGGCGTTGAGCTGCGCGAGAATAGAATCCGAAGTGGCGGGCATGAAGGGGTGGATTAGGGCAGATAGAGCGTAGATAAGATTGACGGCACGACAGATGACCTGGGCACAGCGGGTCGGATTGGATGCGATAAGTACTTTGTTGAGTCCGGATGACTGGAGGTAGTTGTTTCCTCTGATGGAAATCAGCATGACAGTTTGCAGACCGAGGCGGATCTTCACGGAGTCCATAGCATCTATGTACTCTTTCAAGAGACCATTAACCGCTGTAATGAATTCAGAATCTAGAGAATCGTTGGGAGAATATGGGCCGGGTGCATCCCCACTGTCCGGAACAACGCTGTTGAATTGTGACGAAACGAATTTGAGGGCACGATTCACGAAGTTTCCGAAGCTGGCAGAGACTTCATCAGCACTAGTGTTATCATAAGATTGCACTGGCGTACTTGTTCAAGAGCACATTGTTGTTTGCGGCGATCTAAACAAATGTATTAATAAACGTTGGCAGTATTCAGGAGCCCGCAATGGCTTACACATTCCGTCCAAGAGAACATGGCGTCTGCCGTTTCTGGTCGAGACGAGAGCAGATAGTACCGCCATACAGAGGCAGGAATGCCAGTCTCCTTCGCAGCAGGACCGAAAACTCCGCGATTTTTGCTCTTGGAGAACTTTCCGCCCTCGTAATTCAGATATTCTGGAGGTCCGTGTTAGCTTTAAGCTGTAGAAAGGCGCATGAAAACGGACCCGTAGTTGAAAGATGGTGCAACTTGGTCCAATCCCGACCGTCACCAATCTGGACCGAAGGGAAGTAGATCGTGTGAAAGTAGACATTATCTTTTCCCATAAATTGGTAGAGGTCGACGTTTTTGGGATTAAACCACCATTGCTTCCACTCAGGTGTGTAGTTTGCCGTGATACTTGGATATCCGATCGGAGCATCAAACTAACGAGCTCAGGGATAGCCCCTCACCAGTGTTAAATCCGACTTACCCAAACATCTATCATTCATGTCAGCAACGAATTTCGAAAGGTTGAAAGCCAAAACGTACAGAGAACTTTCCCTTTCATCCCATGGATATCTTCGCCTTCGATGGGGACAGGAACTCCCCACTTGAGATCTCTCGTCAGCGGCGTAGGCAGTAACCCCATCTTCAGTCGCGCGTCGATCAGCTCTCCGTCTGAGTTGATCACTGCGTTCGGCGACCACTTTCCCGCTTTCCACGACTGCTTGATCCACTCTTCCGTACGTGGCTGGATCGCATCCAGCCTTAGGTACATGTGCGAGGAGGTCTTGGTGGTAACAATGTGGGTTTTGTCGACAAGGCAGCGAGGCTTGATAAGCTCGATTGCATCTAGTGTGCGGCTGCATCCGTCACATTGGTCGCCGCGAGCGTCTTCGTAACCACAGTGCGGGCATATTCCTTCGACGTAACGATCGGCGAGGAATCTAAGGAGCACGATTCATTTGAGCTATACCGGCCTTTGCTATACGACTTACTTTGGGCAGCCCTCACAGTATGTTTGCTCTTTCTCCTGTTTCTCCAAGAATCCATTTTTTCCAAGATCCAGGAATATTTCCTGGCAAATTCTGCAACGCAAGATCGTCAACGTTGTTACGGGAGAATCTGTGAGATACGCACTGGGTATGGTGAGGCGTAGATGTACGGCCAAAGAAGTCGAAACTGCAGCTCGACCGTCGGGCTTTGAGAACGTCAAAAAAAAAAAAAAGACAATCATACCCGATGTCAAACCATTCGTATGTCTCCTTATGAAGGACGTAGTATTTGTCGCATAGTTCACGGGGAGTGATTCCCTCTTTCAAGGCCTGTGTTTCGGTCGCTGTGCCGTATTCGTCTGTGCCGCAGATGTATAATGTCCTTCGATTTCTTGTTCCTTGCCAAAACTGTCAAGGCGTTTCGAGAGATGTTCTTGATCTGACTCACGATTATACCTAGTGGATCACAAGAGGTTTAGGGACATAGTGAGAGAATGTAACCCAGCGCACCGGCTGAAGACATCTGCGCTGAGAGTACTTCCAATGATATTTCCTGCATGAACATCAGCACAATTCAGGTCAACCAGGTAAGGCAACAGACCCAAGTGAGGAACGTTGTTGCAGTAAGGTAAAGCAGAGGTCACAAGGACATTTTGCTCGCCTTCTTTAGGCAATCTAAAGGAGTTGGATGAGTACCTGAAAGTGGAGGTAAAGGAGGACATACGGCGCTTCATGGCCAGGAGGCGGTATCACCCGCAGGAAGCCATCGTCGGTTCTGATTTTTTGCGCCATAAATCCTATATTCACGATAGGAAGGTGAATGGTAGAAACAGTAGAGCGCAGGTCGAGGATCGATGGCAAGGAATCCAAAGTGCAGGTTAATTACTGACTCGACCAAACATGGCGTCAATTTGATCACAAACAACGCGTGTGTCAGGGTCGCTGAACCGATGATGCAACTCTCAGCTTTCCCCTAGGCTCTACACCTATCGCTGGCACTCGGCTGCATGGTGCCTTGGACGCCATGTTTGCTGTTAGAGAATGGTTCAGGCGAGTTGTCAAACTTATAAGTGTCTATATAGTTTGTGCTGATCCATCACACTCAGGTTCCTAAAGACGAGAGAAGGGCCTATTTCAAGAGCACAACCCGAATTTACGCTCACTGCAGTTCTTCTTGGTCTCGCTATTGGATGCCTGATATGCTTCACGAATCTGAGCTTGGGTTTGCAGTCAGGATGGATCTCAATGTTCGTTAAATCTAGCTGTGCCGTTCTCCAGCTCACAATTTCGCAGGATGTCCATTCAATCTGCTCTCATTGGCTTTCTCATCTCAAGGATGCTTCCAACGCCCCTTACGCCCCAAGAGATTATTGTTGTGCAAACAACTGCGGTCGCAACAGGAACTATGCCCCTCGCGGCAGGCTTCGTTGGTATCTTACCAGCTTTGACGCTTCTCAATGAAGACCGTGATGGCTCGCCTCCCATTCGCCTTACTTGGCTTGCTGCTGTTGGCTGGTCGTGTTCAGTAGCTTTCTTTGGGTGAGCAACCATTCCAGCAATCTGAAGTCGGGCTCATCGGCACAAAGTGTCTTCCTTTCACCCCCGATACGTAAACAGGTGGTAAGTTGGTCGCATCATCCATAAATCCGCTTTCAATCTATTTCTTTAGATTATAGAGGAACAACTACCGTTTCCATCTGGAACAGCAACTGCTCATCTTATCTCTGTCTTGCACCAATTACCTCCTCCGGACACTACAGTGCGACGTAGAAACGGCTACCGTCAAATAGATCAAGAGGAGGAAGATACTCGTACTGAGGCCGCTACGACTGACGTTGTGGTCGAAGGAGATGCAAACGATGCAACCGAGCGTGACGTCATTGAACACGAAGGTTGGCACGACCTCATATGGAGCTTTGCTGGTTCTGGGGCATTGACAGTGAGTGAGAGCGTGGATTCATGTTCCTATCATTTGACAGGGACATATTCCAGTTGTCTGCGTACTTTTTCCCTGTGTTATTCACCATCCCCTTGTTCGGGAGTTACCTTGCCAAAGAGTGGTTGTGGTTTTTCACTCCCAGTCTCTCGTACATTGGGCAAGGCATTATAATGGGCTTCCCAACGACGTTGAGCATGAATCTGGTGAGTGATCCGGAAACAAAGGAACCTAAGGCTTCTCATCATGAATGGCCCATTCTTTGTGTCCGGTAGGGTATGTTTGCGGGGTGGGCTATTCTCTCCCCATTTTCCAAATTGTCTGGTTGGGCCCCGGGGCCTGTTGGAGACATGTCTTCAGGTGCGCGGGGTTGGATCCTCTGGGTCTCTCTCGGCATATTGTGTGCCGACAGTCTTGTATCTCTTCTTCCTGTCGCCTTCGAATATATTGCGGAGGCCTTGCAACCTTGGCGACAAGGATATTCAGTGACCTCGACCAACGCTTTTGACTCGTCCAAACATCCCCATGAGACGGAAACCGAAGACAGACTCGTTCCTACTCAATGGGTCGTCGTTGGCTTGCTACTCAGCGTGGTGGTTGGAACTGTTCTTGTCTGGATCGTGTTTGGCGACGAGGGCATCAAACCTTGGGCCACCCTTCTGGGCTTTATCCTCGGAGGAATGTTGAGCATCATCGGGTTCGTGATGTTCCCTCTCTGATACTGTGGAATACTGAAATCGTTGAGCAGAGTCCGTGCACTTGGAGAAACAGATCTCAATCCTGTATCTGGACTGGGGAAGATATCCCAGCTCTTCTTTGCCTGGATACAACCGGGCAACATTGTTGCAAACATCATTGCTGGTGGAGTCGCGGAAGCTGGAGCCCAACAGTATGTGAACCTTTACTGGACTGAATGAATGCGATTCTGATGCTCTCCGAGAGCTGGGGATCTCATGCAAGATTTGAAAACAGGTCACCTATGCCGCGCCTCACCTCGAGCCCAGTTCTACGGCCAACTCATTGGCTCTTCGGTCTCGATAATTGTTACTACAACGGCAAATACCTTGTACAACCGCGCATATGCGATTCCGGGCCCTTCATTCCCCGCTCCCACGGCCTATGTCTGGTTGAGCCTCGCCAGGTTGCTCCGTATGTCATATCAAACGGATATTCGAAGGGAAAAGGCTAACTGTAATCTGTTTGTCGTGATATGTCAGGAGGCGGACAATTGCCCGAGAACAGTGCAAGCTTCATGGCCGCGTTTTCCTTGTTATTTGCTTTGCTCTCAGCTCTCAAGACATATTCTGCGAAGAGAAGCAGCTGGGTTGCCGCTTGGATTCCTTCTGGGGTTGCCTTCGCGATTGGCTTTCTTAACACCCCTTCGTTTTCCATTGCCCGACTAATTGGTGGAGTGGCAGAATATGTCTATCGAACGCGGTTTGCAAAGAGTGGGGGCGACATCCGTTTGATCGTTATTGCGAGTGGGTTCGTTTTGGGTGAAGGTGTTGTCAGCATTGTATCCTTGGTGTTACGGACTGTTGGTGTCGGTGTTGTGAGTTGCTTTGGGTGTGGGCATGGACTATGCGGAGGGTGCCCTTCTACATTATAGCTCTCGTCTTGCTTTAGTTCACGTAGGCGGCCATATGTTAAATTCTTCAAGTTGATCATGACACACAACGCGCTTGTTCATGAACCACCATCATCGTTCTATAGCTTACTTTCCATCGTTAGCTTGTTTTCAACGCCCGCCGGTTCCTTCAATCTTTTAACTATGATCGAAACCATCATTCTATCCGACAACCCTGTTTGCATCGGTCGTGGCAGCTTCGCCGGAGTCTACCTCGTTTCCGCCAAACTCTGGGTATTCAAAGTCGTGCAAAACGCTCAGGACGCAGCTGCTATTTCACACGAGTACGACGCCTGCCGTACCCTCTTTCAATGCTGCAACAACAACTCTTTCTTCGCCGTACCCCGCGCGTTGGCCTTAAATGTTCCAAGGATTGACGACACCTGCGCCACCTTCCTCATGCCTCCGCAATTGTCCCCACGCCTCCAGGCTAGCCGTCGTCCCATCCGCCATATAGTCCGGGAGGGGGAGTTTAGCCCTTTCGACAAGGCTGCATATGCCCTCGATCGCGTACATGATCTCCCTACAGGCGTAAAGGCATATCTTAGACAATGCTATTTCCCTTCAAGTGTCACGGTCGGGCCATCGCTATGCCGCCTATACTTTGGCAAAGAGGTCCCCATATCGACACAACCGCCGCGCTTCATAAACTCGCAGAACTTCCCGCTTGACGTCAGACGTTATGAAGCCTTATTCGAAAAGTTCCCGGAGGATCTCGATCCAGTGGAGAAGGTCGCAGAGGGTATGGGTGAGATGCTAGGTCGCATACATGCATGGGCATCCTATGACGGACGAGACATCGAATTCGTGCTCGGTGGAAATGGTTTTAGTTCCTTCAGCTTCTGGGTTATCGATTTCAACCAGGTAAGTCGGTATACTGTCGTGAATGGCATGATGTTGACCATAGACTCTTGTAGATGCGCAAGTGGACGAAGCAAGATAGTGACATTGAGACGCTAACGTCGGCTTTTTTCTCCAATGACCCCTATTACCCTCGCCCTCGTTCCAGTGATGCCCTCTACGCTACCTTCAAGACAGGCTACCTTTCCGCATTCTCAGGGGATCTCGTACCTTGGGGGAATGCTTTCCTGGCCGCAATTGAAGGTGAACAGGCGCGTCGCGACGAGGCACGAAGGGGCTGCTGAATAACGGGCTGGGAAGCTGCGCTATGGTAGACGCTAGACGAGGCTTCGAGTGGCTTTTCCTACTCCAATTCCGGCTTCAGTTCTGCTCTTGGTTTTGATCGACATGGGTGGTTTCCGGGGTATCGTGGCGCTAACGCTAGCCCTGCTCCGCTTTACTGCACAACCCTTCTGGTGCCAGTGGGTATCAGCCAGGAATTTGGACTGGAGCAGCTGCAGGACGACTCACAAGCTACCTTTGGAACTGACTTGCACGGAACCATCGTGCGTTAATACTTCATCATTCTTCGGATCTCGAAGTGGATGTATTCGGCAACCTCGATACGAGGACGCTCGAGGAGAAGTAATCTCGAACCTAGGATCAATGAGGCGCAATACAGGATTAGGTGGATTAAGTCCTCGGTGATGGATTTGGGCTCGGAAGCTACATAGAGGTTTACCTAGGTAAGTTTCTCTTCAGTTCAACCGATCTTTATTCACGGAAGTCAGGATAAGACCATGTATTCCATTTTGTAATTGGACAGGCAGAAATACGGCGAATTCTCCTTCTTGGAACCAAGACAACTCGTAACCTAGAACCTCTGTTGATCTCTGCATTCTATTTGGCATCTATTGCCCATGATCGATTGCGACGGAACTCCAGCAAAGTCTGAACCTAGATGTTTCATTAAGGTAGGTAGACATGACCGGTTCACGAAACACACCCCAAACGAGCAGGGCTCCTGTGCAGGCTAAATCTCGGTTCAAGCGGCTTCTCGAGAGGTGTCTCCGGGAAGCAGACCGAAAGTCCGTGCAAGGTCCGTGACTCTGGAACAGTGATCGTCCAGAAAGGATTGCGAAAGCGGGGCTTTTATGCCTATCACAGCGACCGCAAGAAGCACGGGATGGGAGTAGCAACTTGCAAGTCGCAAGGGCCCGAGAGATCCTCCGATCCATGCTTGCGGACGAAGTGGCTGGCATGGGGCTGGGGGTACGTCGTTGGAGCATTGTACCGCTTAATTGGAATGTCTCCGAAGAAGGATGGCAAAGGGACGCCATGTGATGCCTGCCCAAAAGTTTCCGGACTGGGATACTCCTGGCACTGGATGTATGTCGGGTTATTGGCGGATTTTCGAAAATTTGTGCGGTGGACGGCGAGCGTGCAGTATTAAAAGACTGCAAGTTGTGCTTCGTGCAATTCAATCGCTTGCGCCCCACACAATGAGGTCTGCACTGTCTACATTCGCCTCCCTAACGCTCGTGGTCCTCTTCAGCAAACCCGCCTTGTCGGTCCCTGTCTACGGGCAATGTGGTGTACGCTCATGTCTTTGGTCCTCTCATATTCACATACAGCAAAACTAACTGCTTCTCTATCAGGGCCAAGGATACACTGGGTCGACCGTTTGTGATGCGGGTTCGGTCTGCACCTATTCAAATCAATGTGGGCCATACATCGTATATGTAAAGTATATACTCAATTTTGACTAGGGTACTCGCAATGTCTGCCAGGAACCGCTCCACCTGCCACCACCACCACCGGTGATGCAGGAGGGGGCTCCGGAACGACAACTGCCCCGGCACCTGGCGACACCCTTTGCGGTGGCGCTGCACGAACCAAATTCACGTACTTTGGCGTCAACCAAGCCGGTGCTGAGTTTGGCGAAAACAGGATTCCTGGAGTCCTTGGAACAGATTATACCTGGCCCAGCCCGAGGTAAGCAACCTACAATCCCGATAGTGCAGGTTACAGGAATCTAATCTGTTTATTCCATTTAGCTCCATCGACTTCTTCGTCGGCCAGGGAATGAATACCTTCCGCATCCCCTTCAAGCTGGAGCGCATCAGTCCCCTTTCATCCGGACTCACTGGCAGCTTCGACCAAACATACCTCAATGGCCTGAAGACCGTCCGTCTAGCGGCCTTTACCTTCCTCTTCGAAATCGGTCTAATATCTTGGACTTTTAGATCGTGAACTACATCACTGGAAGGGGCGCCTTCGCCGTCATAGAACGTGAATAGCAGTCATTTCGCTGTCCGGGTTGCAATTGAACGATGAACTAGCCCACAACTACATGAGGTATAACGGCAACGTCATCACCTCGACCTCGGACTTCCAGACCTGTGAGTCGCACTGCCATGTTTGCCAGCATTCCCGAAATGTTAAACGGTGATCCTATAGGGTGGACCAGATTGGCCAACGAATTTGTGAGTTCTCCACCACAGTGGCTTCCCATCTGCTGACCCGCTCTTGAATAACCAAGAAATCCAACAACAATGTCATCTTCGGTGGGCTTCCTCCTGTCTGGAATGTCGTTGTGGAATATGCTAAGGCTCTTCACGTTAGATATCATGAACGAGCCTCACACCATGGACGCCGGTGTGGTCTTCCAGCTGGTGAATGGGCTCGCGTTCTCTGTACTTCTTGCGTCCTGACCAACATTCCGATGTCGCATTCAGAACCAAGCTGCCGTGAATGGCATTCGTTCCACCGGCGCCACCCAACTTATTCTTGTCGAGGGTTAGTCATTTATTTTTGGCCAAGCCTGAGAAAATATCCTGACGTTGTTTACATCTTGTAGGAACTGGTATGACTGTCTGTTGACCTTTTCGAAAATAATCACTTATTCTCGTTGTCAATAGCATGGACCGGTGCTTGGTGTAAGTCTTCAGTGAGGTAGCATCACAAAAAAGCATCACTCATTCCCCCCCAGCATGGGTTTCCTCTGGTAACGCTGGTGCCTTCCAGGCTCTCAAAGACCCAGGCAACAATATTGCCGTCGGTGCGAACTCTTTCCTCTGCGCTGACGTTCATAAGCTAACATACTACCCCCGGTGCCAGAAATGCATCAATATCTCGATTCTGACAGCTCTGGTACATCTGCGAACTGCGTTTCTTCGACCGTCGGCGCCGAGCGCCTCCAGGTGGCAACACAGTGGCTCAAGGACAACGGGTTCAAGGGCTTCCTCGGCGAGATGGGTGCTGGCTCCAACTCGCAATGCATCACCGCCATCAGGGGTGCTCTGTGCACCATGCAAACCTCTGGCGTCTGGATCGGCTTCACATGGTGGGCTGCTGGCCCTTGGTGGGGCACTGTGAGTAATTAGGCATGCTGTCTCTTGTCTGCTGCTAATGTATTCTGCTCGTTTGTGTCCCCAGTACTTCCAATCGATAGAGCCCCCCAATGGTCCTTCCATCGCTCAGGTCCTTCCTCAAGCCCTCATTCCCTTCATTTAACTTGTTTTCTGGAGGACGGAGAGGATCGTCTGGCAAGACAAAAATTGGAAGTAGACACCATGAACAGCTGCTGTATAAGTATGGCTAATCCATCACTGATTCAATGAAAACTTTCAATGTAGCCCGCAATCAATCCTTCTCACATCGACAGTCAACGCCGGAGTGTTCTTTGGCAATCCTCACATTCGAACACCTTGGACATAGCTCTGATATGTCCATCTAACTGTAACTCTAGTACTTCGTCCCTAGCCTGTGCCCGAATTCACATACACTACTGTACGCTCTCACAACGAATACCACCGCCTGTGATCCCTGCCTTGTACTTTCCTTGGTTCCGATGCAAAAAGCTTGCGGAGTGAATCTACCAAGCTCCTCTTCGGAACATGGTCAGTTCGGTGGCGACGTCCTTGGGAACCATAAATTGGGGTCTGGAAACGAATCAGTGGATGTCGTGAAGTAGAAGTTCTTTTTGAGAGCTCACAACAAGAGGATACCCTGCGAAATATGGAGAAGCATGAGCAGGGGAAGAATACTCTACATATGTACGGGGCCGCCTTGGAGAATAAGTGGGTGGGAAAGCATAAGACCGTCGATTGTCTTTGGGAACAGTCCACCTCTGGCCGTGGTGATCCGGACGGGACAGGTGCTTGAGTTGTGCCTCTGCGTGGAAGACAGGTCTGCTCTGGGATTTGAATGGGTCTGCCGGCGCATATTTTCGAGTGTCATCGATCCATTGTACGACGCGCTCCTGGCTTGAGAGGTAGCGGCGGAGGGCTTCAGGCGAGAAATCGTATTCGGTCATGTTGTGGTAGGGTGTGAGAGAAGGATTTCTACGCGTACTCTATAAATGGAGGAACTAATGGCATGGTAAGAAGAAGGGCTCCAGTGCTATAAAGACGCTTTGACTGATGCGCTTCTGGTTCTGAACTAGCCAATGCACACTACTCTCGTATGTTGCAGGGCGGAAAGATTAGGGAGTCATTAAAATTATTCGCTCGGCTTCCACGTCTCTGTAGATTACACACTGTCGGAATATTAACTGAAATGAATCTCGTGTACAGCTCATGAAATTCCAGCAGATCATTGATCGTATTAGGCGCCCGTCGGCCATCAAGTTATTGCGAGCGAAGCGAGCATCTATCGGCTCTAAGGGCTGGAGGCCCGGACAAACAAATACAAATTCTACGCGAGATCAATTTGGCCCCGGACTACTCGGATTTTCTCATACGCCTCAGAATGCCCCCGTTTGCTTATTGTTAAGGTAGAAATGGAATTAGATTCCTGGAATTGATACATGTATCAAAAAAAATCTAAGGTTTTCGTTCCCGTTGTCAAGATTTGGCGCACAACATCCCCGTTGGGCTCTGAGGCCGTCTTGGGTGCGCCGTTCTTATGCAAAACCGTAAGGATTCAGATCGGATGGGGTCAGGAAAGGGGGGGGGATTATCAACAGGGTACTCCTCTATTGACCTTTCCAGAGCCAAGTTGTCCGATGGGATGATGATTGTCAATCAGTGTTAATCAACTGTTGAGCAGTTGTGTGGAATGGTGGATTAATGTACATCTCTGGCATTGTCTCGACAGTTGTGGACTATATAATTAGGTTTATATTGGTGTCCTATGATAAATTATACAGGAAATCGAGAACTAAATTTGGCGAAACTCTGTGTGCGCAGCGAGCCTTCCCCGCTGAATAGCGGATGCTTAATTCATACTCCGACATCTCGGCAAACATCATGGCCCCTGGGATCATCAAACCCTGGTCCAAAACGCTGAGCCTGCTGTACTACAACTTTCGGAGCTTGCTGCCCCATGTTGCAGCACGTAGATCAGGAGGCAAAAGATGTAGTATTAATACCTTCATTCTATTTTACATACTAATTTCCGACACTCAGGATCCCAAGTTGTGGAAATGTGGCGATCCATACCAATATCCAATTCCGAAACCCGAAGGAAATCCCTGGGAGGTGGTGCTGGATGCTCTGATGAAGAAGGACAAGGTGCAGTGCGATGCATGGAAGGATGAAGTCCAAAATCTTTTGATATTCGTGAGTGGTGAATCTGTGCTATGTTCCAATGAGTCATCGGCTCAGAGCGGCCTCATAACTAGACAGGCGGGCCTCTTCTCTGCAGTCGTCACTGCATTCGTCGTCGAGTCATGCAAATCCCTTCTTCCCGATTCCTCAGATGCCTCGGTTGTCCTACTTGCCCTTATTGCAGAACGGCTCGATGGCAATTCGACAAGCACATCGCTATCATCCAAGCTGCCACAGGCTCTTGAAGCATTCTCCCTCGACTTGACGCCATCATCTTCTACAGTCCGCGTCAACACGTTCTGGTTCCTCAGCCTCGTGCTCAGCTTAACCACGGTCCTCGTCGGTATCGTGTCTCTCCAGTGGTTGAGGGAACACCAACGCTACAGCGAGACCCTGACGCCACGTCAGGCCCTTGCGATTTTCCACATGCGTGCAGCCGCCTTAGAGGACTGGCATGTGCCGACAATATTCGCTTCCTTGCCTTTACTCCTTCAAATAGCGCTGGTCCTATTTTTTGCTGGAATAATCGACTTCCTGCTCTCGCTTTCAGTTCTGATCGGCATTCTTGTGGGCATCGTGCTCGGTCCGGCAGTTATTTTCATCCTTCTCACCACCGTCCTTCCCGCGCTGCAATGCTTTGCAATTTCTCTTCGCATCCCTTCTTCCAACGCCACCGTCCCTTCGCCCTGCCCTTACAAGTCCCCTCAAGCCCTCATCTTCCGCCGGTTACTCACCATGTCGAGACGGTTGTTTGACCTGATGCACAGCGCATCCATGTCCACCAAATATTACCTACTTTTCTTCGATAAGTCGTTCCTATTCGCTCATCGTAGCCTGAAAATCGCGGCGTGGCGGTACCGGCTCTTCCCTGATCGTGCGTATCTCTTCTGGGCTCAACGAACATGGGTAGACTTCGATCGGACATGGCTGATACTCCGTAACGAACACTTCGATATCACTCGCAAACGATCGAGTGGCGACCTTTCCGCTCAGTCTATGAACACCGAACCTATCTACGACTCTATTCGGGGCCTAGCAAGCGCTGCACAGGGCAACGAACATCACGAAAACATCATTTTCTCCGTTTATCACTGCTTTCAAGACCTCTCCCAGTCAATGCTCGTTGAGGAATGCGAGTATACGCATCATCACCTTCAAGCCTGTTTCCGTGACTTGGTACCAACGTGGAATTCGCCGATCGCGAACATTGCTTCACTTCTGGAAAGTCCCTCCCTCGACCTTCTTCACGATATACACACGGTTCTCTTTCTTCGTGTGCCAGGCATTTTCTACAAGGCAATCAATCCTGCTCATGTCCTCGGAAGACACATGCTTGAACTACAAACACGTATATTGGTCTATCTGTACGCGGATGAACCCCGAAGGCTTGTCAGCAACGCCCTGGACAGTTCAACAGGATTCTTTCATTGGTACACAATCAACATGGCCTCACTCAATATGTCCCCAGAAACGCAAGATGGTAGGTGTCTTGACTCCCTTCAATTTATTCGTTCTTCGATTGAAAAGTTCTCCATGTAGCTTTCCTACAACCACAATTTTTCGCTCTTTTCAAGTCGTTCGTGGGGCAGGCGTCCACTATCTCATGCCCGGACGACGTAGGCAACACATTCCACACGCACCCGGACCTCGACGACTTCGTCTCTCTCGCATCCTTCCTTATATGGCATATAGCTGATCGAACACCCGACAGCCAGGCCTGCCTTATTACGCTCTCTTCGACGCTGGATCTCATCGAGGATGGACTCTCCGCACCAGACAAAAGCTCTCAAGCAGGTTTCGCCTCCCATCATGCCGACTTCCTTTTCTGGTGCGCAACACACCTTCTCAAGCGACTGTGGCAGGAACGACCCAGCCAGCGACGCTCCCGGTCGGCTAACGGCCGATCGCTGCTTCAACAGCTGGCGCGGCGCTTCGATGTGCTCCAGAAGGACGTTCTCGCGCGGTACGAGGACGTACACCTGGACACGCTCAGAATTGCCCACAGAAGGATGTTGACTACCCTCCAGAGTCCGTCCAACTACTTCACTCATGGTGGACGGGACTTTCGGTGCTATGCTCGGGAACTGGGCTCATACTCCGCTGATAAGCCTGGCGACGAGGATGACGACCCTCTTCAGATGGATATCGCCTTGGAACCTGCGAAGAGCCTTAAGCCTGACGTTGTGTCTCTAGATCTGGAGACTGCAGGCCATCGCGTAATTTCGTACGACGAGGAGTTAAGGCCTGTAACAACCATGCCAGGCGTTGATTTTGCAAATCTCAACCCCAAGGCAGATGATCTAGTATGAGACTGTATAAACATATCATCATTATCGTACGTCTGTCGCTGCAATAACAGCAAGTTTGGCATCCAAAGTTTTTGTAAATTCTGATTCCGTACCAAGAACCTGTGCAATTCTCTTTTCGGCATCCCACTCAACTCAATCGAAATGCCCAGCAGCTCCAGACGAGTGAAGAACCTTTGCGAATGCAGCATGGATTCTGAGAAAGTCAGGATCGGGGCATTCAACACTAGTGGTATCGTTGAATACCACATCTCTCCTGTGAGACAGCTGGGTTGATCGGAGAGTTCCCTTGAAGAAAACGCAACATATACCGGTTGGGCTCGTTCGGATACTGCAAACAGTCGATCTTACTATCGACCAAGAAAAAAAGGCGCTCACCGCATCCTTATCCAAATAGAATCGGAACCTCGCGAACAGGCCATGCTCCTAAGCAGTTATGAAGATGGCGTTCTGGGGCTCCATAATCTTATCACCAAAGAGCCTTTCAAAGTCAAGATATGTCCAAGACCTTAACATATCTCCACGTTCGAGCAGCAACCCTCTGTAACAAGGCTGAACAAATTTTATATGGGCTGTAACCACACCCATTGTTTCATGGTACGGAGGGAATCGCCCATTCTGCATGAAAAAGGACCCAACAAAAGTGATATCCATTTTACCAGTTATAGCACAACAGTGCCCTTCACGACGTATAACCCGACTCCAGAGAGAGACCTGCTTTTCACGAGTGCTGGGCGAGATCTTGTCTTCAGTTGCGTCCAGGGTTGGTGTTTGAGTACTGCTGAGTTCAGGCTTTTCTGCCCTGTAGATCGTCAACACTAGGTATGCAAGCATCGGTATGAGCTCGTCAGAAATACCAATGAAAGGACTCACTACGATAATGCATCCATTCCTTCGCTACATTGACCACCGCCTGCGCCCCCTCATCGTTCGCAATGCATAACACTACAGCAATGTAGCGCTTGCCGCCTTCGTGAAGAGCAGGATCCAACATCGCATGTAGCAGCAAGCTATGGCCGTCGCTGGCGCTGTCCAAGGCGTCGCGATGTGTGTCGCTAATTTCTTTGGCATCTGAGCAGAGCAGTTCGGTTGTATAGCTGCAATCGCAGAAAGTCGAGTACTGTTCAGGAGCAGGTATTGAGCAGTGGGATCTCACCAAGAACTGCATCACTTCCAAGAACTTTCACATCGACTTGAAGCCAGTTGAGCGCCTAATCTTGCCATCGCCCTCTCTGAGCCGGAGAGTATTCAAAATCATGTTCAGGGTTGAGTAATGGCCTATCTTTGAGTGCGCGTGGTTGTGTTCATGCAGTGTCACCAACTTGCAAAAACTCGAGGTCATGTTCAAGCTAGAACGGCTTCTCGAGACTACACACTAGGGACCTTGGATGACCTTCAGATGTTCGACAAAAGTAGGGCAGGGAAATGTCCACCTGGTCTCTAGAATGGAGGCAGGACATGGAGAGGACTATATTTGCTTTCAATTGCAGTCTTCGACATTTGCATGACGAGATCGTGCCCCTCCAGGCCTAAAACTGAGCGCCCAAGAATATCGCTGCGCAATAAAATGACGCGCCAGACGCGTCAGAGTATGACCTCACGACATTGGGCATCTAAATCACTGGCTTCGAAGACCCTGAACAAAGAAAGACTCTCGCAACTGCGAGAGGATGCCGCCACAAAGCTGGTCATCTGCACTATCTGCTCTGGAAGATAGGCAAACGCATGGAGAAAGGCGATTATCGCGAGGTTGCCACGGGGTGCTGGAAGATATCGAATGGGGGATCGTTTCAACAAGGAGCTCCGACCCGCAGCGAGCCAGGGTGTATGGGCGTTGATGAAACCCACAGATGCAAGGGTTTGAATAGCTTCACCGAAGCCTAGAGCGTGTGTTGGCCATGCATTCGAGGCGTTGCGATTTGACTGTTGTGATAGACAGAACGCATGAGTCATCTCTGAAGTCTCGGACATGCTGCCTCCTACGCGTTCACCACAAGGCTACCGCTCTGTCGGTTCCACGGCATCCCCACGGCGGCCGTTTATAAACCTGTCTATTCCTGCCTCTGTTATCGTTGCATGCAACTCTTATTCGCATATGTCTCGAGCTTGACTTCTAACCTCACCGTCAACACCAACATCAAATAACCAGAAGACCTTGCTTGCCATTTCTCATGATCTCCGCGTCATCCTCGACCTCGACAGCCACACAGACAGTGGCCGGTCCAAGTTCTGCTAGTAGCACTGCTAGCTCGAACGAATCAGCTCCACTCTTGCAAAAAGCTGATGGACGCCAGAGTAGTAGTGGAAGCGGGAGAAGGAGAAGGAAGCCGTTTTATCGCGCGAGACCATTATGGTGAGTAGCACAATTCCCTCAACGCCGGTCAGGCTCCTGTACCCCGCATTGACGGGAGCTAATTGCCACTTGCTAATACAACTTTCGATAGGCTTGTACCGTTTGCAGTAACCGCCGCGCTGGTGAGGGGCATGACCCTCGCCCCACGCGTCGGGGTGCTCACTCAACTCGCGTGCACTCGTCTACACGGGCGTGGTGACTGGAATCATACCCAGCACGCGCCGTCTCCTTCAAACTCTCTACAGCTATCATCTTTATCGGATTCATATCCAGATTTCGACTCTGGTGCACTATCAATAAGTGCCAGAACAACTTTGTTAGCCGCCCTTGACCCCGTTGGCCCGGTTATCTACGCCTCCACCTTCTTTCCTGACCCTATTTCCCTCAGTAATGATACGACCCTACGACCTCTCCAAGTCCCAACCCAACCACCGCCCACAAACTGTGCTGCGGACCCAGCGGTGCAGGCTGGTGCTGCACGACTGCAGACCCTCATGAGCACAACGATGGGGTTGCTTTCTGCACTGACAACGGGCTGGTGGGGACACTTTGGCGAGCGGCATGGACGTACGCGAGTGCTCGCGATAGCGACGTTTGGGCTAGTCATAACGTTCGTTTTCTGCCCTCTTCATTCTTCCTTTCATTGACCTTGCTTCATACAGTGATCTGACCTTCATCCTGCTTTCTAAAGACCTGGCCCACCCGTCTGTTACACCCGTCATCCTGCTGCTCGCCCCTGCCGTCGAAGGTGCTCTGGGAGGCTGGTCGACGCTCCAATCCGCAACCTCAGCCTATCTGAGCGACTGCACCTCGCCGGGTTCACGAGCAGGCATCTTCTCGCGCTTCACGGGTGTGCTCTACCTCGGGTTTGCTGTGGGGCCGTCCTTGGGCGGTTGGCTGCTACGGCAACCTTTCACCCTCTTTGGGTCCGCGAGCCAGGGCACGAACGTCACCTCGGTGTTTTACGTTGCTGCTTTATGGAGTCTCGTGAACTTCCTGCTCGTGCTGCTGGTATTTCCGGAGTCGTTGAGTCAGGAGCGGAGGGCGAGGGCGATGTTGATATACACCAGGCATGATAGGAAGGGGAAGAACCGAACGTTGACGGTGTCGGAGGGTGCTGCGGGTCTGGATGACGTCGACGTTGAGGTGGCTGGTGTGCGGCGAGTTGTAGTTGGAGAGGAGGACGAGCCCATCACCCAGGGGCAGGAGCAGGAGCAAGATCAGAGGGACGAGCGCAAAGGGCTGCTTAGCCAATTCTTGGGCCCTCTCGCTGCCTTCCTACCGGTTCTCGTGCTCGACTCATCTGGTCTCGGGAGGAAGAAGCGGGACTGGAGCCTGACGCTCCTCGCAGCTGCCCTTTTCGGGTTCATGCTTTCGATGGTACGCCGCGAGGTTTGTATCGAGAGTCCGTAGCTGACGCAGGCTTTGAATAGGGTGTGTACCAGATCAAGTACTTGTACGCGACGCACACATTCGATTGGGGCCCGGAGCAGCTGAGCTACTACATCTCGTTCATGGGGGGCGCTCGTGCGCTATTTCTGCTGTTCATCCTGCCCAGTGCGTCTTTTTTGCGTCTGGGGTGCTTTGTATGAGTTGACCCGGTCTCCCTCAGCTGTTATCGGTTTCTTCAAGCCCCGACCGATCTCTAATCCAATTGCCAACACCCAGAAGGGGTCAAAGAATGTGAATGTTCCAGCTACAGGCAAGGGAGTCAGCATCAAGTCAAAGGGCAAGAAACCGAAACCTACGCGTGCGCAGCTCGGGCAGGAGATTGCATTCGACCTGACACTGACGCGGTGCTCGCTGATGATCGACATTGCGTCACACACGCTTGTGGCTCTGCTGCCTGCACCAGGGTACAAGAGCCATGTGTCGGTGGCGGGTCATGGGCACGGCGGGCACGGAATGAGCTTCGGACAGGCGGAGGCGGCGTTCGTCGTCGCGTCGTCGCTGAACAGCATGGGTAGCGGTGCGGTGCCTGCTATCCAGAGCCTGGCGCTGTGTGTGATGCAGGTGCGGGCGATGGACGAGAGGCGAGCTCGGGGCGAGGGAGAAGACTCGGAGACGGAGGGGAGCGTGAAGGAGGAGGGCACGGGGCCGCTATTCGGGGCACTGGCGGTGCTGCAGGCGATCGGGCAGATGATTCTGGGGCCGATGCTGTTCGGGCTGGTGTACAGCGGGACGGTGGCGCGGTTCCCGAAGGCGATCTTCGTGACTGCAGCGGCGATCCTTATGTGCGCGCTGCTGCTGCTGCTGGCGGTACGGAATCCCGTCCGGCCGGTGTATCCTGGCCGTCGGAATGGCAAGGGCAAGAGGCGAGAGAGCAGGGATGTCGAGCGCGGGCGTTCGAGGGTGAGCAAGGACCTCCGGGGTGGTGCTGTTGGGTATGGGGCGACGAGCGAGGGCTCGTAGCCTCCTGGTAGTAGTATTTATTGTAGCTGGTATAATGTGTAAACTATAATAGAGTTCTCTGAGCAGATTAGAATTCTAACGTTATCTGAACCATTCTTTTCAAAGTCAATGACTGCCAGAAACCACCTGAGATAACTGCCTCCCGTTCTGACTTGCAATATTGTCTTGCGGTCGCAGTTATTGTTCTGACCATGAAATTCTCTGCGCCGTCCAATTTGAAGGCAATTCTTCATGTTACTTATGCATACTCCTTGCACATCCTGTGTATGACACTGGGAATATATCCAGGCTATGCATGTCTTAATAATAACAAGCTAGTACTCGTTACTCTAATTAAGCTTTGACCCCTTTCTCCGGTTCTCATTCTTCGTCGAATCCGCCATAGAAGAGAAGCAATTCATGCAAAAGATATCAAGTAGAAACTCCCATGTTTTCCCTGGACTTCTATTTCACAGGTCATCAAGTTGTTAGCCAGCCCAGTTGAAGTTAGGGACGGTTCGGCCGTGTTGACCGAACAATAAGGGAGCGTAGCAATTATGTTTCCTCACGCACGCTGTTTCTTTCAAGACGAGGGGCCGAACATTCCAGTCGGCATTGGTGTCTACCTCTAGTTAAGTGCCAAGGTCTCAACCGTGGATGAAGGCGAAGAGATCTGAAGGGATAGGTGTAAAAATAGACAGAGGAAAGAGAATAAACGGAGGAATGACATCGGAGGAAGAGCGGACCGGGGACCAAACAAATGACAACAGTTGTGCAGCGTTTCAGTTAGGCTGATATCACCATCTCAGCTAGCAGCCACCGTCTGCTCTCCGCCGCCAGCATGAACGGCCACCACAGCAACGCCGTTGCTGGGCCCTCAACAATCCGCTCTCCTCCTCCTCCGCCCCCACTCTCCTCCCACAGCCGCAATCCCTCTGGCTCATTATCCTCCACACACCCCACCCCTGCCCCGACCTTTCCTCTGTTGTTCCAACCTCCGCCCGGTGTGTTCTCTCTTCACTGGGAATCAATCGGTCCATCGGAGACTTATGCTTTTGTGGATCACACAGCCCCCCCACCGCCGCGCCAGCACCTCCACAGTACACAGGACCTCCTCGCGCGCTTCAACCTCCTCCCAGCATACCAGAAGTACGTCAGCTCGCCTCTAGGGATCCTGGGCGAGTCGGGATTGGGTGATGCACATGCGGGACAGACCGCTGCGACGCCGGATAAGGGGAAGGGAAGGGATATGGGCACGGGCTTGGGTGGCGCGCCGACACCGGCCGCGGGTGACGTCGACATGGTCGATGCCCACGATGCCGACGACGACGATGCCGCAGGTGGCAAGGGCGAGAAGAAGCGAAAGAACACCTACAAGCACTTGATTCAAGGTGTTCCTGGTGCGTTGTTTTTTTCTTTTCTTGTTCGGACCTTGTCCGACAGACCAACTGTGGTCGATGGTTTGGTTCGAACATGGGCTCACGCAATCGTCGTATCTGTAGGAAGGCACTCTTTCAAAAAGGATGACTACTTGACGACGATGATGCTCATGCCGCCAAAGCAGCGGGTGCGGATCCATCGCTTTGACGAACGGACACGGGAGGAGGCGTTTTCGGTCAGTCTGGAGGGTCTCAAAGGTGTACGTCTCTTCTCTTTTAACTCTCTAATCTCTTCTTCATATCGGCCCCGCCTATACCATTCTCACCGCGCCCTCAGTGGAATGTTAACACACTCGTTGTCGAGTCGGCCCAGGCCCGGGAAGACCGGAAAAAACGGGTGCGTCCTCTAATCCTCACACTCGCCAGCTGGCAACCACTAATTAGTAACCGACCATGTGCCTCCCTTACTCGTCCCTTCCTGCCTCGACTGTCCGACGTCGACCCATTCGTCCATTATTCTCCTCGTCGTTCGATCCGGACCTACCCAACCGACCTATGATGTACACAGAAGGAAGCCAAGCGCGTGGCGAAACTGCAAGCTCAAGCAGGCCAGCTGCCTGGAGCGACAGCCGGAACACCATTCTCAGGACCTCTCACTGCATCGACACCCATCGCACACCCTCAGCCCATCCAAGCACCGATACCCACGCCTGCCTCCGGAGCATCGGTACGGCGGATGTCAACGCCGCAAATAGGCATACCCCGAGCTGTAGTAACTGGCACACCAAGACCTGGTTCAAGAGCTATAACAACACCGACGACAAATGTCGTCTCCGCCCCTCCTACGACGGCAGCTAATGGACAGACTGTGCCACGGCCGACGTCGACGGTCCCCCGGCCAGGTTCAGGTGTTCCCAGGCCAGGCTCAACAGTGCCGAGGCCTGGATCGGCGGTGCCACGGCCGGGTTCTCAACACCAGCAGCCGGGTGCCAAACTCCCGAACGCAAACAACATAAATGCAAGTGCTGGTACGAACATCGTACGGAGCGGCACGCCTATGGACGTCAGCACAGACCAGTACGGGCAACGGGGGAAGAAGCGCGAAAGGGAGGAAGGCCCCGGGGTTAGCGCGAATGGTGTCAATGGAGTGCGTACGAATGGAACTTCGTACGTCAACGGGAATGGTGTATCGAATGGGCACGGCGTGCACCAACACCAGCAGCGGCCTATTCCTATGGGGGTCCCTACTGCAGGAGGAGCTCCTGCGGGTGGTGTGGCAGCAACTGCGATGAACGCAAAGGCGGGCACAGGCACCATCCGGCCCCGGCCGATCAAGAAGCAGCGTGTGGTTAGTATTACTCGATTCTTTTCTTACACTCGTTGCGGGGCAGTTTTATCTGAACTTCTTTTGGTTCAATAGGATGTGCAAGGGCAAGCGAGAGATGTTGCGCCGGTGCAGCAGCCTACGCCACAAGGGGTGTGAAGTGAAGACATTGCGGGAAATGAACGTCGAAGAACGTCGACTGACGAACGAAAACGAAATGCTATGAAAATTAAAGGATTACGAGTCATACGCTATGAAGACTGCCGCAAATCGCATGGCTGCAAGATTTGAGCTTCGAGTGAATCTACTTACCACTGCATAGGTTTATGCGTGTATATGCCGGTATGCGTATGCCCAGCCTTGTGCAAGGCCCTATGCTCCTGAGCAAGCATGCATCCCCCCTTCCTACCCTCTTCCTCCTGTCCTTTATCCCGTCGCTACTCCTGCCTCACGCAACGACGCGACGATCGTACGCCTCCATGGCCGTGCCACTTATGATCTTGAAGGAATGGACACGTACACCTTATGCAAAGATGGATTGGTGGTTGAAATGGCTTTGTAGGCCGACCTTTACCTTCGAAGACGATGGAACAGCTGACGGCATACCTCGAACGACACGATGGGTCGCACCTATCACAATCTCTACCCGCCTCGTAGTTTGGACCTGGCCTTACCGTCTCCTCGGATATCTTGGTCGTCATGCACACTATTGTGCTTACCTGAACGAGGAGTAACTACGAAGAGTATCAGTGCCCTACCTGGGATCTCTGCGTTTGCTGCGGGATCCACTCTCCCATGTACCAACGCCACATCAGCTAGAAAGGCGCCAGTCAACATCCAGCCACTTCCTACTCTCCTACCTTCCTCCCTCCGCCTTCCTAACCTCCAGCGTTACCTGCTCCCTCTTGTCTCTATCCCAACCTTTTCTCAGAACTCTTTGCTTCTTTTTTATTCGTTAATGTCATCCCTCTTCTGCTCCATCCATCCCATCCATCCATCGTATCCACTCGCCATTAACCCTGATTCTCCCTCCGCCTTCTACACGTCCCTCCATCTCTCGCCCATCCATAATCATACACCAGCACCTCAATCATCCAGACTTACAACATCCAGAATACCATTTCTACCCAATCCCATTTGATCACGAATCACGTCATCTCATCTCTCCATTTCCATTTCTTTTGTTCTTTTTTACAATTTGGTCTAGACTCATTGTCTTTTGGAAGAGTCTGTGTTTTGCAGGTGGTAATTCGTTGGCGTGCAATACATCTTTTTGCGTCGCGTTGTGTTCGCAGATCTTTCGTCGTCGTCGCAGTCGAGTGGAGAGGGCAACGGTATGGAGGAAATGTTTATGGGTACGAGACATTCTTCACGCTTCAAGCTTCAAAACCGTAGTCTCTTATATCTCGGGCATGAACGTTGAACTGCGAGATTCATATTCGCTGTTGTGATTACGCCGGTAACTCGAAACACTGCTGCAATCTATAAACACATTTCGTTGCATCCTCCCTGGATTTCTATCGCTTCCTCTGCACTTGCGAGCACAGCGAGATCTCGTCTCCGAGTCTTGTGCCTTCGCGGGTGGACTGAGCCGGGTCATATACCCTGCCTTCCCTATCATCCATAGTTGCGGGTCATCATGGGTCCAGGGTCTGCTTTATAGATACCATCGTGAGTGGTATCATTACATCCTAGTAATGAAATATCGTCAACCGCGAATAGATGAATAAGGACAAATGGCGAAGCATCGACGCACAGCTTAAACGATGTCATACCATGAAACTGTGCAACCTCAATCCCTGCGCCATGAATCGCAGTAACTCTGGCCACCAAAGAGTTTCAGGCTGCATCTTTCTTCGGAAAGGCAAGACAATAGGCAAGGCGGCATCCCACAAGTCGAAGTCACCAATAGCCTCTGAATAGAAAAATCGTCGATGATCACTATACCCAGGGAGCGCCCTAAACCTCGATAAAACACTGGCACAATATCGGCAGTATGGTGGTCCAAGATTTCATGGAGAGATCAAGACGCTTGTATGTCGCTGAAAAATACAGCTTGGAGATGTTTCGACTGCATAATTTTGTACATGAGCAAGTGAAAAAGACGTCAAAAGAAATGTACGCGCACTGTGGCCTGACAATATTAATTGTGAACGTCTTCACATTTTGTTCAGCGGAACGGTAGTGATAGGGTATCCCTTTAAAAAGAAAGGTTATTTCGACCATCTTGATTTGGACGATTCGAGACGGTTTTTCTAGCGGGGCCGCGGGAGGTCCTCAAGATGTCGAGACGAGAAAAGGCTTCCGGGAAATGCCGTACTGTGCCTTAGCTCAATTTAGGACTGCATAGCCCTTCGTAGAGCAGACCAGGAGCAGACGGGCTAGTGTTTTCCTGTTCTTAGCCTTCACGCTCCCTGAAACGCTGGCTCGTCTCTTGAAAGAAGTATTGAACACCAGTGAGCTCTTTTTGCTTCTCTCCATACGGCAAGGTCTGAGGAAACTGTGTCCTCTAAGTGTTCTCTGGCAACTTATTGGAGTGGCACCTGGAGTCCTCTGAATTTATGCAACGCTCGGTGGAACTTTTCAGCGTTGCGGGAAGCCTGCGAACTTTCTTGCACGCCAGTCATGAACGTTCGAAGATACCATAACTCCTGTGCATCATGCTATCATACAATGATCATCATTCGGCTCTTGGGCAGGTCAGTTAAATTTACTCGTACTAGAAGATGACTTCGACGATCCGACCGCTCGTCATGGTCACCCTTAGTTTGCAAGCCGCAGCATCAGATGTCGCCGCGAAACCCCTCTCAATCAAAGGCACGATAATCCAAAACCAGTCACTGATACAACGTGTCCCCCTCTTATAGGATTTTGGAGCTGGTTTAATAGCTGATGAAGGTCTTAACCTGGTCTGAAGTTCAGTGTTGTCTCAAGATCAGACCGAAGGTATTATTCAACTGTCCGTCCCATCGTACCTGGTGGCGCATCGACATTCTGCAGTACTTTCTCCTCGGCATCCTTTTTTCAACCGGAAGCGTTGCGGTTTTTTTTAGAGTGATGAACCACGAAGTGAAGCAGTCGAATGGCCGGGCGGTGATCCATTACCATGAAGCCACTTCCTCTGGATCAACTCAGCACCTCTTCTGCACCGAATAAACCTTGTTCGACGTCGAGGAAATGGAATGGCACTGTACTTGATCCTTCGGCCACGAATGAGTTCCTTGTCTTCTCTTCGCCCATGTCTCCCAGCTATGGCACCTACTCGTTATATGGTCCTGCAATTCGAGGCCTGAATGCCAGTGAGGTCAGCTCCGTTACTCTATCTCTCGAAACCGATTCCGTTGAACTGCCGCTGCCTAAATTGTGCCTGATGACGGCAGGCTCCGTTGGAGGAAGCATCGGCCCAGAAATTATCCGTTTTATCATTGCCTGGAACGTGATCCAAGCCGTCGCATTGGGCATCCTCTCTGCTATCATCCTAACGGTTTTATTCTCCCCCATTCGCCGTTCTGCAACGTGGATACTGTTTGTCTCGTCAGGAATCGTCACTGCGGCGAGTTATCTGCTTCTCGTGATGCGCCAAGTAGGGCCAGATCCTCCACGTACCCTCTGCGTCATACAAGCCATGCTTGTGTATGCATGCCCACCATTGTGAGCGCTATCAATCTATTCAGTACTCCAGCTGTGCACTTATCCTTGTCTAGCAATGCTGTTTGCGCGTTTTCGTTCATGTTGCAGGTGACCGGCCTTGAACAATTGATCATGCCCACTACTGAGAAGCAACAAAGCTACTTGTTGATAAGATCGCTCAAGCACTCAGAAACCGCATCCTCGACAACAGATTCACCCGTGGCAACTCGATTTTGGGTATGAATATGTTTGAACACTAATGTTTCGAAGAATGACACCATTCCAAAGTTCTGGCTGCCCCTTTCGTCGTTTTTGGTGCTATACCCCTCGAGGTTTCCTTGTGCGTTCCAACAACTGCCGCTTTGAATCGGGGTGACCTCTCTTGACTAGATTCACCTCCACGACCCGTCTAGTCTCACCAGAGATCTAAGCGGTATGTATTGCTCATTGGGAAGAAATCGTATACCGTGAGTTCCTCGTACTTGCTTAGCTCGTATCTAGTATCCTGGATATACGGTCTCTTCTTGCAGGATAAGGATCAGCGGGGCAATCGTGGCGACATTCATGATGGCAGTGGTGGTTCTTGAAAGTAAATTAGCGTCGAATTTGACGTACGATTCCCGTTCAAACCTTCTCATAGTCGTCATCTTCATCAAGCTACGGCCGGATTGGCATCGAAATATGCAGGTCCTCGCAGGAACCATTGCGTCGCCAAGGATTCTCTTCAGGGTGGTTATATTCACCCTTTTCTCCGCTGCCGCCATGGGATTAAGGTAAGGTGAGGGTCACTACTACACATTGCACACTAATAATATACCTCAGTTTTGCTTTCTCGGGAACCTCATATGAGTCTTACACGCCGAGAAGTGCAGCGCTTTCAAACATGGTTGTTGCCCTAAGTAAGCCCACCCTTCTTCGATTTGACGGACTATTAAATGAGTGTCGATAAACTAGTGCCGCTCTCGGAGGGGTTGATTTTTGGGACACAACATGTGAGTTTCATGACTGCAACCAACTTTGCGTCAATTGACAGTGGTTAAGGATATTCTGGGAGTCTGGTTGTTCTGGCGGAAGGACCTCTCCTATCAGTAACCAAGATGTTGGACGGAGAATAAAAGCAGAGCGGTTTCTCACCTTTTTTCAAAAAAAAAAGTGGAAGTGCCACATGGCGCCTATCCCATCGCTCCGTCGCTCCCCCGGTCTCTCAAATTTGCATCCTCCAAAACAACGACTGTTTCCTCACTCGTCCGAGGTCAAGGCGCTGTGTGCCAAGAACGATGAGCGAAGATGACTTCGAATTCTATACAAGACTACTCCTGACCCTTGCAGGTGGGAAATTATATCGCCAAGTTTGGCGGTGGTGCTGAAGTCACCGTCGTTATCTCAAGTTTAGCACGAAGACATTATCCCTCATTTACTTTACGTCCACCATCATCTTGACCCAAGAAAGCCTACAGAATCAGATTCTCTTTCGTGGACGCCCTCTGGTTCTGATATCAACCCAAAATAGACGATTTTGACAATCCACGAGCTTGAAGTCACAAGCTCGCTGTCTCCAATCACAAGACACTCGTCCCTTATAACGGCCTGTTCTTAACGTCCAAATTATCAACAATACCGGCACCCACTGCAAGGTCCAAGAAGACGGGATGTCATGTCCCACAAATCGATTCGATAGAGAGAATGTTGCTTCAAGTTGACCTGAGCTGAGTGTTTCCTCAGATATGATAGATAACAGTGAGACCTTTAATTAGATCGTCGAACAACCCTCATCCTGATGGTTGTCGAAAGGAATGAATCCTCATGCGTCTGACCCAAAGCCTTCCATCAGTGTTGCTGCGGTTGAATCTCCCATCATTTCTCTCCTGTTCATATGACAGGTAGGATGAAATGCCTACTTTTGTGGATCAGGCGGGCCTCTTCTTTATGTCTCCCATACCTCTCCTGTTCACCAACGCCTCGCTTTATACTGTGAATGTGTGGGGCCTCAATCCTGATGCAGTCAGTAATTGCATACCTGGGCATTGAGCACCGCTATTGACATCTTTCATCCAGGTGATATCAGAGGAGAGGTTGGCCCCAAGGTCTGCACAGGCTGCGACAAACCTTGCTCTTTTCAGTTTCATCCCATACATCCTTGCCTGGAACATCCTTCAGGTTTCAGGAATTGTCCTTCTTTCCGCCACAGTCCTTACCATTTTTTTTTCTTCAATTCGCCATTCGTCCACATGGATCCTGTTCCTATCATCTGCAATCCTTTCCGCAGCAAGCTATCTACTTCTTGTGACAAAACAAGTTGGTCCAGCCCCTCCCCAAGCTCTCTGGCTATGCTGGTATATGCATGTCCAGTTCTGTATGTCCAACTTCCCTGAGTGAAGTTATATGCTTAGTTCTGCCTAGGAACGGGACTTCAGCGCTCTCATTTGTCCTACAGGTGAATCGTGATTAAGCTAGGACAATTGGTTGTGATCGTAACTGAGAAGCAGAAGACCTATCTGTTAATGGCATCTCTCAAGAACTCGTCAACATTATACCTATCGCATGCGACTAAAATATGGGTGTGTCAAATATCATGAGATTCATAACACAATCTCGCTAAGTGCTTATTGAATGCGCAGCTACTTATATTACCCTTTGTCGCATTTTCTGGAATACTCATTGAGGTCTATCTCGTACGTCCGGCGGACTTTCACGACTTTCACTTGCATCAGCAATAACCTCATTGCACAGGTATACTTGGGAAACCCCTCTGCTCTCAAGAGGGAGTTAAGTGGTATGTATTGCTTGATGACAGGAAGTCGGATGCCGTGAGCCCTTCCATCATTAACAGTGTAGTGGCCACTAGCTCACGGCTTCTGCATCCAGCGTTAGGATTACTGGTGCAATCATGGCGACAACTTTGACCGTTGTAGTTATTCTCCAAAGTAAAGTCCCTGAAATACCGCATCTCATCCATCCTATTGTTAATAAATCCCACAACAGTAGTGATATTCTTCAGGTTGCAGCGGGATTGGAAACAGAATGCTCTGATATTGGCAGGGAGCAATGCCTCCCCGAGAGTTCTCCTTTGAGTTGTAATTGTCGGGTTTGTCTGTGTCGGCGTAATGGGGATAAGGTTCAAGGTACAAAAATAATACATGCAGAGATTCTGACAGTTATTCTAGCTTTGCATTTGCAGGAATCACATCAGACTCATACACACTGAAAGGTTCAGCACTGTCTAACATAGCTATTTCATTCAGTATGTCCATGTCTCCCATCTCTTGTCCCCGACACAGAACTCCTTATTGACTAATAATGATCAAAAGTGCCTCTTGCAACAGGTTTGGCCTTTGCAACCCAACAAGTGAGAAGTATGACACTTTGTCGGCAAAATTCATTAACCTTCTTTGAATAGGACATTCTGTGTATCTGGATGTTTTGGTGGAAGGTTAAATCACGATAGACACCAGGGTAGCACACATATGTATAGAGTTGCAAGCTCAGTGTGGATGGCAACGGGCAAATGCCTGCGTGGCTGACTCAGGAATAATTCACCCTTCCCACTTGTCCTTCTTTGGGGTTATCTCTGATCAATGGCGCCACGTGATAAGTAATAAGCGCTAAGCACTGACTGGCGCTATCAGCTATCAGCTCCAGTTTGGTTGAAGAGCGAGAGTGATGAGCTCAGACGTTGCACGATGTGAACGACTCTAATTGAGAATATAACTACCTGAAGAGCGAGAGTGATGAGCTAGGGTAAGGTAGTTAGTATATGCGTAGGGATAGACCAAGTAGGATATAGAGCTCACCTCAGATGTTGCACAATGTGAACGACCAAGGTGGCGGGGCTGTCAGGTCAGGTATAAATAAGAATAATAAAATCAAATAGCAGTCGACTGCGGGCGGATGTAGATAAGGTAGGAGATGGTGTAAGGTATGGCAGCGCCAAGGCATCGAGGGAAAGAAAGAAAAGGAAAGCCCACCATGGCGGTGTGCACGGGAGCTGTACCTAGTCTCCCTCAACACTCCCCCAGACAAGGTAGCTCCCATGAACCTACATGTTGGTGGCATTGTTGAGCTGTAGTGCATGTATGAACCTCTCATGGGCTGCTCACGGTAATGGCTTTGTCAAGATATCTGCGATATTTGACTCTGTTGGAATCCTGATGACCTCCACATCACCTTCGTTGACCTGTTCACAAATGTAGTGGTGCTTCACGTGGATGTGCTTCACTTTTGTGATGCCCTTCACATTTTTCGCCAGGTCGATGGAGCCTTTGTTGCCGCTGTAGATCTTTGCAGGTAATGTTTGTTCCAGGCCTGCCTCACTCATCCATTCTTGCATCCACACTGCTTGTTGGCAGGCACGGTTCAGTGCCATGTACTCCGCCTCTGTTGTAGAGGAAGCAGTGGTTGCCTGTCGCTTTGAGCTCCATGCGACTGGTCCACCTGCCATGGCAAAGATGTACCCGCCAGTAGAGCGCATCGTGTCAGGATCGCTGGCATAGTCTGAGTCTGAATGTCCAGAGACATTGAGGCCATCAGGGGAGTTTGGGTCATAGGTGATTTTGTAGTGAAGTGTGCCCTTGACATATGCGAGTACGTGCTGGAGTGCCTTCCAGTGTGTTGGTATCAGGAGAGGAGGTTGACAGCAAAGGAGAGGTCAGGTCGGGTTCCAACTTGTAGCCACATGATGCACCCTAACGCCTCTCGGTATGGCTTGTCCTTCATAAAGAGTGTGTTGTCTTCTGTGCGGGGGGCATTGAGCTCCAAGAGCTCGATTCCACAGGGGAGCGGTGTTGATTTCGCGTTGCAGTCTGACATCCCAAAGCGTTCAAGCATGCGCTCAGTGAAGATCTGTTGGGAGAGTGTAATTGCCCCCATTTTGTTGTCCTGAGTCATTGCCATCCCAAGTATGACTTTTGCTCCCCCAGTTCCCTCAATCCTCTTCACCTCGTAGCATTCCTCCATCTCTCCAATGGCCTTCTCCTTCTCCTGGATGGATGATGAGCCTCCAAGGATGTCGTCTGTGTACATGCATGTGAGGGTGTACTGGCCATTGATGAGGTGGTGCCGAACGCAGGGGTCTGCACGGGATTGATAGTATCCAAGTCCCTTGTAGGTTCTTGACAGTTTGTCCTCCCAGTCGTACACTCCCTGCATCATCCCATAGACCGTTGACTCACAGCACCATGTGCTCCTTCCCCCATACTACAAACGGCCAGGGTTGCTCCATATACACTTCGAACTTGTTGTCACTGTTGAGATACGTGGCAACATAGTCAATCTGCCATGGACTGAGACGCTTGCATGCAATGACGGCAGCTGTCATCCTCATTGACTCGAGGCGAGCAACTGAGGCATACGTCTGGTCGGAGTCAAGTCCAGGTATTTGCGTGTATCCCTTAGCCATGAGTCGAGCCTTTCGCTTGGTGATCTCCTCCCTCAGCGTCATATTTGAAGCCAAAGGTCCAGAGTGGCATGATAACATTTTTGCTGGGGGGTTGGTCGGTGAGTGTGAACACCTCTCGATGGTCCATGTTCCCCCACTCTATCTGCATTGGCTTGAGCCATAGGTCGGGTTCTCGGAGTGCTTCAACAGCGCTTCACAGGAGGTGGTGGTCTGAGGACAAGGCAAGCATTGCCATGTAGTCATCCAGCTCGGTGTGGAATGAGGGGAAGTCAGTGGCAAGCATTGTCTGTGGTTTGGAGCTGTCTGTTGCCCAATCCAAGCCATCGGATTTTGCCTGAGTCAGCCACTCCTCAGACTCATGCGACTCCAGGATCGCAGTTGTCAGGTGTGCAGTGTGCGCCAATCTTCGTGGTGCTGTGTCAGGGAATGGCAGTGTGTTGGTGGCAGTAGGGTGTGGGTCTGCTGGTGTTGCGGGTTGCATAGGCATGGGCAGTGCATCGTGAAGGACATCGGTTGGGTGAGTCTGGGGTGCCACAGGCAACGCCTCTCGGACCACCCTTCCTGGGGTCCTGTCACCAGCTTCTGTGTCATCTGTGGGTGTGGGAGCAAAGATGTCATACATGTCATCAGAATCTGTGGGGGGCGGCGCTGCTGGTAGTGTGTGATGTCCTGTCCCCTCCTCAAAAATGATGTCTTGGCTTTTGATGACCTTTCCTGTGTGGCAGTCGAAAAGTTTGTATGCGTCACGGTCATAGTAGCCAATAAGTGAGTACTTGATGGAGATAGGGCCAATTTTGGAAGGGTTCACCTCCTTTGGTACTTTGGCATATGCGGTGCATCCGAATGGGTGTAGGTGGCTGACATCCTGCCGCTTTCCAGTCCAGACCTCTGCAGGCACCTTTCCAGGGTGGCGACTCGAGGGTATGAGGTTCCTGGTGTACACTGATGTTGCCGCTGCGTCAGCCCAGAGTGATGGGGGGAGTCCAGAGTCACAGAGGAGGCAGCGCACTCCTTCAACAACAGTGTGGTTTGTTTGTTCAGGGACTCCATTTGAGGCATGCACATATGGTGCCATTGATTTGAGTACAATCCCAGCTTCTCTGCAGTACTCCTCACATGCCCAGTTCAGGAACTCCTTCCCCATGTCGAGATGCAGCTTCTTGAGCTTTCTGTCTGTCTGGTGTTCGCTCTCTGCCCGGTATTCTTTGATAGCCTGGAGGGTAGCGTCGCCTGATTTCTCAGAGAGGAAGTAGGCCTTACAGAAGGAGGATGCATCATCAGTGAAGACCATGAGGTACCTGGCTCCCCCCGTTGACCGTACTCGTGTGGGTCCCCATAGGTCAACGTGGACTAGGGCAAGGAGCTCTGTCTCTGGCATGTAGTCCTCATCATAGGGCCTTGAGGTCTGCTTTCCATATATGCAGTCCTCGCACATCCCAGGTGCTCTGTCTCCATCCATGATGCGCAGTCCGTCAACCAGGTCCTTCCGCGCCATGTCTTCTATCAGCATCACACCTGCATGGCAGAACCGTCAATGCCAGGTGTCAATGCCAGTGGGCTTCTTGTGAGACCTCGCAGATAGCATGTTCGTGTCCATTTCTCGGGTGAGAAGGTACATCCCACTCATACAGCTAGCTGTTATGAAGGCCTTGCCATTGGGGTCAATGAATTGGGTGTGTCCTTTGCCGAAGACAACCTTGAAGCAGGCAGCATCAAATTTGTTGCTCACA